CCCCTTTTCAAGTTCATATCACTCCCCGAATTGCATAATTTGAGAACTTTTACTGCTTTGAATGATTTATATACTTTAACTTTAAATCCTGAAATGCGGAGGGGGGGCTGGCTCCTTCCTTCTGGGGCGAATGAATAATGTAAGTAATTGCAACATGGAGGGGCCTTCATATTTAAAGAAATTTACACTATTTAGTTCGGTGAGTGGAACTACATGATGCACATGGTTCAAATAATTTAAATACATTAAATAGTTTGATCCTGAAAGGGAAGGGGGGCTGGCTCCTTCCTTGTGGGGGGAATTAATTAATATGATACTTTAAATATGAAGGTGCCTAAATTATATAAGTTGTTTAATTCCCCCAGAGGGAAGGCGCCAGATTATTCAAATTGTTTAATTTATTCCATTCCACTCACCGAATTAGACGTTTTTAAATAATTTAAGTATGAAAGCCCCCTCCCTTCCCGTACCTAAATTCTCTCAATTAGTTAATTCCCCCAGCAGGAAGAAGCCAGCCCCCCCCCCCCCTTTCAGGATTTCAATTCCTGAAATTATTTAAAATATTTAAACTATTGAAATTAATTGAAGTCTTTCGATTATTTCAATTATATAATATCTCCCCGAATGAAACAGTTTAAATTATCTAAATACGAATGCCCCCTTTTTTTAACTTATTTAATTCGGGAGGGCGAGGAATTCAACAATTTTGAAGAACTAAACATTCAAATAATTTCCATCCTGAAGGGAGGGGGTGGGTTAAAATTTGGCGGTGGCCTTTCGGTGTCCATCGAGCATTTGTGAAAAAGAAAAGTGCCATTTTCTTCCGGACAGGTCCGCGTCCATCGAGTATACCACTACCACGACCAGCACTACTACTAGTACTACTACTGCTACGACTACGCCTGCTACCAGGAGCCTGTGTCAAGAAAAACGCCATTTTGTTTCGGACAGTTTCGTGTCCATCAAGCCTATGTCCAGAAAAAAAAACGCCATTCTGTTACGGACATTTCCGTTTCCATTGGCCCCATGCCCAGAAAGGAGTTCTAATTTCCTCAGGAGAAATCATGGCGTGAGATGCTCCAAAAAGAAAGACAAGTAGGAGGATGTGTGGGCGGAGGACATGTCTGTTTAGAGTGTTCCAGAGGGTTTGTTAAGCATGCATGTGTTCTTCAAGCATTTCAAAGGAATGGATTTGTTAACGATATATCCTTACATTTCAACAACCATGCCAATCAGGAGGAGTCCAAACAAGTCGGAGGAGTCATGTTATGGGAAAGAACTGGGCTTGTGAACAATTACATGTCTTTATCAAGTTTTTGGTCGGGTCCAACGGTTTGGATGTCTTAATCATATTTCCTTCTGTTTCAACACGAAAAGCAGGTCGGAGGAGTCCAAAAACAAATTGGAGGAGTCGTGTTAGGGGACGTCCCAAGAAGCAAAACAACTAGGAGGATGGTTTTTTGAAGTTTCGCCTGCAAAGGTTGATTTGAAGGGCCCACAGGAATGAACTTGTTAACAGCGCATGTCTGCTCCACTTCTTTGAAAGGGTCCTACGGAATGAATTAATCAACCACATTTCCTTCTGTTTCAGGACGCAGAGCAGTTTGGAAGATTCCAATCAAATACGAGGAGTCACGTCATGAGACGCCCCAATAAGGCAAACAATCAGGAGGATGTCTGGGGAGTTCATAGCGGTTGAAGGGTCCACAGGAATGGACTTGTTCACCGCACATGTTTGCTCAAGTTTGCCAGGCCCCAGCGGAATGGATGTGCTAACCAGCTTTGCTTCTGTTTGAACAAGCAAAACAATTGGGAGAATTCCAAAACAATTAGGAGGAGTCATGTTATGGGACGCCCCAATAAGCAAAACAATTAGGAGGATGTCTGGGGATATTGCTGTTCATAGTGGTTGAAGGGTCCAGAGGAATGGACTTAACCGCACATGTCTGTTTCAAGTGCATATTTCCTTCTGTTTCAACACGCAAAACATTTCGGAGGAGTCCAAAACAACAAATTTGGAGGAGTCGTGTTAGGGGATGTCCCCAATAAGCAGAATAATTGGGAGGATGTTTGGGGGACATTTTTGATTGGAAAGGTTGAAGGGGCCACAAGAATGGACTTGTTAGCCACGCGTGGCTGTTTCAAGTCTCTGAAAGGGTCCAACGGAATGAAATTCTGGATCGGAAGAGTCCAAACAATCAGGAGGAGTCACATTATGGGACGCCCGAATAAGGAAAACAATCAGGAGGATGTCTGGGGAGTTCATCGTGGTTGAAGGGTCCAGAGGACTAGACATGCCTTAACCACGCATGTTTTGTTTCAAGTCTTGGAAAGGCCCTAGCGGAATGGATTTTTGACCATGTTTTCTTCTATTTCATCAACCAAAACAATTAGGAGGAGACCAAAACAAGTAGAATAAGACATGTTATGGGACGCCCAATATCCAAAACAAATAGGAGGATGTCTGGGGAATATTTAAGCTCGTAGTGGCTGAGGGCGACAGGAATGGACTTCACCGCACGTGTCTGTTTCAAGTGTTTGAAAGGGCCCATTCCGGTGGGCCCCTAGACCCAAAGACCCAAACCCTGGTTCAAATTAATACGAGTTTTAACTTTCGTTTTGTTATTCGTACTAGTTCATAGTCTTATTAGCCTACGAACTCTATTAAATGTTACTAAGTGACTCGCCCTCTCGGTCCGTTTTTCCCTTCGCTAGACGATTTCTCCACACGCCCATCTGTGAAAGAGCAAAGCTTTGTCAACACCATTCTCTGTACAACAAACGCCATGGAAACGGAAGGGAGGGGGGGAGAACCCCCTGCATACCTTGACTTCAAGAGGACTGGACACAGAAGAGATCAGAGGAACACTGTGCGACGAAAACCGGTTTGAAGAGGGAACAGGAGAACTTGTCACTCTGTCTGCCTCTCTTCCTTCCTGTCCTCCTGTCTTCTTCCTCTTCTCTCCTCCTTTTATCGCGAATGAGATAGGAAGAAATGGAGAGGAAGAACAGGCTAAGGTTGGGACGAAGCAACAGAAAGTTGCCACACCCTTCAATGATGGAACATGAATGACAGCTACTGGGAGATTCGCGCGCACGGCATCTTGGATCTTCATGTGCTTGGGCTCCTCGGGCCCTCGCAATCCTCTTCATTGTCTTTCTCTCTCTTTGCTCTCCATTTCGCGCTCTCATTCTCTCATTCTCTCATTCTCTCTCCCCATGTGTTGTCTCACTGACGCAAGAGAGAGAGAGAGAGAGAGAGAGAGAGAGAGGGAGAGAGAGAGAGAGAGAGAGAGAGAGAGGGAGAGAGAGAGAGGGATAGAGAGAGGAGAGATAGAGAGAAGAGAGGGAAGAGAGAGAGAGAGGAGAGAGAGAGGCAGAGAGGGAGAGAGGGAGAGAGGGAGAGAGAGGGAGAGAGGGAGAGAGGGAGAGAGGGAGAGAGGGAGAGAGGGAGAGAGGGAGAGAGGGAGAGAGGGAGAGAGAGAGGGAGAGGGAGAGAGGAAGAGAGTCGCTCCCCCCGCTCTTCCCCTTCGCTGACATTTAACATCAGAGTAGATCAACGAAAAAGCAGCAAGGAAGATAGGAGAAAGGGGCATAGGCCGGGGCATGACCTCTTTTTTGGTTACTTTTGTATCATTTATCCTTTTTCTTCTCTGTTTGTATGAGAGGGCAGCAAAGAAACCTTCTCCACTGCCACTATTGCCAGAAAAGAAGAAGCAAAGAGAAAAGATGAGGAGAGTACAGTAATGAAAAACGCGTTGGAAAGAGGAGCGGAAGCCCCTCCTTTAATTATCTCTCCCTTTCTATTCTTTTTCATGTTTTTCGGTGGTTCACTTTTCCATACTTGGACTTTGACTTGTGAGAAAGCCACGAGGCGAAAGAAGAGCAAAAGGCGGTAGGGAAATGACTTGCCATTTTGTTCCCTCGTCTCTTTCTCTCTCTGTCTGTCTCCCTCTCTCGCTCGCTTTCTCTCTCTCTCTCTCTCTCTTTCTCTTTCTCTTTCTCTTTCTCTTTTTGTGTGTGTGTGTGTGTGTGTTTTTCTCTCTCTCTCTCTATTAAAAGAGCGAAAGGCCCCCTTTCACGTGGTTCCAAGGATGAATGAGTTTGCTCAGCAAAACCCGATGCTACAAGCAAAGGGCATTTAATGTTTTTTAATCGGGAAAGAGGACAAAACCTCACATTATACCTAAAGGTCCATGCCACATAAGCCCTATCAACCCTTTTAACCATATTAACACGATTATAAACCCTAGAAACCCGATAGACCCTCCTAAACCGCAGACAGCGCAGGAACGGAGGCGACAGCTGGAGGAGGAGAACCAGCGCCTTGAGGAAGAGAGGCAGGGCGGGGGATCGAGTTGGACAGGGAGGGGGGTTTAGGGCCAGGAACTTAGGGTCTCGGGTTATAGGATTATAGGATTTAGGGTGTAGCTTTCTGTTTTTTCTTTTCGTGCGGGGGGATGTTAAACGAGGCACCCTGGCAATCGCAATAACGAAGGGGGGGCGCCCGAATCCAGAACAACACCAGCTGTCCTTCACTATGCTTCCCGTGTGCTGGGAGTTGCTCACTGTTACCGGCCGTTTTTGCGCAGACTCCCAAGGAGTGCGCGTGAGGCATTCTTGCGACAACCTGCGAGCTAGCCGCTAGCCGCTAGCCATTGCGACCTGCCTGCCCTCTCTCGTGACGATCACCGACTCGTGCCACCGAAACCATTGTGCAACAACACTGACTCCACATGACCTTTGTGGAAGTGGGAGTGAAATGAAGGTGTTGTGCTTTAGCAATTCTTGCCGTCGTGAATGGAGACGGCCCGGAGCTTTGCAAATCTCATATAATGGGTCACAAATGCGACTCTTGGGCCATGTCTCCACCCCCTCGCCCTGCCCAGGCCCCCCCACTGCAGAGCCGCTAAACGAAGCTCTGATAGGCCCCCCCTACCCCCCCCTCCCACCCCATCCTCAATGGCATATGCAGCCCGTTGCCATTCTCTTGCGTTACCATGGCTCTTCAGATTACTCTGACGTTTCACAAGTGGTCACAAGTTGCTTTCGCAGCGTTGAAAAAAGTATGCAGCAGACGTTATTTTGGACAGCACCTTCGCGCCCTACGCGAGTCTAGCCTTCTGGGGTAGTGTTGGTGGTGTGGCAGTCGTAGTAATTAGATGTTGTGTACGGTCGAAATCGTGTAGTGATACCATGGCGAGCAGGAGGACACTATGACAGCGATACATGGTCAGGATGTGATAAGAGGGGAGAGGTGCAGCAGAGCCAAACACAGCATGTCAGATGCAGTTGCTTGAGACCTCAGCATTCTGCGATGCTGCGATACTCAACTTCGTACTCTTCAATCCTCAACTGGTCACCAGCACCAGCAATTCCTTGGTGTCCCTTAGGTCTTTTTGGGTTCTTGGATGCCGCAGGCGGCGTCAGGAGGTTGAGAAACGGGCGGAGGCCGAGCGCACGTGCCATGGCCGATGGATGCGGATTTTGTGCCCTTAGGGTTTTGAGGCTTTAGAGGGGCTTTAGGGTTTTTGGGTTCATGCAAGGAGCGGTGTTGCAACAAGGTCCCTCTTGGAGAATGGGGAAAACGGGCTTCATATGGCTGCTTTCAGGTTGGATTTGGTAACTAAACCGAATTGCTGGAGTCTTGGGCTTGGGCTGTTGATGAGTGTGACAGGTTGGACAGGCAGCCGTGCGTAGACATTCATAATGCGAAGCCACCAGTGCTTTGTCACGACAGTGAGGCGCATCACTGGAGCACGCCATCACCAGTGACTACTAGTATGGCCCAGTATGGCTAGTTGGTTGGCAACAGGTTCCAGACCGTCCCCCAGCCTCGTCGTTCAGCAAACCTACACTGATGTCACTGGCAGCTTCAAGCGTGTCTCTACCGCGTGGTAGGAATCCTTGAATCTGTTGGCTGTGGATTCTTCCACATTTTGCACAAGCCAGCCAGTACAAATTGGTCCTGTGGCCATCTGTGGCCAACAAAGATTTGTGCACGTGCACACAGGCACATATGTGCACACATACACACGCATGTATAAACAAGTACAGACATAAATACATCAATATATATATATATATGCATAAATAAATAAATATATATATATATATACTCACACACATATATATATATATGTACATATATATGTATGTATATTTAATGTACAAATGTGTGTTTATACATTTTGTTTCTATGCAGAGTACGCATATGTCACAACGTATCTACATATTCTACGTATGCACATACTTAATGCTAGAGTCTCCTTTTTTTCAGTCAGCCCGATACCGCGTCCGCGTCCGAGGCGCCAGCGCCAGGAAGAGCTCCGGCGCTTGGAGGAGCAGCGCCGGGAGCCTGGAAAGTCGCGCATCCGAGGGGGTGGGGGGGGGGGGGGGGGGAGGGTTTAGGCGGTTTAGGGGTTAGAGTTTAGGGTTTCGGACGAGGGGGGATTATGGGGGTGGGAGGCCCATTGGAGGCCTTGCAAGAAGCGAAGAGCTCTGAGGCCGCGCCTTCGAGCGAGCAGAAGAGGATCGGGCAGATTGAGTCTGGAGTCAGCCTTGCGATTTATCTTTGCATTTGTTGGCGTTTGTCGTAGAAGCGGTACAGCAGTGCTTCTCAGAATCTTGCCGGTTTGGAGGGTTGCTCAAGTTTGGGTCGTTCCGACAAATTCATGAAATCTGCGTTGCGCAGTAGACCCGGAAACAAGAAGCAGACAGCACACTACTTGCAACATGCAACAGGAGACATGCCGAGTTAGGGTGCTTCCTGCTGTAAGGGCCTGCTGAAATACCCCCTCTAGACCAGCGCAGATGTTATTTTTTGGCGACACGGTCGGCACCGTGGCCCGAAGCTTTCCAACTGCGAAGGAGCGGATCAAGGCCAAGAAACAGAGGGAGGAGGAGGTGCCTTGCCTGCATTTTCAATCCCAAAGAGCCCAATACCCCTTTAGCAAGGAATCGGGCCGGCCCCAGGACAGGAAAGGAGGAAAGAGGGGGGGGTGGGTCGAGGGGGGGGGGAGGGGGGGTGGGGTGGGGGTGGGGGGGGGGGGGGGGGTGGGGGTGGGGGGGGGGGGTGGGGGGGGGGGTGGGGGGGGGATGGGGGGGGGGAGGGGGGGGTGGGGGGGGGGGGGGGGTGTGGGGGGGGGTGGGGGGGGGGTGGGGGGGGGTGGGGGGGGTGGGGTGGGGGGGGGGGGGGGGGGGTGGGGGGGGGGGGGGGGGGGGGGGTGGAGGGGGGGGGGGGGTGGGGGGGGGGCACTCCCCCTGCCGACAAGCGGGGACCCTCCACACAGCATCGGTTTGCAGCTCCTCCAAGGGATTGGGTCCACAGGGCGGGGGGGGGGGGGGGGGGTTGCGTCAAAAAATTTGGCATGGGGGAAGGGTTGGGGGGGAAGGAGGCCAGATCCGGGTCTGCTTGTTGCAGACGCTTTTAGGCAGGAAGCCGAGGCGAATACTTCCTGCCACCTCCGCTACATCCGAATACCGTGAGGCATGCCACACCCTAGGCATCGGTTTTTGCAAGAAGAGGCGTGGAGGGTATTGTGCAGTTTTGGTGGCCCTTCCCCTTACTGAGTATGAAGTGGGCAAAGCGCAGAACCCTGCTAGCCCGCCAGCCCCCAGACCCTTCGACCTAAACCCTTGAAACCCTTTAAATTCTCCAAACCCTACGCAGCTTCATAGACCCCCCCCCCAAAAAAAAAGGAAAAAACGAAATACAAACACGAGAAATAAAACCCTTAGAACTAAACCCCAAGCCTGCCTTTGGAGGCCCGGCGTCAAGAGGAGGAGCGACGCCGAGCCGACGAGGCCATGGATTTCGATATTGGTTTTTAGGGTTTTAGGTTTCAGGGTTTAGGGTTTCAGGGTTTATAGGGTTAGGGTTTTGAGTTCAGAGTTCGGATTCAGGGCAGCTTGGGAATAACTGCGCACCTCTATACCTAATATATATATATATATATATATGTATGTATATATACATGTGGGCACGGAAGGTTCTGGTGATTTGGAGTTTGAGTCAACCAGTGTTAGTTGCCGAAAATTTTGCAATTTTTTGCAGTCTGTGTTGGAGTGTTCATGGCATTTCCGCACTTAAGAAGCCAAGTCAAGGGTCAGGACTAAACTGGAGTGCAGAGACTTGATTGGTGGCAGGCCAAGAATGAAAGCTGTGGGTATTTGCCAGATGCCCATAGTGTGATACAGGCTCTGTTGAATAGTCATGGACAATTAGCAAAAAGTTAGCCCCGGAACTCGATGGTGGGCAGGAGCGCCGCAGACGCGAGGCGGAGGAGGCTGGCCTCCCAGCAGAAGCACATGCCAAAAACGCCAAAAACACTCGGGGGCGGGGGGTGGTAAGCGGTCTGGCACATTCTGGCACCTTGAAGTGACCCGCGACCCATGCTAGCTGCCTGCTCCCAAGATCCTACCTACCTCACAGGCACGACGTGAGGAGGTGCCTGGGATGGTGGGAGGGCGGGCCAGTTTTGTAGGCATGCCGAACCTCAACTGCAGCATGGCAGGTCAGTAGAACCTCAGCACCTGGGCGAGACATTGAACCTGTGAGGAACGCCAGCGAAGGGAGCAGGAGGAGGCTCAGCATACCGCAAAAAGCTCCCCAATGCACGTTGAACTTGCATGATTGTGGACTTGCGCTTGTTGTCTCGAACTGTGGCAGAGGGTCACCCAGAGTAAATCTGCAGATCCAGCCATACACGTAGATATCGTGGTGTCTGCTCAGATTCTTGTGTGGGCTCAGGATTCTAAGGTGGGAATCCGGAAATCGGCTCACCTGCTTTCCGACCTATGATCCCTGCACATCCTTGCGCAGAAGCAGCGCCTCCAAGCCGGCACGGACGGGAATCTAGACCAATCAAAGTCCCCCTGAGCCCCTAAACTAAATCCTCAAACCCTCAAACCCCAGACACATCAGCAGTCATCATGCACATGCCGAGTTCGATTGCCGCCAGGCTCGGCAGCCGGCAGGGGGCTCTGGCATGTCGGCCAGCCGGGCGCTCCGCAGGACATTGTCGGTGGTTTAGGGCTTGGGGGGGATTTTTTGTGGCGGTTTCGGGTTGAGGCCTTGCATCTGAAGCTGCGATCGCTGAGGCCTTCCATGGGCAGCTAGCAAGTAGGATGGCACTGTGTGCAACTATACAGCATGGGAGTACTTCGATTGGAAATGTATGGGTGTCCGCCCTCTCATGCTGCTCGTTTTTTTCTTACTTTCTGTATTTCCCCGCCCCGTCGTTTAGGCCTTGGGATACCTCGAATCATATCTTTGCGGCTTTCTCGAGAGAGTGTGTGCCTTCTGCGACTATACTTATTGCTTAATGGGTTCAGGCACATCTAGTGAGCTCTGTAGCAGGCCAGAGCCAGACGAAGCAGTTCGGGACTCTTTCGACATCTGCAACCGCAGCATTTCTTGATCTGAGTGGCCAAAGCTCAAACACGGACGGCCTGCGAAGTTAAACGGCATCGAAGCCCTCAAGGGACCATGATGCTGCTTGGCTTGCATGCTGGGCACCATGGTCAAGGGGGTGTAGGTGGCGTGGAGGAGGCACTTGGAAAGCCAAAGCTCAGACAGCTGACATATGATGAGATGTAACTCTGGGCGCATCAGCATCAAGACCTGCGTAGCAATCCTGAAGAGGGAAGTTTCCTCCCACCCAGGCCTGCATTTGCAAACCACCCGTTGGACAGCCGCTTGGACATGCTCGAGATGGAGCTGGCGCGATTGAAGGGCAGCAGGCCGGGCAATTTGTATACAATGTAACAGGAGGTGATAGGGCTGTGTTTGCCCTCACCAGAGTAAATGTCTCCGGATTTATCTACTGTGGCAGCTCTGCCAGTTCCGCTTGTAAGGCAGATGGGTATGACTGGTGGCATGGGCAACATGGGGGGCGTGCCAATGACCTTCACGCAGCCGCAGCAGGCCTTGCGGGCCCTCAGGGGTAAACCGAACATGAAGGTCAATTCTGACGTCTTTTTTGTCCACGGGTTTGCCGATGCCGCCTTCGCGTTGCTCCTCAAGTGGTCCAAACAGTGTAAACTCCGGATACGCTGGGAGTTATGCGGATGAACACGGAATGGCAGACAGTTGGATCCGAGCTGCTAGAATCCTAGGTGCAATGCGAGGGTGTCCGCGGGTGTGTGTGTGTGTGTGTGTGTGTGTGTGTGTGTGTGTGTGTGTGTGTGTGTGTGTGTGACATGTGTGTGTGTGTGTGTGCGTGCGACAAGAGCGCAGTGAGTGTTTGAGATTGGTTAGGACGAGCCTTCAAAAAGTTGAGAGTAAAGGAATTGATTTGACGGGCCCTTTTCGCGGCGCGCACGCACGCGAGACACAACGAACCACCAAAATCGACACTCGGCTCTGGTACGCTCTCCCCTACAAGGATTCCGAGATATGTGACTCTGATATAAAAACAATGCAAGAAATGCACGGGCCATCGAGGCAGGCGCCAGGCGCCAAATCGTGCTCTCGCCTAGTATAGGTCCCGTGCGCTTGCACGAAATCTGTGCTCTCACCTCCCTCGCCTGCGCATATGCTCCTCGCTAGCTGCAGGGCTGCCCTTTGCCTCCCCAGGAGTTCTTGGATTGGGGTGTGCTGTTGGAGTGCTCTCACAAGGGCTAGTGTCCATCACAGATTAGCCTATATTCGACTGTTTGGGGACTTTGGGGCTGAGTTGAAGCCCCTGAGGCTCTGTCTCCGCTGATGCCTTCCATGCCTTCCGGTCCACCGATGTATTCCGTACCCTCTGAGCGCCTCGGCATGAACAGTCTTGCGGGATCTCGAGGGCTTGGTGTTCCAGTGGACGTGGCAGCAGGCCTTTCTGTGTCAAAAAAAGACCAGGTTGCCTTACGACAAAGCAGCAGCCTGAGCCAGTTGTTCACAGAAAGCCTCGCTTGGAGCCCAAAAGGCCCTCAGGGCCGGCACCGGCGTTGGCGAACATCGAGACGAAGAACCACGGTGAAATTATGCCCCTTGCCTTTATAATCCTTGGTTCGACAGAATGCAAGAACCCTTCAATCGTGGGGTCTAGCTACGAGTCTAGTTTGGTGAGCGGTGTTCAGCTTGAAGGTTTTCCCTATCGACGGTTTCCTCCTTTGTGAGCTTGGCTCGGGTTTACCTGGCAGGTTGCGGTCTGGCACCGCTCGCCCGTATTGTAGCGGCAGCATGAGCTGTTCGGCTTCGTGTTGTGCTGTGGACTTGGGCGATCCTGTGCCAGCAGGCCCACCATGAAGATTAGTCGGTGAAGAAGCACTATCGTGCTCTTCTGAGGGAGAAGGTGTTTCATGTGGTTGTGCATCTACTCCGGCACCAAACCCTGCCTGTGCCAGCCAAAGGCAAGCATACAAGGACATCGTGACGAGCCTGAAGGCGCACGGAACCACTTGAAACGGACACCAAAATGACAAAAAGAGCAGGTGAACCTTTCATGAATATCCAGAATTCGGCTCGGAGATCTCAGAGTTTTTGGTTGTGTCCACTTTGTCGGGTTTCTCAAGATTCGGCACCGGGCAGGGCGGGAGGCTTGTCTCACAAGATGGTCCCGAAGCTTGAACGTCCCTTCAATCCTCAATCATACGTGTGGTGTTCAAACCGTTGCAAAAATTCGCAAAGGGCCCTGGTGAGGATTGTGACGATTGCCCCTTAGAGCCATAGCGATTTGAGCTTTCAATCCTGGCTATCCAGACTCTGCCCAACTTGAAGCCATTAAAAACAAAACGGTAAAGCCTAAACCCTAACCTTCGGGGTGCTAGTGCCACCCCTTTGCAATCTCTGGTCTGGTTCTGCTGTCAGGAGACGCAGCAAAAGCACAATGACCTCCTCCAGCGACATACCGATCTGACAAAGCACCACGTCGCTCCGACCGCCGTAAAACTGCGCACAAGTGGTGTTCGCAATTGTTTGCAGTACTTATACGATTGGATTGACATGGCCTCACCTACCTTGAAGCCCGAAATCTGCTTTCGAATCCGTTGAGGCCAGCACATGTCTGTTGAAAGGACACGGCCCCCCCCCAGTAGGCAAGAAATCCGCTTGAACGACCCGACCCTGACAAGGGACCCGAGGGGTTATGCCGAGTAGAGTGGTGCATGTTAAAAGTCGTTGGCACGTGTTTTTGTTTTGTGCGCCGGAGCAGATCCCAACTGCAAACTTGCCAATTTCCCACAGAATTGGGGCGGGGGGGGGGGGGGGCCCGCGGGATGAAGTTGCAGGTAGCATGTTTCCGAAGACTGGTTCAATCTTAATAGGGGATGAGGGGAATTAGGGTACCTGATATCCCCCTATATACCCTTTAATTACAGCAATGATGCCAGAAGTTACCTAATTCCCCCACTCCCTACGAAAGAAATGGTTGGGTAGCTAGCGCTGCAAAGGTGGAGCTGATGCGGGCACACCAGGACCTCCTTGAGAGTCTGAAGAGCCGTGGCCGCCCTCAGCATGTTCTCAGGATCTTCCTATCGTACGATGGTGTTGGGATGTTTAGATGTGGCGCTTTGTAAGATTTTGCAAGCCTCTTCTCTCTGCCAGAGCTACAACGGGCATGTAGATGCTTGGAGGCTCTTGCATTTGTTGTTGTTCTTTCTTGTGGGCTGGGGCTATGCAAAATCACTTTGAGCGTCATGCCCTGCACCGTCCAGGTGTGGCAAAGGCATTTCGCTGAGTTAGTCGGCATGTTCAGATATTGCTGTGGACTTCGAGCCTCAACTCACGGAAAGCCCAGGAAGAACGGCACTGGTGGCGGTGGTGCAGCTGCCAAGGCTTCCGCCAAGAAGAAGGCCAAGCATCTCGGCGGAAAGGCAGACTTGACTACAGAACCGTCGCACTTCCCGAGGCTCCCAAGTTTTGGAAGTCATAGACTTAAGGAAGAAGGTTCCATCCTCTTTTGGTTGGTCCCCCTCTTGCTTCCGGGCCGAATCGCAGACAAATGCCTTGATCCCAGAACGGACGGAAAGGTTGCAGACCTCCCCCGACAATTGGAGATTGAGTCTTTGCTCACCTTCTCGCTGGGTTTGAAGTTCCACGATGCAAAAGCAGCAACTCCTGTCGATTCCAGCAGCCCAAGTTCCACATCCCCTTCCCACCAAGGCACCCAGCCCTCGGTGTGGTCCGCCTGGATTACGACTACCCTCCTGCACCAGGAGACTCTGACCACCCAGGCGCCCAGTTCACATGGGCGAAAGGAGATAAATACATATATATATATATAAATATATACATACATACATAACATACATACATACATGAGAAGGATGGCAATGCAGCTCCTGTGCCAGGCAGCTTTGGATACGAAGTCTACTATCGCTGCTGCCCAGGGTTGACTTTCGACATGTGCCAGGCCTCGGGACAGCAAGGGGTCATCGTCATCCCACTTCCCTTCACGTTTGTTTTGTTGCGAGCTTTGCAAAGCAGTCCTCAGGTCTGAGTTGTCAGGGCCCATGTGCGGTGTTTCTTGTACGGCTTGTGTAGTGGAAGGCCAGATTTGAGACTGGTGCCGCAAGCGTGACACTTGCCCTTGGTGACCTTCTGTGCAGGTAAGCACGTGCTGTGCTCTAATTACGTACACAGTCCTGGGGAGAAACATTAAACTCATTAGGCACAGAGCGACAAGCCAGGATGGCCACTTCCCCGAAGCTGTGGAGCGCCGCTTTGCCGATGCGATCAGGCACCTGGAGGCCAACTCTCGGGGGCTGACGAGCATGCTGTGTATCAATCTGCTGGGAGCTTGCCCCATTCCTGGAACATGAAGTTGACCTTCCCAGCGCGAACATGCATTTTGAAAAAGACCCCCCCGAAACACGAACCTCATGAACATCACTGCCTGTCGTCCAGCTACCGTACATGGTCTAGTGGTGGCGTAGATCTTGGTCATCCTCCACCCACATCCTGGCAAGACTTTACCGAGATCCCCAGATATTGGGAAGGCCCGCGGATGTGCCGCCATCACCGGCGACTGCGGCTTCATGATGGCCTTTCACATGATTGCCAGGAGAGCGCTTCATGCACCTTTGCATGTCCGGCATCTCTACTATCTACAATCCCGAAACCTAGCATCCCGCAAAGCTTGCAAGATCATCAGCCTGGGGGGGGGGGGGGCCTTTCATCGCAGCTCTCGGGGTGATCCAGACAAGTCTGTTACAAGTCGGCACCGATGGGGGCCTGGAGGAAGATCGCAGCTAAGCCCATCTTCATGTCCTCCATGGTGCTGCCTGGCTGATCAGCGGCGACCGCAAAGAGATGTCCGAACATTCCGTTCATGCAGAAGTGCACTGGATGCTCAAGAAAAACTACTGGTAGACGATGGGACTTCCCGTTTGGGCTGCTCTGTCTTACCATGCCTAAATCTAAACGCTTGCGCGCGCCGCCTCGGCAGCCGGGGCTGGCCCGAGCCACGAGACGATGTCGACGGTCCAAGCGGCGCACTTCGGAGTCGCCAGTCCACGCGGTCGGGTTACAGATGTGGGGCCCAAAACTTTGCAGCAGCATATGAACTTGGGGGTGGTGTAAAGGGATGGCTTGCGTGAGGTGGACCGCAAATTTTGGGTTGGGAAGTGGGGAAGGTGATCCGTGCCTGCTTGTTCTAGACGCCTCTGGGCCGGAGGCGATGCGAATTCACCAGTATGGCACAACGAACGCCTCATCTGCTGCCTGCCATACATCCGACAATGAACAGCCATCAACTGAGAAAGATATAGCTTACACACACACACATATATATATATATACATATACAAGCACAATTAATAATGCAAAGATATATGTTATTCTTAGTCATACTAATCATGATCGTTATCATGTTTTCTTCGTTCGCATTGCGATGCCCTCAACACCTGCACCAAGGCAATGCCCGATTATCGCCGCCTCCCTCGAGCCATCCGATCAGATTCTGCTTCTCACGGCAGCTCGGCCGCGTTGGCAGCCTGGGTGGTCTGGGACTGCGAAGCCCAGAAGAGGGACCAATACCCAAAGAGCCCCAATGCCCCTTGGTGTAAGGAACATTCCTTAAATTATATAGGGATCCTCAACATGATTTGAGGTATATTCCTTGAGGGAGATTGGGCTCTTTGGGTACCGATCGATCAACACGAAACACCGGAGTGCGCGACACTCGAAGCCTCGAAGCCTCAGTCCTGCAAGTGGCCTGAAGCAAAGTCGCCCGTGCAGCCGAGGCCAATGACAAAACCCTGAAGCCGCAGAAGACGGTGCTGCTGAGCACTTGTGGATTCGATGTTGACGAGGAGTGGCAAGGTCCAGTTTATCAGCATTCCGTGCGTGCTCCCGCATCGCGTGCCATTGCACGCCCCATCTCAGGCTCACATAGTCCATGCCCCAATCAAGCGCCAAAGCTGTAAGCAAGTGATGAACTTCAGTAGACGCCCCCCCCCCCCCCAATGTGAGGCCTGAAACCAAGAAGTGTTCACGTGGCCAGGACCGTTTCATCATCAAGGGCTGTCAGAATGTGCCTGGTTTCGAGGCCGTGGCTTTGGGAGGAAAAGTTGCTGGGATGCAGTTGCTGCAGGTACTTGGAAGCCACTTGAGGTTCACGCAGTTGATGCTTTGGGCACTTCGATTTCAGGTGCACTTAGACGCCAGTTCTGGAACATCAGCTGCGAACGCCAAGGTTCCGCTTGAGGTCGTGCAGCCGGGAATCGTGCAGCTGGTGCAGGAGATCTCAAAGCGGTAGATTATGCCTCTTGCACATCACGAGCGCTATAGCCGAACCCGAACCCGAGAGCTTGCTGCTCTTGCTTGCCATGTGTGTGTGTGTGGCATATCAAGCAACCTGGTTGAGGTGGAAGGCACAGAGCTCAGTAGGCTGCGTGATCACTGCGTGATCCCTCTGCCAAAGTCTCGCTCCGCTTAAGGCTTCAAGGCCCAAATCCACCGCACAACGGGATTCCCACGATTATCTGCGTGTGTCGCAAGGACATAAGGAAGCAGTTCCCACGAATTGCCGCAATCCTCCTGGCAGCGTGGCTGACTTTAGGGCTCGTTTGCTTCGAATTTCGGGCCCCCACAGTTAGTTGGCTGTTGAGGTGTGGGACTCTGTGGGGGTGTCGGGATGTTTCGTTTTGGGCCATGATGGCCTGGCCGATGGCTTGGGATTATCTTGGCAAGGGAGAACAGCGCAGCCAGACACGAGCTTCAAGCGTTGGGCTTATATACCTTCAGCCTGTGGCTTATGTGCAATGAGTCAAGAGTGCACTCCGTGCCCAGGAATGCACGGAATTGCCACCCTACGCAGATGCCCTCCGCTACCATACCGGCTTGCCAGTTTGGGCGGCTCAGCTGCGCAGGGCTTGGGGATGGGGAAGCAGGAGCCAGGTGCCACTTGAGGGCGCGAAGCCCAAAGGCCCCAAACCCTAAAGGCCCTAAAGACCATTTTCTTCTTCTTACAGCCTTAGTTAAAGTTAGCTCCTTGACGCAGTGCGACTTCCAGTTCCCCTCTGCGACTTCGGGTGTTTGCAGGGCTTTTGCAACGGGTGGGGGGGGGGGGGATGTATCGAATTGCAACATGACCATCAGCACAGCGCCTTCCCCTGAACTTGTAGCTCCCCTTGATGTGGGGTGGCGTCTTCGGGCCGAGTAGACGTCGGCTATTTCTTGGATGGTCAACCACACAGTCGTCGCGCGCCCTGCGCTGAAGGATGCTGTCACGGCTGCCGACTTTTACATCTCCGCCCACCAAGACAACCCAAGGTTCGGGCACAACGACGCCTGGCCATGTCAATGCTGAGTGGTTGACATGCTCCATCCGTGCCAGTTTTATTCACAGGCACATGTTTGATCAATTTTGGAAAGCTGCCCCAAAGAAGCTAAACCCTTAAACTTTAAACCTTCGCGATGTGCACGAGTTCCCATCAAATCCCGTGCCGGCTCGTAACAAATCTCACAGGATGCCTTAGGTGAATAAACATTGGCGAAGGGTTGCAGTTTCTCATGGTGCGGTTTGCAAGGAAACAGAGGTTTGCGAGGTTTGCAAATCTTTTTTGCAATGGAAGACAAGAAATGAAGGAACCTAGAGGTTGATGTGTTCAACAAGAACGAAGGGCTTGCAAACCAAAAAATGAAGATGAAATAGAGGAAATAGAGGGTTTCCATCTTTCGAAGAGCAGAGGAAACCGAAACCTCAACATTGCCTTTGTCGCTCCAAGGACTGGCAGGAGGCATGGGATGGTACGCATGAGGAGTATGAGCTGGGCATCAACCTCACCAAGGACGAACTGTCGCTTGTGGTGAGCCACTTGGGACGATTTCCGATGCGGCTGCGCTCCAGAAGTGTTTGTAGAGTTTGATTGCCCATAAAGACTCCGCTGGTGGGCTTCGCTAGGGGGGGGCTTTCGCTTAACTTATCAGGGATTCGCGTTTTTGGCATCCTTGATACGTATTCAGCACGATGACATCCGTAACACAAAGACCATTGCTCATCACATTTATGGCCTGCTGACGCTGCCACCCGACACCCATAATCGCGAAGTTTACTTCCAAACTCACAACCAAGGTAAGCACAAGGTGCATGCGGAGAAGAAAGAACGGGCGCTGAAAAAGAAGCTTCTTGATCCAATCCCAACATCATGCTGAGGGTCGGAAGCGCAGGAAGGTGCTTTTGACTTGGTGTCCGGGTGACGTGCGTTAATCTGCAAGATTGCGATTCTAAGGAAGAAGCTGGACAAGGTCATGAAGAAAGTACGCAAGCAGCAGGCACCTATGCTGGGCGTCCTGCGCCTGAAGCTGCAGCAAGTGCATGGCCTCTGCCATCTATGTGTTGAAGTCTCAAGTTCCTACTACTTGCTTAAGAACCTCAAGAGAATAAAAAGAAATTATTAATTAATCCGTCTACTACCCTTATAAAGGAAGAACGTTTTTTATTCTTGTGGGGGCATCCTCCGCAGTGTGCTGCACCCGATGATTTCCTAACCTTGGGATGTTCCCCTTATACCAACAGTCCTTAATAGGGATTAGAATAAGGGGGTGCTATCATCCCTATTCAGGACTGTAAGTATAAGGGGGAAGTGTTCCCAACCCCAACCCTGCATCACAAGCTGCTCTGAGGCGTTTGGACTACAACTACCCCCCGGCCACAGGCGACATTGACCATCCTGGTAGCTACGACTACGACGTGCTCGAACTCCGCAGGGCTCAAGAGGGCATGTGGGGTTTAAGCTCAAGGGCTTGTGAGTTAGGGCTTTATAGGGGTGTGAGGGTGTGAGGGTCGAGGTGAGGCGAAAAGTGAGGAGTCATCGCGACTGTTTGTGTCAGTGCTGCCAATATCGTGGGTTTCTAGAGCAAAGCAATGTTCTGAGACAGACCAGGTGCTCTTCCGAGTGGTTCCTGGCTTCACCTTCGAGATGGCCCAGGCCGGCAAGCTCACGCCGGCGGTGGAGAAGGCCCGCAAGCCCCGCGCATGGCCTTACAGCTCACTTGCGCAACAATGCGTGCGCTGTGCAAAAAGAGGGCTGTGTTGGAACGTGGGTTCAGGACAAATATGATGGGGTGCAAACTGCGCAAAGCCTCTGAGAGGGGGGGGGGGAGTGTTGTGTTGGATTGGTGCGACACCACCCCACTGGACTCACGATCAACTTCGGAGATCTCCAATGCTTTCGGCTTTTGCAAACCCGAAGCTGGTCTGAGTCCCCAGGAGTTCATCGAAGCTGTGAAGTGGCTGGAGAACAAAGGCTGCAGCGGCATCACGGGCGAACCTTTGAGTACAGAGTCGTATCGCGATCAAGGAATGTCTTCCCTTAAATACCCCCCCCCCAACGTATGGAGTATGAACTCTTAAAGTCTTAAACTAACTTAACTAACTATAGGCAAAAAGAGATTGAGAGGTTCCGAGGGATGCCGTCAAGTATTATTGTAGACGCAAGCCCAGGACTGTGGGTTCATGATGGCTTTCCAGCCACTGGCCCGCTTCTTGACTTGATCTGGAAGCATTCGCAAGTATCACCGTGCTCTTTTCTCTCTCCAGTGTGACGCGTTTCTTTAGCCTTCCGCTTTAATCCAAGCCCCCCTGCTCGTGCTGCATAGGAAAATGTTTTCAATCCCTGGAACTAAACCAGCCTCCAAGCCCAGGCGAAGTGGCTCGGGTCCCCGTCTTCATGTGCCTCGGTGCCTGTTCATCCGTAAGGGTCCCGCAGTAGCCTCTGCTGAACATAGACTAGGCCTCTTCGACGGTTGCCTTCAGTGAGTCCCCTGCTTCTCCCTGAATCAAGTTTCATCAGCACCCTCATCCTGGACACATGCGCCAGGAGCTCCATGATGCAATGTCCCATGATCTCTGTTGCGTTCGACAAGTACGACAAGGAAGGGGGCACTTTCTTCAGAGCCTTGAAGAACATGACTGGTGCTTTCGGGCCCAGTGGCCTCGCACACATTTCGCCAGCTAGCAGCGGCAGTCTAGCGCGCACATCAAAGAAAGGGAGCTGCCACTAGACACGCTAGACAGGCATTTTTGATTGTGTTGCCATTTTTCAAGAAAGCCTTCGAGGAGGCCAAAACCGAGCCAAGCAGCGTCTCCAAGGTTGTAGGATGGTGTAGGTCGGCAGCGAACTACAGTACACTTCAGTACACTTCAGTCTTTTCATCTGACATTGATCGCAGCATTGATCACAGCGGGAGGTTTATGAGGTAGTATTGATGCTGGAAGGTCTTGATTCTCACCGCGAATGATGACACGCTGAAGCCGCAAAAGGACCAGCAGTGCTTTGATTGTATGCGTGATCTGCAAATTTGCCCTACTGGCTGCTTTGCACCATTGAAAACCGATGAACATAAAGTCGCAACGACAGCTCTATCGACATTCCTGGCCGGCATGCGTGAATTGCGCAGGAGACACTGCTGAGCAACTGCGGCTTCGACGTTGACGATGCCCGCTTCATGATCAAGGGCTGCCAGTTTCCTGGTCAGATGAAGAAGAGTCGAATGCCTGCCAACATCTTGTTTTCTCATTTGGACCCCCCCCACCCCCACCCACCCCCCAACCTCCTCGCCCACAACAAGCTTTGTGAGTTTCCCATTCTCTCCCCTCTTCCCCCCCAGTCCCCTCTCTCACCCCCCTCTCCCCTCTTCTCCCTCCCTCTCCCTCCTCTCCCTCCCTCTCCCTCCCCCTGTCTCTCCCACTCTCTCTCCACTCTCTCCCTCTCTCTCCCTCTCTCCATCTCTCTCTCTCTCTACTGTATCTCTCTCCCCTGCATCCCGTTGCCACTCTTATCGCCTCGCTCTTTCAGATATTTCATGTTCCTCACAAGCTAAGCCATCGTGTGTGTCTGTGCGCGCGCGCAGTGTGAATGCTTTGATTTCAGGTTGATCTCTGATCATCTTAGATTCATATTCGCAAGCCTGACCAAGCCTGACCATGTGACTGCACAGGGATGTTCCTGGCTTTGATGCCGTGGCAAAGGGCGAGAAGGCAGATCTTCAGCAGAGATGAGACTCAGAGCTTTTCTGTTGCTGGACACGATCTGCCCCATGCCAGTTCAACTTCTTGCCCATTGCAGCAATCAAGTGTGTGACTGCAGGTCGATGTGGACTACGTGCAGCCCGGAATTGTGTACATGGTCCTGGGCTTGGCTGGTCCAGGATAGACGCCTCCATGCTGTGATGGCCAGCTTTGGCATGGTCAGGAACCAGTATTTATACCTGTAGCTACCAACAGCGCAGACTTCAAGCCCCAGAATCCACGTGCACAAGAAGCACCTAACCTGGTTGCCGAACCTTCCTCCTTTAGAGAGAATCAGCATTGTACAGCAGTAGCTGTTAACTAAACAGCTGGTGTGAGGCCCGTGGTGAGGCCATTCCCCCCCCCCCCCCCCCCCCCCCCCCCGCCCCCTCCCGTGCTTAGCCGCCCGGGTGGGGACGGCACGGCCTCTCACAGGCAAAAGCGCCGGTTTTGGAGAACGCCCCCTGTCTGACGCATCGTCTGCCTATTTCGACCCAAAAAAAAGCTCGGACGCGCCTTCAGGGGGAAGAGGAACTTCCTAAGATCCAAACGCCTCAGGCCTCCGACCTCGGCGGATTTGCCATGAAGGAAGCTTGACTTGCCTCAAAGGTGAAGCAGATCCTCAACAAGAACTCCTCTGTCCGGGCCATCCTGCTTGAGTGCACCGAGCTTCTTGGAGTTCAGTAGCGGGGTTAAGGGTTGAGCGTTTAGTTTACCCCTCTTCCCACGCCCCGGCTATCTTGAGCAGTGCAGGCTTGCCGTCGTAAGACCTTTGTGTTTGCCAGGCGATTCTCAAAGCCGGGCAAGCTTGTTTCAAAAACGCATCATGCGGTCAACAGGTCATTGCTTCACAACAGACAGAAAGCCAAACCCATACGAACCTTGTGTAGCGGAGGATAAAGAAGGGCATGGTTTTTAGCCTGGAGCAGAACTTGATCTGGCATGTCCGAAGCACCGGGGGGCTCTCAGGGTCCGACAGCGCCTGTACTTGATGTTGAGGTATGTGGAGGTCTCCTGAATCTGGCCAAGTTTTAATGGCCCGTGTCGAGGGAAGAAGGCCGCAGCCTATGAAAAGCTGAGCGCCTGCGAACTTTTCAACCATGAAAGCAGAGCCCTATCTCTACTGCACCCTCGACTCTGAGGGACTCTCAGACCCTATGCGTTGGAACGTGTTTGCACCATGATTTTTACTAGTTCTTGAGTAGTTTATGGGGAATCAGGGAATTAGAAGTACCGTATATCCCTTCAGAATATACTCTTTGAGGAATCATATAGGGTACCTAATTTCCTCATTCCCTACTAAGAACAGTCTTTACCTGATTTACCGCCAAATCATGCCGCCCATCACCCGAGGCTGCCACCCTACGCAGATGCCTTGCGCCACGAGACCAGGCTCCCCGTCTTCGACGCAATCACGAACGCGGACTTCTTCCTGTCTGCTCGGCAGGACCAATTTTGGGGAGCAACTTGTGCTTTTGTTGAGTCAACTGCAGGCTTTAAGGTCAAAGCACATTTGGGGGTGTATTGAATTCTGTTTTTTCAGAACTGCTCACCACCAGTTCTGACGATGCTGTTTGTGTTTCTTGCTCCTCTGCGTAGAGCCTCTGTTGACACGACCGTCTGCAGGTTTTGAACATTTGCTAGCCTCGTAACCACAATCGAATTCATACCGGAACCTGCGGCCTCGCAGCTTCAGTTCATCAGGACAACCCTCGCTTCGGCTTCAACCAGTGGCAGCTGGACTGGGACGGCGAGCAGGAGCCGCAGGGGCCGCAGCAAGCCGAGTAGCCTAGCGAGCTCTAGGTCTCGCGCACCGTTACAAAATGAAATATTGGCCTCACTTGACAGTCCTGTAAAAGCCCTCAGCCCCGGCTCTGGCAGGATGACTACGTGTTCGGGCAGCACCTGAACGCCCAACAGATGGAGAAGCTGATCAACTGAGCGTGAGATGAGCCCATACTGCTAGCTTCGAGCTTCCTACTTCGTCACTATAATAAGGATGTTCAAGCTCCTGATGGGCATTTGTTTTACGCGAGTCCGTCCATTGCCGGAAGGAGTCAAGATGGCAGGGATGTTTGCTCGGGATATGCTCATTCAAACACGGCAATCAACGGAAGGGCGTGATCTGTCATGAACATGTACCGGCCAAACTGATACATGGCGAGCCTTTCAATCTTTCAACCGCCAGCGCTGAATCCGAATCGGCATTAGCGAGCTGAATCTGCGGCTGTTTGCTGCAGATTCCGCTGGTGATTGCTGTACTTGCACGACTTCTCCTGCGATTCCATGCAGCAGCTAGGGTTCATGTGTTCAACGTATTGTTGCTCTTGTTGCTCAGGGGCTTGAGCAGTGCGGGGACCACTAATTCAGACACTGCTGTCTGTTCATTCTCACACACTGACTGACTTGTGTCCAAGAACATCTTGGACCGCAGGATGGTTTGTATGCTAAAACCCTGAACGCTGTTGGCGGTACTCAGTGTGGCCAGCAGACGTGAAACCATGAGCTCGTGCTCGAGAAAAATAGTGCGCCGCCCAGAGCCGACCGTGGGGCCTTCTTTTCAGGCTTAGAAGCAACTAGGAAACAACTTGTTAAACGGAGACGCGTGTGCCCAAAGGTTGCTGACTTCCGGGCCTTGGCAGGAAAGTATGAACAAGTCTAGTTTTTCAGTATTTTCCGGGGTTTGTGCTGATAACTCCGATGGCATCGAGAGTTTGGCAACTTGCACTGGGATTCTGGCATAGACCGTATGTTACGCTTTCAGAGTTTCAGGTCAGTTGTATGCAAAATCTGAAAGCAACTGCACGTTGCTTCTTGGACCCGGGCGAGCAGGCTTTGTCAGTTTGTTGATCTTCCATGGATTGTCTCAAGACTCTCCACCTCTCTTCCTCGTGGTGTGCAGCACCCCGCCCCACCTTTTTCCGTTTATTTTGCTTTTGACGATTTGACCACCATCATCATCATCATCGTCATCATCATCATCATCATCATCATCATCATCATCGGCACCACCATCATTCTCCAGGAGCAGGGACGACTCCAAAGGCACGGCGCTCTTCCCGCTTGCCTTGGCTGTTGCACAGTAACTAGCATCCTGGTGTGATAGAATTCTGTTGATTTGGATGGAGCCCAAAGCCTCAAAAGCAAATTAAATTCTGAGACTACTGACGCATCCCAGAATCTGCAAGCCTTCGCCCAGATTCGTAGAAGAGGGCCTCAATTCTGCCACCTTTTCTGAAAAGCCAGGAGGATGGTATGGGGGCGCAAAGGGACTCTGCCTCCAAAAAACAGAGAGGGATGTGTTTAAATTCTGTCAGGCAGCGGCTATGGTCCAGATTCCTCAAGGAAGGGGCCAGGGGCTCGCATTAGCTTGACATGTGCGATTGGAGTACCCGTAGAGTCATCGAGGGTATCGCCTGGGAATTGATGGTGTTGATGGCAATCCCTTTCAGTAGTGATTGCGGAGGTGCAGCATCAAACGACCTCACTGAAATCCCCACATGCCTGGCCACGGGTCATACGAGTCGTCAAAGGCCTGTGGCTGCTGCGGGCCGAGGTGGGCGGAAGAATGGGGTTAGGTGTCTTAGGCATGGGAAGGTGAACTTGAAGGTAAGTTGTTAAAGGTTCACTCGACAGGGTGCGATGCTGCGAATAAGTCAGATGCAAGCCGCACTGCAACAATGTCCCAGTGGCTCTGTGGCTCTGTGTGTGTGTGTGTGTTCGTTCTCATTCTTTTATGTGATCGAAGATGCTGAAAGAGCAGCTTGCCTGGCTTCCGGGCTTGCCTCTGACAAACTTCCTTAAATACACGATTTTAGACATGAGGATCCGGGATTGAAGCCTCTAACAACCTCAATCCTGGAACTTGAAGCTTTTGAGATTTCGTGCCGGTTCAGAGTCCAAAATTCACCTGTCGGATGCAAGTGAATGGCAGCATTGCCAGGGCAGAGGCTTTATTCTAGTGGCTGGAGTCACAGGCAGCAAGGGTGCAGACTCCCATTGTCACATCAGCTTGGGGGATCATGTATCATTGTATCATGGCAGCCGCTAGCTTGAAGGTAGAAGGAGCCCAAACGTATATAACAGCTCGATCGGAAGAAACCCCTCTGCTTGGCGCAGTGTCCTGCTCTGTGGTTGCATCAGTTGAAGGCCTTGAACAGTGAGCGGGCCTTACACTTGGCGCAGCCACGTTGCTGTTTTCATGGTGTTCCCGCTTTTATTCCAACCTCATCTTGCAGTGCACCCCGGTATCGAGAGCAACACGGAGGTCCGCCCGCTGCGAGAGCTCCGTCTTCCTCCCAAGCGGAGGAGTCCGACGAGGATGGGCGCTTGCGATTGTGCGAGTAGTTCCCGCTGCAACCAGACAGTCATGGGGACGCGTACTAAGCCCTGAATGCCTGGGTTCAACATGTGAGCAGACACGTGCAGACTGTGGACTTTGCGCACCGAGGATGGCTGCGATGTTCAAAGGATCACCTGCCCTACGATCGGGAGCCTCAATGAACCCAAACAGCAGTATACTAACATAATCAGAGTAGATTTAATAATAAGAATAATCATAGCAATAATAAGAATCATATTAACAAGTCCAGAAAGCGCTGAAAGTGGGAAGGATGGCGCCGAAGAGATTTTCAGCATGGCCAAGTTCCAGCCAGTTGGGAACTCAGACAGCTGTAAGTTCAAACTGTGTGCATTCCCTTTCTGTGTGCTACGGAATACGTCCCTTTGCTGTAAGGATGAGACCCCTCAACCGGAACCATCTCTCCCAGCTGACTATAGTTTCCTTAGGACTTGTTTGTTGCTGAGATTCTTGTTATTGCAATGCGAGATCTAAACTTATATAGTGTATACAGTTTTATGTTTATGTTTATGTTTACGTGATCATATTCATGTATATATATATATGTGTATATATGTCAATATATTCGTGTATAGTCTTCGTCTACTCTATATATATATATATATATATATGGTGCAATTGTGTGTGTATCTAATGTTATGGAAACTTGTTCGAATACATAGCTGAGGCGCGTGCCAACTTGGGTCCTTCAAGTGGCTCCAACCTGCGGGTGCTCTGGCACGGTTCTCCAAAACAGTGCATTGGGATTCCTTTGTGGGAGGCTCCCTTTTACAAGGAGTTGTCTCAGAAACTGTAGTTGCCACCTCTGGCTACCTATCAGGGGGTCCTAACTTAGGGGCAGCCTGGGGGTTGGATGTTGGCTTGGGCAACCGGCGCCTGTCGTGCAGGGACTCGGACTGGTTTTGCTTGCAGGAGTCGTTCCGATGTAATCGTGTATGGGCTGTGAAGTGCTTGAACTACCTGCTAGCGCACGCTTCTTGTGTGCGCACAGCCTGGAGCCAGTCGTTTGCTCAAAGGTGCTGTGAGGTCACACTGCTGTGCTGTGCATCGGTGAATTGCACAGTATGCGTAATCACCCAAGCGAATGAGGGGCCTGAGACTTTGGCGTGGTACTCCTGGTCTTGTATAGAAACCATGCTGTGAGTAACCTGCACCACATCATATCGCTGCTATCGCTTAATACCGCTTCGCGCGCATTTCTTTTGTACGGTCTTGTCTGCTGTACCCATCGGAGGGAGTTGTACTGAAACGTAATGGAACCGATAACCCTATATATGTATGTGACGATGTAAGCCATGCAGCGGCATGTAGTTTGCGGTATGCATTGCATGCTTGACATTGCAGGGCAGGGCTTGATGGTATGGTAGGTCCATAAACTGACGCACACATCCGCGTGTAGGAGGAGTCTACACATATGTTTGTGAACGTATATCCGTGTTTTTGCATATACAGATATATCTTGTGCAGGTGTGGACGCTCACAGGTTATGTAAACCTACGTACGTATGCATGCGATTTAAGGGATGAACATGAAACCCATTTGTATTGCCTTGCATGGCTTTTCATATGAAAAGTTTGCTTGGTGAAGCGAATGTCGGCAGAGCCACTCTTCTGCGCAGCAGCTCAGCAAGTCTGCTCGTTGTGACAGGCATGGGCGCTAGCAGCAGCAAAAGATCAAAGCGACGAAGAGGACAGACAGAGCCTGTGCGATTTGCATCTCTCCATGTCCATGACTGTTCTCGATGTCGGATGCCTCTTTTACGATTGAGGTTTGTTTGTAGCATCGAGAGACGGACTGGCAACAAAATGTCCTCGCCCCTTATCGCGGCAAGTTGTCTTGACAAAGGCACCTATAGGGTTGACCCACAACATTGTCCATATCTAGAAGAAGAAGAGCCTCCCACTACGCTCACATGGTTCTCCGCGCTGCCACACACCTGCCCGCTGCCACCGAAAACATCAAACATCTGCGTCTTGCGCAGCCAAGGCCTCGTCTGCCTAGAGCGTCTCTCTTCTGTGAATGGGCATTTGGATCAAATCTTCTTGCATAGGACAGTGGTGACGACGAGCTTGCCCGGTTCTGAGCAGGGTCGGGCGGGAGATGTCGAAGCAAACTTCTTGGAGTTCTTGGGGGCCTTCATTGAGACGGTCGCCTCGCAAGAAGCTGTCTTCAAGCGGGTTTAGGGATCAGGCTTGCAGAATCGTGATGCTTAGGCACATAACCTGGAATATGCATTCCGGCATCGTAGTGTCTTGGTATGTCTCAGCAAAGTTCAACGTTTTTCTTTCGCAGCGCTGTTGCCACCTCGCCGCGTATCTCCCCCGAAGGGCACCACACTAGCGTGATCCCAAGCCTGCGACTCTACTACTTTTTCTGCCTCTTCCTTTTCTGACAACCAAGGGCCCTGAGCTGTATAGGCCTCCAGGATTAATCCCAGTTCTGCGAATCCTCGATCCCGGCCATCCACTGCAGGACTGGATCGCGCAGCGCCAAAAGGCAACTTCCAGGGATGGACGCTAACGAAAAAACCCCTCTGTGCTGACCTTGCAACCCCCGACAGAGGGCGGTCCAAGACTTCGGTTTCGGGCAATTCTCATTTGTGCATCCCGATCACGGGAATGCACAGGATCCCAAACTAGCGAAGTGCAAGCTGGCCCTGTCAGATGCGCAACGCCGCTCCATCTGCGGGGGCCCGAAGAGGGGTGAGACACAGTGGTGGTTGCCTCCGGCCCTTCTGCGATTTCTGCAAAAGGTTCCTGCTTCAATGAGCCTCGGTGTATTTCTCGCACATATGCTCACGTGATAGCTCCTGTACGTTTTCGGCTGCAGCTACCTGTCTTGCATGGCCAGCTTTGGATGTTCGTGCTCACGCACATACTTCCGATCCGACCAGTGCTCGTCATTGGTCGAGTAAGTGACCATACTTTCGGGTCATGATCGTGCACACTGGGCGCGCACGAACCCAGCATGATACGCAGCATCCTAAACAGCCACGACACAACCTCGGCTTCTCCACTTCTCCTCACTGCCTTCGTTTGGTTCGTGAGTGATGGAAGTGCAATCACAAGATTTGACTGCAAACATGCACCTGAGACCTGACTTTCAGAGATGTGAACACACACACACACCCCAAAAACCCTGAAGAAAGCCTTTGCAGGCACAGTGGCCCGAAATGGCCCAAACTTCATGAATCCCCCGGAGGTCAAGCCTCACGCACTTTCAAACCAAATCCTTACTGCAAGGCGCCTGCCATGGTGCCAACGGCCGCCCTGCCCAGCATGAGGGCCATCGGCTCGGTTTTGCTTTTGGGCCTGCGTCGTGGTCGAGGAGGGTTCGACGGTTTTGGTATAGGGCTCTTCATGCAGAATTTTGTTCAAGGTTGTTCACGTGATCAAAATGCTTCAGAGCTTCAACCATGAAGGGGGGAATTTAGACACTGAGGGGCTCAGATTGGTTGTTTTTCCCGAAAGCACTGCCAAGGCTTATTCGGAAAGGAACGCTTACCAGCACACCGCACCACCTAACACTTCTCCGCACCACTCCACCTACACTTCGATTGCCCCAGCTACACAGCTTCTATACGCTTCTATTAAATTCTATCTCATTTCTTAGGCTGGGTAGGTTTGGCGGGGCTTAGCCGAGATCACAGTAGCTACGCCGCACCTATTTCTCGGCACCTACATGGCGCCATGACCAGCACACTCAGACTTACACACTGAGTTCTTTCGGGATCATCGGTGTCTAGTTGAGACTTGCGGTTGCCACAGGAGATGCGTTGCCTTTTAAAGTCGCGCGCGAGAACCCTGGAAAACTCTGCACGCCCTAGAAATCCAAGCAAGCCTATACATCCATCTGAACCTCAACCCTCTGCAATCCTTGTGACCTGTCGGCAAGGCTGGGGGCAGCCGCGGGCCCAAAGACGACTCAGACTCGGGCAGCGATGCCCGGGTCCTACCTCGGAGGGGTTGTAGGGCCGCTGCCCTAAGACTCGAGGATTTTAGTGAGGGAGTCTTAAATTACGATAAAGGCGAGCTTCTGGGATTTTTTCGCCTGAAAGGCTCAAGCTAAGAAATCCTGGGCTTGGTGCTTAGTGGCATTCAGGCGTGGCGTGCACTCCCCAAACAATCGCAGGTCATTGTTACTCGAGCTTGCAGGCTTGGGTTTGAGGCGGGATGACGCAAAAGCCATTCACGAGTGTATGCAAAACTGGTATGCATGGAGAAGAGTGCCAGTGTATGGAGGGGACAGCACTCCGAGAGCATCTGGGGCATCCCAAGGTTGAGCCTGTGTTCTTCCGCCGCTGATGCTTCGTCTTTCTTGGGCAGACTGGGACTGAATTCTCGTCTGCATGGAGCCTGTTTTCCACTACCCCATGTAGTCCCCGAGGAACTTGGCTCTCTCAGAGTAGGCAGAGGAGCTCCCGGAGCTGGGCCGTGTATTTCGGAGACAAGTGAACTCAATCCCACAAGTTAGAGCACCAAGTTCAGCTTCCGTCCCCCTGTGGCGCTTCAAGTCTCCAAAGAACGGGACACGCCGACCACGGAAAAGGGCCGCTTGCGTGCTTTCAGGGTGTAGAGTCGTGTTTGCTACCACTTTTGCAACCGAAGCCTTGAAAAGGACACCAAGGGGGGCATGCAGTAGGTCATGCAAAGAGGGGCCTGCATTTGTATATCGGTTAGAGATAACTCTCTCTCTCCCTCTTTCTCTCTCTCTCTTGCTCTGCGCCCCTCAACTTTCGAAACCCTGCACCCCAAACCTTTGACCCTTCTTTACGTTTCCTCTACTTGGTGCTAAACTAAGCCGACATGGGATCCTGGTCTTCCATCCTCGACCCTAGCCCCTACCCGCAGTTTTTGCTATCGGAGTCTTTCATGAGGCCATCGGCCAATCGCTTTTTTGCAGGGAATCCGCGCAGCTAGTTGAAGGCATGCGGGCCAGCCGATCTTCCATTCTGGACACCTATGTGTTAACTAGTGTCATGGTCTATTGGTTCAGGACGGTTCAGGCTTAGGTATTGCCATTCTGAAGACGAGTGCATTTCTTTGGCACGTGCTGTGTGGTGGCTCACTGGTGCGCATAGAAGCTGCTGAGAATCTCGTGGAAAACCCTGCCGAGTCTTGGCAAAACGTATGATCTCGCTACTCGAAATAAGTAATGACTTAGTAACCCCACAGGCCAGTCTCCAGAGACAAGATGTGATGTGGATCCCCATTGGCTTCTCAATCCGAGCTTCAGGTTGTTGACAATTGGGCACCCTGTTCTGGCGCAAAGGTTTGTCTTCTCCGGTCGTGACAAACCTTTGCGCCAGAACGAAATCTACCCCCTCCCCTTCACATGGTCGTCATGCACAGTGTTGCCCGATGTGGCCGGGACTGAAGCAAGATGAAATGTCGAGACGCTGTTAGCAGTTTATGTGTGACGGATGTTGCGCCGTTGTGGCTGCAATGGTAGTGTTGGATTCTTGATGCTGCGTGCAGCTGGTGCACACACCCAGGCATGGTTTCTCAAAACGCAGCTATGCACCGTATCCTTTTGACGGCCACCGCCGTTCTTTTGGGCATCAGCACCTGGGCTTAGGGTGTTGGAGTTCTTGTTTCGATGGTTGAGCATGATTCCGGCGCGTCGAAGAGTCTAGGAGGCTACCGTTCATTGTTCATAGCAGTTGCTGTGAGATCACTAGTGCGGATTGCGCGTGGGTGGTAGGTTGAATCGCCAACGTCGTTGTCTAGATTCCACCAAGGACAAATCAATGCGGAGCTCGTGGAGAATGAAGACACGAGGTGTGATGACGCTGTGTGCGCTGGACACGACAGAAGCGCTTCTGAGGACGGCGGTTCTGCGGGAGATTTTCGGTAGTCATTCGGTCGCAGCTGCCGCAGGCTGTCGCAGACAGCAAGCATGCTGAACATACTGAGCAAGAGAAAAAGCGCAGAACTTCACACCTGAAAGCATCAAGCTCCTGTGACCATCTCTTCAAAGCGAATCTCTCTCCAGAGTTCTCTTCCAGGAGGTCCAGGCCCTTCGAACAGAGCTCCTCCAGACTGCCGTGCAGCTGAAGCGCAGTCGCCGGGCTGCGACACGTTCATGTGCTTGCTGCCTTACATTTCCTAAATTGTATCATGGTGTTAGGGCCCTCTTCTTTAAAACGAGGGTTCCCACAGCAAGTGCCGCAAAAACAAAGTCTCAGGCAAAGAGGCGCCCAACGAGATGCTGCATGATCTGCAGATCGAGACCTTCCAGGCTGCAGCGGAAGCATTTGTTCAGGGAAGCCGCAGTGTCTCGTTTCATGTTCTTCAGACGGACTCATCACCAGTCACTGGGGTCCCTGTCTGCAGTAGTACCGTGCGTTGATGAAAGCAATGTATCGGGTTTTGCGCCAGCACTCGCGTTCGTTCTTCTCATCGGCTTGGTAGGGTCTATGATCTGTCAGTAGTAATTACGACTCACGGTGAGGGTGTGGAGCTGGGTCATGCACTGGCTGCGGAAGATTACCGCCTCCAAAGATCCCCCTGACCCGGAGTGCCATCGGAAGGCCGAGTCCGAAAACCGAGAGGCCCTGCGAAGGCAGGCAGATGCCATGGCGGCGGAGACACGAACCGCAGAGGCTCCTTTGGCCCATTCAGATGGAGTTGCTTAGGTGGGCTTTTTTCGGGGATTGCGCAAGGCCCTGAAGGCCATGCACCACGAGACGTCCACCGGACCTCCGCAGGCAGAGATGCTTCAAGACTAAGAGCACGTGCTCTGAGCAGCTTTCTGGCTCTGCACTCTCGACATGTGCCTGTCGGCAATGCCAGGCGTTGCATGCACCCAGCGACCCGAAGCCGAAGCACTCGATGCCTGGCTGGCTGTTATCGAAAGTTGTACGTAGACCCCCAGAGAGGGAAGGGACAAGCAAGCGCTCCCTTCCTCCAGCACAAGCTGTGAGCAAGAAGCACATCGATTCATCGAAGAGTCATTGGCTACCCTGGGCTGCAGAATGTTGAGCATCGAACCTGTGGAGGATGCTGCTCTTTCGATTTGAGACAGACCTAATTGAGGCACATTAAGCCCTGCAGCCCCACCAACGCCCCGCTGTCCCCATTGCTGTCAGTTGCACCATGTCTTGCGGCAACAGTTGATGTCAACATGCTCCTTCCGAAGCATTGCTAAAAAAACATGCCTCTCTGAGAGCAGCGGCCTGAAGGAAACATCATGGGAACAGCCAGAACAAGCTCCTCGAGGCAAGACTTCGCGACAGTGGGTGTGGAACAGCGCGTGTGTGCTGGCTTTGTCTCCTCAAAACCTGTCTCTGGATACAGGAGGCCATGATCCCGGCCGGTGCCCTTGTTGCAGGTGCGGCTGGGCAGAGAGCTCTGTAATCAATGCAGAGGAGTAGTAGAGGAGTCGACTCAGTGGCTCTTTTGAAGATTGCTCTTCCGCACGCAGTGTGTCAACGCCATGGCACTCTGGGGTTCCAACGCCGAGAGGTCTGTAAGGGGGTTTATAAGCTTAGATTGCGGATGCTGCGCAGCTCTCGCGTGCACGCGCTCGTGAAGTGCAGCACTGTCGTTACTATTGCTGCCTCGAATGCTCGACGTCGTGGAGTTGCATGTGGTCCTCGGGGTGCTCGGCTGCTCTTGGAGAGCTCTGGGAGTGCTTTTGGAGTTCTGGAGTAGTGCTTGTACATCGTTAGGTCTTGGCTTGCTGGTGGGGTCTACGCTGGCCGAATGCTATGGTTATGGTATAGTCATGGACCATGATATATCTCGAGACATATCCCTGACCCCGGGCTACAACGTTTTGTGCAAGGGTTGGGGTGACACGTGGCATCACTCCATCGGCTTGCCCCTCTTACAGCCCACAGAACTCGCTTCAAGATCAACTGCAACAGTGCGTAGCCGCGTAGCCGCACAGCCTCAGGCGGTTGAGATCACACACAATGCAAGCGTGGTTTGACCTGCAGCCTTTGCACTTCCTCGGATGTCTTACTTTTGAAGGTATAAGTGGCTGCTGACACCTCGTAACTCACGACAGTCTGGTTGAGATGACACCTCGCTTTGCATGCCAGGCGTGCTTCTGCTGTGGTACGAGCTGACGACTGCAGGGATTCTGGCCATCTACTTCGGCGCACAGGTCGCTTTGTGGCAGGGAGATCTGGGAAGTGCATCATTCCTCTAGCTTCAAGAGTGGCAGGCCACGGCTGAGTGTTAAACCTCAGGGCACTATATATATATATATTTCCACATACGTATTTATATATATATATATATGTATGTTCATATGCATCTATATATACTCTTTGTAACTGTAAATACAGGCACATTTGTGCGACACTCCTTTTCGCGCGACAGAAGCTGCTGTTTGAATGCTGGGCGATTGCCGCCAGCTGCAGGCCGGCTTCACCCTCTACATGAAGGCCGGACTTCTTTGTGAGACGGGCGAAAATTTTCGTCTCGTAGTTCACGCTGCCAATCCATGCCCTGCCCTAACCACTACTTTTCGAATGGGAGCTGTGTAACCGGAACTTTCAATGGTCTTTTGTTTCCTCTTGGCTCAGAGGTTGTCCTGTCCAACTCGGTCATCTCGAAGGAGCTGGGTCTCTTGGACTGCAGCATACTACTGCAGAATGACGGGAGGGCAGTCTCCCCCGACTTGTACTCGTGCTCCTCACTTCTGCAGCAAGGATGTATAATATGAGAAGTTGTGCAAGTTGTGCCCACCCAGCACCAGATCATATCCCAGCACCTGAGGCATTTCTGGTGTGCCTGCCGGCTTCCTTGTCACTGCAGTGCAGCAGGTTGTGGCATTCTTTGTGTCCGCAGCTCAGACTCTCGAGGGAACTGGGGCGTTTGGTGCAAGATGGATGGATCAGGTGTAGATCAGAGTAGGCTTGGAGCGCTCTCCAGCTCGGTCTTGAAGTTAGCTTGGGAGGGCTGTTGAAGGCGCACTCCTTTCAACTCTTTCACCAATGCAGTTGCACCGAGGCATCTATTTATTATTTTCGGGTGTTTGTGTGTGCCTATGCTGCTCACACCTCTTGTCCGAGCTTGGGGTGCAGGAGGCCTGTAGGGCCTAATGTTGGTAGAGTTGAGGTGCTTTGCTCTTAAAGGCTCAGGGCGTAGAGGCAGGGTGTTTTTTGACATGTCGCCGCACCGGGTCCACATAAGCGAGGCTGGCCGTCATCGTTGCGGTCATGTACTGCACGCCTTACCGATACACCCCCAGACGGCTCAAGAGCTGGTCCGAGGCGCGAGGGGGGCCCAGGGGGGCTGGGATCTTCGGACTTTTTTTCATCCCTTGGGTCTGCGTACATGGGTCCATATCGCGAAGCGGATCGGCCTGAGCTTTCCCTTCCAGTTCACGGAGGTTTGAGGTCCTCCCGGGGGTCCCCCAAAAGGAGTTTCCAGTTTTGATCTCCAATTTTGATCTCCAAAACGGTGTAAAGGTCATCTTATTGGCTTCTAGGTCCCTCCATCACTTATCAACGAAGTCCGGGGCTTCCCCAAAGTTGACCCGGGCACCCTTCCCCGAGCTCAGGCCCTAAACTAATCGAAGCTATGCATGAAGAGGACACCGAGGATCTAGATTCATGTCTGAAGGCAACCCAAGATGCATTTCGGCTGTCAGGTTGCCTGCGTGATTCTCTTTTCCTTCGCCTTCTCCTTGAACATCGGCCTGAACAATTTCAGCCTGTCCTTGCTTGCGGTCTCGCTGAACATGATTATCCGGCAGCCTGGCTACATCAAGCGCCGGTAACTACTTCAATACGTACTTGTACGGAGCACACATCATCCTTCCGACTGCAAAAAGTTGCTCAGAATTATCCCTCTTCCGCAACCACCGCAACTCCAATGGAACGATCTCAGTCAATCACCATAAACCCCTCTCCCTACCATAGGCCCCCCCCCACCACACACCCCTCCCCCCCCATGAGAATGCATGTTGATGCTTGTAATGAGGGCGGCTTAGGTTGAAAAATCAGGTAGTGGCTTAAGCCAAATTCAGTCCCAGAGCCTCACTGTAGGAGCACAGCCGAGTCCTCAGGTCCTGTCTGCCCGTCGTTACCCTGGCCTTCCAGCAAATCCTGGGGCCGTGCGGCCCGTCGATGCTTTCTTTGTGTTTCTTCGTGTTGGGCGCAGAGCCTTCATGGTCCTGGGTGGGGACGGCCTTTTTGCAGCTTAGGCATCCCCGACTTAGCGCAGAAGGTGCGGATGACGGAAGTGATATTGATGGTGGCAGGCAGGGCTCGTCCTGGACGGCTGCGAGCCGGGCATGAGGGCGAACATGACATGAACATGACTCCCAACTTGCTTCTGCAACCGCCGACCCACTGGCAAATGTCTGAAGGCGTGGTCTTTGCGGCTGTAGCGACCGTGGCAAAGAGTGAAGGCCCCCACCCCGATTGCCTACAGTTTAGGGATTGGCTCCTTGAGGGCGTCTTGCCCGTGAACTTCTTTTCGGTTGGGGCGGATCTTGTCTTGTCCTTCTGCATCGAGTCTCAGGTCATCAGTTTCTTGCCCTTGCACACTCTTCAAACTCTAGGTTTTTAAACTTTCAATGAGAAGGAAAGAATCAAGTCTGAACACGCACCAATGTAAAGGTACCCTCGCTTTCCTGCAACCCATGTGCAGCGAAGGAATGCTCAAAGCGGAAGCTTGATGTCAACCCACGCTGTGAGTACTTGGTGCAAGGCTCGCATCATGGTGGTGCCGAGTCCAAGAACTTGCTGCTCGGGGTTATGGTCTGCACCTTGCTACCCGGCTGCAAAGTAGAGTCCGTCACGCAACGTAGTGATGTAGTGCCCATCAGACGTAGGCTTTCTGCGACTAGAAGCAACCTTGAGGTCTGACGCAGCCTGCGCGATCAATCTCATCCTGGGCAACATGTTCGGCAGCTCGCTGGACCCCCCGCTAAATCCTGCCCGGAGCCAAGACTTCAATTCGAGACAGCCGGCCCGCCCCACAGTGAGGGCACGTGGCTCGAGCCGCATAGGCGTTCTCCCTCGCAAGTGTCCGATGACCCGAAAGGACAGGAGTACGAAGGATGCAGTAGAACATGGAAAGGCTGGCCCTTCCTGGCTCAGAACACCCCTGAAGCAGAAGCAACAAGCAAGCACCGGAATGCTGAGCTCAGGTAGACACCATCTTCTACATGGCCTTGCCGTGCGCGCTTTTTCTGATGCCAGCCTCCATCCTCTTCTTGCGCCTGAGTTCAATGTCAAGTACGAGCTCTCTATTGCAGTTGCTGTGAGTTGTGAGCTCCTGGGCTTTTCGGTTTTGCTTGCCGTCTCGTGAACATCATGAAAGCTGGCCCCTGTGAAGCCGTGATCGTTCTTGTTTACGTTCTTTGCCATCTCTCCCATTGGGTCAAAAATATGTCTGAGGCCCTGACGATATGATCTCATACAATGGTTAATGACTTGTATGGAGGTATCGAGCCGACATGCCAGAAACACGCGTCGACATGCTAAACATCCTCCTGGTGCGCCAACATGGATCCCGGAATGAGGGCGAGTGAGCTGGAGGAACTTGAAAATGAAAAAAATTGAAAGCGTGACCCACCGACGTACACGCCGACATGCCCAAAACACACACGCCGACATGCAAAAGACACTCGCGGACATGGCAAAACTTGGCTGCCGTCGACATAACAAAACGTGCCGACATGCCAAAACCACACCAAAACTCCTCACGGTGCGCCAACGTGACACGGACATGTCAAAACCGACCCCTGTGGAGACTATACCTCCGGTTTTTTTTTCTATCTTGTAGAGACACTACTGAACCCCATAACCCACCCCTGATGTGTGGATATGCGTTTGATATAGGCGTGATGCTTAGGTGTAGCCCCCGGCATTTCTGGGGGCTTAATCGTCTCCCTAGTTAGTCTCAAGTCCCCAAACCCCAAACACATCCTGCTGTAGGATTCAGACTTGATGCGCTTGGGTGAAGAACAGAAGGCAAAGAAGCCCCCGCCCATGGTTTCGTGGGTACAGTCTGGATGCACTCACTCAGGGCCCGAGTGATAATTTGGGGTGTCAATTTTGGATTTCAGGTCGGGAGTTCATGCTACTGCTAGTGCCCCTCTCTTGAGGCATCCGGTGGATTGGGCTAACTTCGGCGACATCACTGATCTTCAGGTGCGCCTTCCCAGCCCTGATATCGCAGTGCGGCAGTGAGGGTTTCCACAAAGCTCAAGTCAAGGAGCTGCAAAGTACAGTAGCTAAAGCAGCCAACGCCGCTCCGACGCGCCTCAGATTCTGTTTATCTTCCTGGCATTTCCTGGCCCTAAACCCTGAGCCCTGGAAGGTCTTTCAAAAGGTCATGGAGCTCAGCCCATCCACCATGCTGTGGGTTATCCTCTCTGGCTGCATCGCCGCAGGCAGGGCTACGGCAGGGTTTGTTTTCTCAGGATTTAGGGGTTATACAGGGTTCAGGATTCAGGGCTGCAAGTTCAATCTGAGTCCCAGGCCTTGTGTAGCAGGGCCCAGAACCCTCAGAATCAGGATACAACGTCCTGCAGTACACCGTGGTTCAGAGACTATCTGCCAGCCATGCCGCCTTCGCCGGCAACTTCAACAAGGCCACACGCGCTGCGCACAAGAACAGCCATCGAAAGTGGGGAGTCCAAGACAATTCTTTTGCCAGAAAGCTGGGCCTCAAGACTCGGCTATTCTGGGAATACTTGTGGGCTCCCTAAACCCCCTGAACCTCTCCGAAACCCTCTGGAGGCTGCCACCATCATGCTCTCCATCTGCATGGGCTTAGAGAGCCTCCCCGGTGGTGTGTGGAGCGCAGTGCGCCGGCCGAAGTAGGGTGTGCCGAGCTTAGGGCGGCAGTAACTTGGTAAAGTTCCGGTTCCCTTTCGGTGAAGCCGGTTGGGTTTCCATTCGGTTTGCATCTTGTGTACGATCGCGTTGCTATTCCTGCCAATTCCTGCCGGTACGGTTGAAACATGCGATTCGTTCGCCGTGCTGCTCGCGCTTATGCAGGACACATTGGGAGGACTCATGCCGGTAGACTGACTCGGACATCCAGAAAGTTTGAAGAAGACATCATGGGGTGGTTGTCAGAATTATGGTCCCTTGTAGGATCCCTATGATAAGACGGCACCTGGGTTGACAGGTTCAGGGCAATGCGCGATTCTTGTTTCCAGATCCCGCGATTCCTTGTACGAAACGGTTGGAGCACTTCGATTCTGACAGCGATTCCCGTACTGTGTGGTCGTTCCGGTCTGTCTTCCGGTGCTTCGTTTCCAGAGCCTTCCTGAGAGCTTTTCTTGAACTCCTTGTAGGAATGTCTCGAGGGAAGCCGGCCAAAAAACGCCTATAGATATTCGGAGCGATTCTTCTTCTTCTTCCATACAAGAGCAGATGCAGTTGTGTTGAGACCACATCTCCCTACCATCCACGAGGTCATGCTCCTGGCCATCATCGGGAACATTGGGGCTTTCACCGGTTTCAGCTTGCCCCTGGGCTGCCATGAAGCTTTTGCATGCTCTCAATCTCAGCATCGACTGCTTCCGATGCGTCCCCCTGCCAGTAAAAGGCTCCGCTCAAGTCAGATACTCGCACTGCGAATCCGCCACCACGCGTAGAAGAACTTGATCCGAATCGTGCCAGTACTCCCTCCCCACCTAGACATTGTGTAGGTTGAAGTCCAACGAGAAGGCCATCAAGAAGGCTCAAAAAGGGTCACTGCGTTGTTGTGAGTCTTTCCTAAGGGATGACGGCCGATTAAGTTTGCTGAGTGCCCTGAAGGCGGAGAGCGAAGCAGCGGGAAAGTCCTAGAAGATGAGGAAGCAAAGTGGCTTGACGTAGATTCTGGGAAGCTGGTATGTTTGTCCATCTTCGGGTTTGCACGCAAGGCGTCAGGTTTGGGCTTGGATTGCTGCAGGTTTCTGCGTCCATTTCGTGTTTGGCTCGTTCTGTACATTATGGATCTGCGCCTGCCACAGCAAAGGACATCGAGACGCACGGTGACGCACGTTCCATCGTCTTTTCATTTACGTCACCATGTAATTAATTCCTGGTACATGGAGTGAGACGGACGAGCCGCTAATTCCTGGCATTTGATGTGCCACGACCTATGTGTGCCACATGAAGGCATGGAAGATCATAGAAGATCATAGGTTTCACTGTCTCAAACTTGTTGACAGCTGTGTCTCGGGCTGGTGTGCGTGTGTACCTGGACCTGTGGCAAAGCGGAGCGCGGCCGTGCCTGAATCTACGTACGCTGTGCTCCCCAATGATTCCAGGGCAACATAGGACAACCGGGTTCATGATGGTGAGCTTCGACCTGTCAAGTTAAGGGCTATGAACGAGAAGGTTCAGAGTAGCGGTATGCTTCCTGCGGGTACCGGGACTCGTTTACTGGAGGGAGCCAACGACCTTTCCAGCACCAGCTGTGCACTTCTGCGTGAAATTTTGGATCGGCAGCGCGAGCTAGCTTGGGCTTGCGAGCCATGAGCCGTACTAGATCTTACTACGGATCGTGCTACATCGCACTCTCGTATCACTTGTTGGTTACCAACTGCAGCTTGAGTCGCCCAACTTAGCTTGTCACCTCACTCCATGGACGGGAAGCCCTGTGCTATGCAGCCCCGCAACCTGGGCAACTCTTCTGCCATGTCCTGAACTTCCTAAGACATGGTGCTGCCAGTGCTGCCCGTGTCTCTCACGAAGGCTGGGGGCTCTTTCCTCTGGCTCTGTGTAGGCCATGGTAGGGCGCATGCCAACCGGCTGCCTCTTGTTGTGTTTTGTCGTCCGTTGCTGATTCTGCGTCACCTGATACGACAATCAGGGGGGTGATGGCTACGCAGATGTTCGAAAACGTGCGATAAACTGTTTAAGGAGAGCATCTTGCATGTGGTGCACAGACTGCACAGACTCTTCGCAGAGGGAAGTATGCCCTCCTAAACCCCAGGCGAAGGGCTGCCCACACCTCTCATGTTGCAGGAGCTTTGCTGTTGAGTCCATGGGGGGCAAAGGGCGCCGTCCGCTTCCTGGTCAGGGTTCAGCGGCAAGTTGGCAAGTTTGCTGCTCATGGAAACTGAAGAGGATTTTCTGTCAATGCCTCGCTGGATAGAAGATACGCAGCCCATCTTACTTCACAATTGTGTACGGGGTGTCATGGAGCCAAGACTCAACTTGCGCAGACCATTCCTGGACCCCTCCTCCCTATGCAGCAGCCCTTCTTACTGGCCTTCAGTCCGACATTCTTTTGAATCAACATGTCTCAAGTCCTGAGGTGGTGGCAAGGGGAAGGCGCCTTGAGTTGCGCGGCCCCTCATACAAGTTCCAGCAGCAATGGTTAATCTCTGTATTTGTTTGATTTATGTATCTGAATGGTAAAGTTGGCTGTTGAGTCATTGCAGTCATGGCAGCATGCGATCTGTCTACATTCGTACATGCATGCAGATCTAACCCACGCATGCACACATGCCGGACCATGCCATCCTTATAAATAGATCTATATAGTCTTCTTATATTCATATTTATACTTATACGGTAGCACATAATTATATATATATATATTATGAACGATCGCTGCCCTTTGAAGTCTTGCAGGGTGGCAAAGGCGGTGGCAAAGGCTGTGGCAAAGCGCCACGCAGGCCAGCAATCACTGCAGTAGGAGTTGTTTGGGGGATCCTGGGCTTTTCCTGGATGTCGACTGCCCGAAGCAAGCGGACACATTAGGACAGGGATGCGAGCTTGAGCTTCCCAGATTTGAACCTGCCTCCTTGGAGCAACCCTGCAGGAAATTAGCTCAATTCCAGGGCCCTTAGGTCGCCAGCTCAACCGGCCGATACCTCAAAGCACTCAGGCCTTCAACGCCTCTGCTTAAGGGGGCAAACCTATAACTCCCCTTAGAACCTTAAGAAGCATCACACTTTTAATCTTCCGCCTTTTTCTCAATATTTGAAAGTACTTCCTAAGGGGGCTATAGAAACCAGAATCTCCTGCATGCTAGGCCGCCGCGACGACTAGGGCCACCAAGGAGGCCCCCCGTGTCTACAAAGCGTTTGTGCCGTAGGTAGTAATAGTAGAAAGGGCTACTAGTAGCAGAAGAAGGGTTTTGTGGCTTAGGGGTTAGGGTTCAGTTCTCTGTTCTAGCAGGCGTCAGGATTCGGGATTTATGGGTTTTGTGCTTCAAGTGTCAGGGATTGAGGACACCGCCGCGCTTTCACAAACGTGGCCCGTGCATCGGACAGCATTTGTTCGGAGTCAAAGGGTTCTTGAATCTGTCAGAAGGCATTTGGCCCTGCGGCGAAGACGATTTAGAATTTCACGGATCTTTGCGAGAATCTGCCGGGCACTTTTTGCGCTATCTCCCAACCCTGCCCACACCCCAGCCCTTTAACGCCAGCAACACCGACCCCTCGTTTTAAAATCTGTAGGTCCTATAACAATGAGCTGAGGGCCGGGGCAGCGCGCCCTACTCGCGCCACACCCGGTCCCGGGAACTGCGGTTCGAGGGTTTCTCCGAAGGCTGAGTTTGGAGAGCTAAATGAGTTTTAGCAAACATAAAACCCGGAGAAGTAAAACTGCAATCATAACATTAAAAATGTCGGCAACTGGGTTCACAGCTGGATTCCCCGCTAGGGTGCAGAGCTGCCACGTTTCTCATGCAAATTCAATCATGTGAGGTCCCTCGTATTTGAAGTGGCCTTTGCATTGGTACATCGTGACGTTTGCACCAACAATCCGAGCCTCAGGACGCCGAACCCCAAACACAAAGCCTCTACTTCTGCCCGCAGCCTTTCTCGGGGTGTAGTTTTATGTCTAGATGGCAGTGCAAGGAGAGTGGTTGTGGCATAATCTGCAGTGAGCGGGAGGAGATCCCCGCGCCACCGCAGCTTCCGGCTCAAGAGCCATTTAATCTGGAGGAGGGAAGAGCCGATTTGTCCTCAGCAGGTAGTCACCAGCTTCTTGGATTGTGCAAGTAGCCAACTACACCACAACAGTCCATGTTAGACGCGAGAGGCTTGGCCGCACGACTCCGAAAGTGCATTGGAACGCAACCCACAGCACGACCCTTGCACCCCCCCACAGAGGGGGAAAGCCCAGGGCCCAGGGCCCCTTACCCCAAGCCAACCCCTTAGACTGACACCCCGGGAGATCCGAGCGACTTGAAGCCTTCGAGCCACATTGACGCGCAATGGCCGCTTCTGAGCTACCGGCAGGAGCCAAAGACGTTGCCCCCAAGCAGCCCTCTTCTCCTTTCCCCTTGAAGCCCGAACAGCTATTTAAGTCCGAAGAAAGGGCCAAGGTTGTGTGGCCCGTGTGCCAGGATGTGTCGTCATGGAGGGCTGGCTCATGAAGCGGAGCCAGCAGCTCCTCCAGTGGCGCTGGCGACACTGTCCGGCATATGAGTTTTTGTTTAACATTCTCTTTTCTTCCGGCCATGCAAATCTCGCCGGTCTACTCCGAATCGCCATCTTTGCAATTTGCTAGTTTCGAGCATGCGGCCGCAGTGCGTGTGGCAGGTCCTCGCCCAGTGCAGAGACTGGTCAATTCATGTTCATTGTTTCGTGCGCCAAGGATATGTTAAGCTCACCTCCGACCAGCACCTTGCGACCTTCACGTCCGAGCAGGCATGTCGCAGCGCTGTCCCAGAACGTCCAACGAAGTGCTGAGGGGATCTGAGGGGCTGAGGAGTCTCAAGACACTCGTCGCCCTCTCACTGCACTGCAACGTTCTGCTGACCTGTCGACCTGCTACGTCTTTTGGGAGGCGTGTTTTTTGTTTGTGGTCTGATAGTGCTCAGGACTGCTGGTCCTCTGGCCTGCCCGTCCTCTGGTCTCATGGTCTGGTCGGCTTGTCGCACTGCTGTTCCCCTGGTCGGCTGGGTGCTGGTTCCCACCTTCCTCGGACGATTCTGTTTGCAAATGCCCCCCGCACCACCCCCTTCCACCCTCCCTCAGGGATCATTCTTGTTGCACATGGCAGGGGCAGGCCCGATTTGCAAATAGTTGACCCTGTACCCAACCCGCCCGCCACGCCGAGCCCGGCACGAGTGACACCCTGAACTTTTGGGGCGAGGGGGGGAGGGGAGGGCGGGTTGCACCCCAGACAGAGTAAGAGCGCGAGCACGGAGCAAGAAAAAAAGTTTTCGACGTGAAGATGTATTGCAAGTAGGGTTTTGGCCTATCAAACCGTGCAGGTGTAGAGAGCAAATGACAGTGGTTTCCCGTCAAAGCATTTTAACAGAAATCTTTTGGATTGGAGGATATAAAGAAAGTAGAGGTTGTCTGGCTCAAATATAGAGGAAGGGAAAGCCATGAAGGAAACAGAGTCTAAAGGTCTTGCCCCACAAACAAGGTAGAGAAATTCAATGAAACCCACCCCCCCCCCCCTATCCCTCCCAAGAGAAAAACAAAAAAACTTACCATCAGTTCAGACCGTCTACGGTATGCTATTTTGCAGGGCGACGTCCTCACGAATGATGTCGACATCGGTGGAGCCACTGCAGAGGCGATGGTGGCGGTAAAGGCGATAGCAGGAAGGATTGGTGAGCCTTGAAACAAGCTTCTGATTCGTTGCAGCCTACAAAAGCCTGATGGACCCTACACAAGAGTGTAGGATGCCCCAGACTCCCCAGGCCACGGACTTCTTCCTGGCCGCTCCGGTGGAGTTCGGCTTCCTTGTGGCATGCCGTCGGGGGCCCAGTGCTGGATTGATGAGATTTTGTTCGGTAGGGGCAGTTGGACTGTTGGACTTACCCGCAACTACAACCAAGGCGCAGAGGCCTATGTAGGTGTGCTTTTAGACCTTCCTACTACTGACGTTTCAGGCCAAAGTAATCATAGCTGGTCGGTGCAGCAAGGTGACAAAACGCTCCGCTTTGCGGCCGAGACGGCTGCCACGCGTGAGGTTCTCCAAATTCTTTGGGTTGAATGTGGCCCGGTAGTAACCGGTAGTAGGAAGGTCCCGAGAGATTATTCAGGACACCTTTCCAGCGCTCTGCAGCCCCACGGCGACCTCAACAGTAGAGTCTCCCTCTCTCATGCCATGTGGCCAGTACAACGTAGCCACACACACACACACACAATGTCGATCTTGAGCTGGACATGCCACGCATCAGGGAAAGCTCAGCTTGCAGGAGTGGCTCCGGAAAATCGCGAGCATCGCTGGCCGAGAAAGTTTGGATCCGGAGAAGGCTCTCGGCGCTCCCAAATCAGACTGAACCTGGATCAGTAAAGCTACGCCCAAGGCAGTAAGTATTTATGTCATTCCTGTCCAGCTTTGTGATTGAGGGATTGAGGCTAGGGGTAGATTCTCAGAGACAGCCAGCCCCCGAGGACGAGAGCCCGGGCTTCCGCCGCAGAGACTCGCCCAGCTCTTCAATACTCCTGCAGCCTCTTGAGGCCAGGACATGAACGGCACTCCAGGAATCTCTAGATTCTCTAGAATCTAGGAGAAGGAAGCCGTGGGCCATAGGTAGTAGAGCAGCGAGAGGGTGAGGTTGTGCAATTGGGCCCAAACCAATGAGCAGCATCATCGTGCTGCAGCTCTTTTTTTCTTGTGTGTTCGAGCTTGCATCAGGAGTTTGTCGGTGAAGAGAGCCCAAAGGCCGGCAGTCCGGGCAAGGGCAGCAGACTGAGCTTGCTCTGCAGAGTTGAAAGGTCCAGTCTAGACCGCTTGAGATATGCTCAGACCTGTTCAGATCTCGCTTTGGGGCTGCCGTCCCAGTGGACAAGTTCAGAGTGCTGACTTTGCAGCTTTGCTGAGGCAAGGGCTCCAAGGGTCCTGGCAAGCCGGGCAAAGGCGGCCCTGGCAAGGGCCCCGGCAAGGCTCCGCCAAAGGGCAAAGGCCCGGACCAGCAGAAATTTTTAGGGTTCAGGGTTTAGGGCTTCCCAAACCCCCCAAGCTTGCGGCACCGGTCATCTGCCACGTCAGGCAAAGGGCCCCCTGTCCCCGGAAAGGGGGTCCCTCGCTTGCGAACCATGCCGAAGGCTGCGAGGGTGTTCTTGCTTTGAGCCAGTCTTGTGAGGCATGTTGGGGGGTTGGTTGCGTTTTTAAATAAGGCCTCTTTTGCGGGGGGGGGGCCTGTGTTTGTTAAGGGGTTCGTTCTACGACGGATGTAACTGGGCCCTAAAACGCTTTTGCGGTATGCTTGGAGGCATGGAGCAGCTCGAGCCAAGCAAGGGCGGTCTGACGATGTGATGTCTGGAAATTTCTGGAGAGGGTAATGAGGCTCCGGACAAGTCATCCCTAGTCCCCCGAAACCCCCGGAAACCCTAGACATTGTCTACGTTCCCGAAACCCTCAGAACATGTAGAGGCTTCGAGCCTACCGCTGGGTCGCCGCCTTTCTGCCCGGTGCTGAGTCACAGGATGTTCACTCCACGATTTTCAGCCTGAGGAGACCTCAAACTCTCAAAACCTTTGCTGCAAAACAGCTAGTGTAAGCCTCATAAAGCCAATGCCACTACACCACTAAACTGCAAGCCCATGCGTCAGGTTCGGATGCTCAATGCAGACCAGGTTGCCGCCTTCGCCCCTTTTCAAGCAAGGGTTCTCATTCTGTTGCTTTGGCTTGGGGGGGGGGGGTGAGTTGAAAGGAAGAGGACGAGGTTCAGCGTCCTCTTCCTCACCCGCACGTGAGAATTTTCCAAATCGAAGAGACTTGCCCTCGAGTGTTTCTCTGGCCTATTGAAGACCCTAAGGCCCCGGAGAAGAGGGACCACGCATCGAGCTCTGATGACGAGCCCAGCCCTTTGAACCCGGCGGCCGTGGATTTGGAGGCCGAAGTACCACGAAGACCGCTTGGTTCGGTTGAGGGAGCGCGCCAGCCCTTGCTGCACCTAGGAGGGACGTAGAGACCAGGAGTCCATTGTCGCAAAATGCCGCCTCTAAAGCTTGCTGCGAAAGCCCCAAGGCCAAGAGAGTGCACTGGACCCCTTTGAGTTTCCACGTGCAGGCTCTGCGAAGCGCCTTTGCTGCGCAGGCAAAGGCGCCGGCCTCTGCGAGGCCGGCTGAAGCCCCAACAGCCCCTAATGGCCCTAACGCAACGTCAAAGTGGCTCTGATGATCTCCGATGTTCACCTCCCCCACCCCCGCACAACCACCGCAGATGGAGTCGACATGCTCTCAATCACACTCCAGCATATTCCAGCATCTAAAGCATACAGAAACACGATAGACTATAGATAAAGAATGTCAGCACGAGGGGCTAATGCAGTCCTGATGCTTATGATGCTTGCCAGCAGACCAATCTCGGCTCAACCCTAGCGAGTGAGTTTCCTCGGTCTCAGTCCTCACCCAGCGAACGGGTAACACGTTTTCAGCTGTTTAATGCATCTTGCTTAGTTTTGACCTTGCACTTTTTGCAGTGATGGGCAAGTGCATGTGCATTGACAGCATCTTTCCCGTACGCGTTCTCATTTTTCGAAGCCGTGTCGGTCTCGTTCTTTCAGAAAGATCTTAGATTGCGAGGCACTGAACATGATTGTTCCATGTGAACCTACAGAGACCTCGGCGAGCAGACGCATTAGGTAGCCATCAGGGAGTCACATGAGATTCCATCTAGGGAGATTAAATCATGTCAAGACTTGCTGCTTCGGTTCAAGCCTTTGATGCGAACCTTAGGCCTCGTCCACTGCCGTTAACCTGCGAAGCTTTCGGCCAGTATCGTTCAGCGACATGTGCCGAAAAGTGAAGTGCTATGGCTGCGGCAAGTACACTTGGACTGGTTGCGGACAACACGTCGAAGCCTGCCTGAGGGGAGTTCCGGAAGAGAAGCGATGCGGTGGCTGGCGCAAGGGCACCTGCGACGTTGAACCATCCAAGGGCAAGGAAGGTGGATGTGCTGTACAGTAGTTTTTTGCTCAAAGGATTGGCATCTCGAGGCTTGACTAAGAGCATGTACTTACGTAACATCCGGGCAAAAAGAGCCGACGATTTCTTGTCGACCTCTTCTTTTTGCGCATGGCTTACGCGATATTTTCGGAGGTTACCAATACAGGACCCAATACAGCGCTTATCGAAAATCTGGTCCCTTGCTCGAGCTCTAGAATAACCGATACACCTCCTTTCAGCCGGTGAGTCCGCGAGGGCCACCTCACGGCGGTCGCCACGAGGGGTGGAGCTGCTACCGCGGTCCAACGCCCAAAACGTGGCGAGCCACGGCCACATTCGGGATCTTTTTATGTGTTTTTGGTGGTCTTCGTAGGCAGTCGGGTAGGTCGTGAGGGTTGGGGTTTGAATCCACGCAGGATTGTGCTGCGGAAGCTGCACCTTGACACTCAAGGCGCCGGGACGTTGCGTCTGAACCACATTTTTGGATACAACGCCTTGGGACTCCACAGAAAGCCCCTTGTTAGCAGAGTTTGACCCAAAAGCGAAACTTGCAGTCAAACCCAGAAGCAGCCGCAGGCTGACATTCACGAGTCTGATTTGCCAAATGCCCTCTCGCCTTTGCAGAAATCAATGTAGCGTGCTCAAAGTATACCTATGCCTGTTCTGGGGTTGAGAGAGGGAGTGCTGCACACCGCAAACTGTCAAGGGTTTTGGGTTTCGGCTTAGGGCCGTGACTTCCCAAACCCTGTCAGCCCTGGCGGCTTCACTGGATCAACTGCAGCCTGGCGACTGCTCCCTCACGGCTGAGGAGTGCCTTGGCCCCTGTTTGGGCTGCATTCGGTCATTCCGAATGACTTGTGTTGAGTGATGCATGCTACATGGAAATATACACACCTTTTACCGTATATGCGTGTATATGTAACTGCACATGTTCACATTGTACTGTATGTGTACATATACGTTGCTTGTTCAGAACCTTAGATCAGCCATAGTATTTGTCGGGTCGGGATGATCGAAGGAAATAGTTTTGATAAAGGAATTGGCCCCTATGTAAACACATCATATATCAGAATGCATCAGCTAGATGGGGTTTTTTGTCAAGCGATTTTGTCAGAAAGTTCAATTTGACAAGATTGTCGTTTTTGCTGAGCTTCTTTACATCCTGCTTGGCTTGTGTCCGTAGCGCAGATGCATGACACAGCTTTCAACGACTCGCAATGAGTCCTGGCCTTTGCTAGAAGATCGGTGAAGACCCGTATTCATCCAGCACCGAAGGCTTTGTCAGGGCGTTGCACGAAACCAGCGCAGCGAGAACACCTTGCGGCCCTAAACGCAGTATCTCCTTCCCATCCCCTCGGGGCCAGATGCTGTGGAGAGAGACAGTTGAGCTCAGGTGCGAACGCTTCACCCAGGTTCTCCCACCGGTGGAGCTGCTCCGACCTCTGGCAGACTACGAGGGCGACATCTCCGGGCCGGGCTTGGGCTCAAGAGTTCTGAGTAATTAGAACTCATTCAGGGACCATTGCTGTTATCCATAATGTTGACCTCGTAATAATAAACCCCCCCCCCCTTCAATCAAACCCCCCCAAATAGAGTAGGGCCCCTTTGAATAAGGATTCCTTTCCTTAGAGCCCCCCTTCAATCAAACTCCCCCAAAAAAAACCAGCCCCGACTTGGCGTACTTTATTCCCAGGGCTTTGTTATTGCGGCCGGGACCCCTGGCGCACTTTAATATCAGGGGGTTCAATAATACGAGGTTAACATTAGACTGTGGAATCCCTTCAAGACACCGGTCAATATGGTGTTGTCAGTTTGGTCCAGGGCGGTGGGTCTAGAGATAGAGTTCCTTCATGCTCAACAGCTCAACAGCTTTGTGCACAATTTCCATGTGCAGTTCGCCGTGTGCAACGCGTTCTGTCGCTGTGGGCAGGCTCCGCGACGTGGAGCGCGAGATTCTGTCACTCAGCGGCAGAGCTAACCTCGCACATGCAGCACCAGAAGACCGCAAGCATGGAAACGCTCCCAAACAAAAAGGTAACCCAACAGTGCCCAACAGTCGACAGGCCACTGGCACAGCTGACGCGGCTCCGAGAGCGCTTGCGGTTGCGCCCGGGCAGCGCTGGACATGCATCAGGGTGGTCGGGTGCGATGGCTTCAGTGGCTATTGGCTGTGGGCTACGGCTGTGCCGGCCTTCCGACAAAAGCCTCCTCAGCCGCGAGAATCCTCCAGACTCTCGACGCCTGAAATCCCTGAAGCGTTTTGTTTACGGTTAGTTTTGTGACTTGAGTCGAACCCTTCTAACAGGCTCTCGCTCTTCAAGACCTTGGACGAGCGTCTGGGGGATGCGATGCAGCAGAAGCCGGGAAGCAGGTACTGGTGCAAAGCCTGAGACTCCGGTCCAATGCATCCCTACCCTTTCCATTCCCTGAGAGGCGCTACATCTAAGATAGCAAGATGTCGGCTGTGTGTAATTACAGTGAGCGCGTGTCTTCGAACTTCCACCCTCTTGTAGGCTTGCCATTCGCTGTGTGGGGCCATACATTCGCTGTGTGGGGCCATACTTCCGAAGTTTGTTGGTGGCTCAGGATGTGCGCGGTGCAGACGGCATGCGGGGAGGTTCGCAAGTCCTCTGTCTTGAGGACCCAGTTTCAGACAGCACGTGTGGGCTTCTTCGTAGTTCGGCAGCTGGATCGACTGCTTCATAGTGCTGCTGTTTTGGGCGATGGTACTATGCAGTAGCTGTGGGGGTGAGTGGAGGCGTGCTGCCTTTGCAAAGTTTCCGCCTTCTTTGCTCTGACAGAAGGAACCTCCTGCAGATCATTGTAGTTCTCTTCAATTACGTCAACTATGGCCGCGCGCTGAACTGTTTCGGAGCGAGCCGGGCATGCAACCAAAGTCCAAGATGTCAAAGGAGAATCTGGGATAGCAGCTCCCGTATCTTGAGAGTCGAGATCAGGGACCTCTCAGCTCAGGGCCCCGGGCCATTGTAGAAGCAGAGTTCCCGAAACCAGGAGGCTTCCCTGCAAACCAGGATTAAGATCGCTGTCCCCTACTCTTCCGTTTCGAGTCCATGTTGCTAGGCCTTGGATCTTGAAAATCATGTCGCTGCAAAGTTTACGGACTTAAACGGTTCAGAGCCTACGGGAGCGGCTTCATGTCAGTTTTGCCTCCTGTGCAAGGTCAGGCGCCGTCCGAGAAAAGCAACGCGAACGACTTGCGTGCTCGAAATGTGGACGTGCAAAGCCTCACGCACCTGGTGGAGACGCCCCTGGGCACCGCAAGCGAGTTTTTAGTCGGACCAATGAAGCCGAAGCCTGCCAATGCCTCGATCCGAAAGTCCATGCCCAGAGATGCCCAGGCAGTCCTTCGGCGGGCCTTTCCCGAAGTTTAACATGCTGCACTTCTGCCGCTGGGACATGTTCCAGCTCCGGCTTCGGGGTTCAATCAACTTTCAGCCTGTCACGGGATTTCATGGGGGTTTCATGGGTTTGGAGTTCGGGTGTAGGGGTGGGATGGGTTGGCAGGCCCAGCCATCCAGAAGTGTAGCAGTGTCCACGCGGCTCATGAGGGTCGTGCTTAAGTAGGGCTTCTTGGCTACGAAACCCGAAACCCCACACGCTCATTTCCCATGCTCAACCTCAGATCCAGGTCTGCAGGAGCTCCTCAAGCAGTGCCCAGATCTGCAAAAAGGAGCCGGGCTTCGTATAAGTAGATGCGACTAGTTCATTCTTGTTCCTAACTAACTCTGGGTGTTGAAAACTATGCTTTCTTACTTATTCTTGTTATTTGTTTCTCATTATCCTGTTCTCATTGCAGGGGACATCCCTTTGTTTACAGACACGCCCCAACACGACCCCAATTGCGCACAGAGGAGCCTTGGACGCAGAGCTCGCAGCTTTGCCAAGCGCAGCTTGCGTGAACCTGGCACAGGTGAAGCTCGGCCGCGTTGCTTGGTGTTAGGGATGTCTATATAGCAGCAGCAGCAGCAGCAGGAGGAGGAGGAGGGATGTCTATAGCCTTCACAGGCCTGTCGGCTTCGTCGGGTTTCGGATGTTGGGGGCCTTGTGTCCCCCTGACTTGAGACTCAAAAACGGGGCCAAAGAGACCTCTCCGAGGAAGCTGGCACTGGAACGGCTGCAAGCCGACCTCCAGTTCGTCCAGACGGCTCCTTGGGCTTCGATTCCTACTATTTGCTGAAGAACCCCAAGAGAATACAAAGCAACAATCCCTATACTACCCTTAACAAGGAAGAATATGTTTTTAATTTGTTCGGGGTTCTTAAGCAATTCGTCGATTCGGGGAGTTGGTCAAGATTTTTTGCCTTGATGCGAACTATGAACCCATCGACTCAGGAACTTTATGGCCATCAGGAAGAGTACAGGAAGAAGGACCATCAGACATTTGCACAAGATTCCTGGTTGCTGAGCCGTACTCACCGAGACCCGCCGTGGCTTTGCATCTTTCGGGTCTCATGCCCGTGACATCGCTCTTGAAGTGTTGCTTCTATGGTCTCCGAGTGTCACAGTACACTCACGTACTCAAGCTTTCATTGGCGGTGGCGGTGACCGCGCTCTCCGCTGTGCTTGTCCGCTTTCTTCTGGCCGCGGCCTTCTATGCCCTTCATCAGCCTAGCGTAATCCCTCTGCCAAAATCTTCATAAACCTTTCACCCAAATCTCACGCAGATCATGGGCCGGCACTCAACGACCTTCATGCCGAGTCAGGACATCGAGGAGGAGGAGGACCCTCCGACACCTCCTCCGGTGAAGGGCCCTGTCAAGTTTGACCTGGAGGAGAACGACACAGCCTCCGAGGCTGGGAACGTGTAAAATCTGCCCGCACAAGACACCACCGCCTGTTTCTTCATGCATGCTGTTAGTTTTAACCTGTGTTTTTTGTTTTCAACGGCGAGTTGTGTAGTACAAAGACTTCTGGGGCCACCTTGCAGAGTTGTACATGGTACTGCCAGGACGAGGTGGCCCCAGGGAGTGAGGAGGAGAGGGGTCGACACGCTGCGATGGTCTTTCTTGATGCTTTGGGGTACTTCCGGCGTGGGAGATTCGGGTCTGAAGAGGCTGAACTTCGCAACGACGTCTTTCAGTGCATATATTCATGCCCCGAAGCAGATGAGATGCAACCAACCCCGCGCATTTTCATTGAGCCGTCGCCGCCGAAGCCGCAGGAGGGTCTGCCCAAGGTGGAGAGTCCAAGGCGTTCGGTGCTCGGCCGCCTCGTCTCCATGGGCATCGATACCTGGAGCTCCTCGAAGTTAGCAGTATATATGACCCTTGTGACTATTTTCTGCCTGTGTCATTGCTTTTGTAGCTACTTTCCTTCTATTACTTGTTTATTACTACATTTGAACTGCCATAGTTACACAGGGTCTTGCGGGGGGGGGGGTAAGGCTCAGAGTTTGCTTCGCACCTGACTTGCATCCGTATCAGCCCCCGAAGGGTCAAAGGTTGCAAAAACACTCCCAAGGCAATGGCCCACGCCATTCAGCATGAGCTGATGCCCCCCCCCCCCCCTGAAATGAAGAGACTTTCCACGCTGCAATTTAGGGGACATCACAATCCAGAGTTCCAAGCCGCAGGTGTAGAGGTTTCTGGCCTTGGTCACGAAGTGCTCACACTTAGTCGTATCTTTCAAGCACGCCTTGCTTGGGGCTTGTGTTTTTTGCACCCATTCCTGACACTTCTGGAAAGAATCCCTGCAGATCCCAGGCTTCGCTGAGGAATGGTGTCAGGGATCGGCCATGCTCGGCGTCTCGGACAACGAAGGCCGCTTTGCCGGACTGTCGTAGTCGCAGGATACTTGCAGCTGCATGTGTCACCATGGCCTGTTATCAGCTTCCGCTAACAAGATGCTTTCCAATGCGCTGCCGCCGCGGAGACACCACGACCTACCAAGCCACAAAATCCAGAACCGCAGCTATGAGCTTTGTAGGTCTGCAGGCGGTGATGGCTGCAGACGGTGAGGTTCCGCCCCCTGGGGTGCTGCTGCGCTGGCGGCCCTCAGGCGTTGTTGGTCAGGGCTTCGGGCTTTTGCCAGGTTCAGGAACGCTCGACTCGGAAACCTGGCTGGGCCTGGGATCTCGTTAAAGGTCCTCAACAAAATTGTATACATATATATGTATCGATGAAGCTCTTCGTAAACCACAAAACCTTTGTGAAAAGATGACAGCAGGCCGTTGGAAGGCCTACTTCTGCGAAGTTCGCGGGGCCTTGCTTGTGCTTTACAGGCGCGGGCTGAGAATGTGTCTTAAAGCCCTGAGTACGAATGTTACTGGCCCTGAGTGGGCCCTATATGGCCTCATAGGACCGAAAGGATCGCTCTTCAAACCTGAGCCGGCACGCGTCTGACACTTATCTTGGCAGGGTCAAGCGCAGCACAGCTGTACTTCGAGGCTGGATCGCCCCATGCTGATGTAGGGTTGAGGGCTTACAGGGTTTTTGCGTTTATGGTTGCGGCTTTTTTGGGTTGAGGGTTTACAGGGGTTTTAGGGTTTCGCAGCTACCGAGATCCTTCGACCCCAGATGTTGCAGGCAGCTAATGTCTCTGAGCCGGCCCTTGCCTCCCCTGATAAGTGGGTGGGTCGGCCCCGCAGGCACGTTCTACATCGTGCTTCCGGGTGCAGAAGTGTCACTCTTGCAGCCTCTCGACTGAGACGAATGTCGCCACCAGCTCATGCCATTTCAGCTACTGCATCGGGGGGAGATACAGAGGATCCTCGAACAGATTCAGTTGAGGTCAAAACAGTCCGACATGTACATCTGATTTGCCAATCAAGGTCGCTCTACGCTTCGGAGCATGCTCGTGAGATTGCGAGTTCGGCTCTTAGGCTTGTGTGATTCCGCAGAGTTGGGGCAACACGTCCTAGACTACTTGAACGTTGGTTAACCTACTCTGATTTTGGAACAAGCCTTCTGGTCGCAGGGTTTTGGGTTTCGGAGGTTTAGGTTAGCTTACGCCCATCAAGATAGAGCTGGGGATCATGTTTATCTGCTTCGTCAAAAGTCTGAAGGGGCGTGGTGGCTTCAATCGTGGCAGCAGTCGGAAGCTGCCTAAGAAAGCCAGGGCGTTCCTCCCAGTGCATACCTGCTTCTTTGCGGCTAAGGGGAGCACCCGCATGGTATCGAGCTGCGGCCAGCCGGGGGCCGCCACAGGGTCGCAGGGGGAAGAGAGGGAGGGTACTTCGGGACGGCAGGTTGCGGATCGAATTTCGGAATCGACGCAAGGTGGGAAACGGGGTTGGCGTTGCAGTTAGTGGCTTGCACGTCTGATTTGAATTGAAGGGGTGCGGTACAAGGCCGTTCCATCCAATGCCTTCAGAAAGCACTGCCTGCAAGCGATTACTCATTCCTTGCAGGATCGTTCAAATGTAAAGTTTCCAGATATGCGATCCCAGGCGAAGAGTATTTCCTGGCCAAAAGCGCCAAAGTCGCGGCCTCATGCTCTCTGGGCGTAGGGCTTTTAGGGCCCCGTAGGGCTCGAAGATCTTGAAGGCTCAAAGGCCTGAAGGACAGGAAGAAGAACACTTAGATGGCGGTTTCCCTCGAGTGTGGCACCAGTGCTGCCTTTCTTGCACTGGGAAATTGTCGGCGGTCTTGGTGGTCATGCATGGTATGACACGTGGTACTGGCAGCCCTACAAGAGCCAGGCTGCTGAGTGCCTTCAAGCCATCTGTACATGGCAGAAGCGTTTGGGTTTCCTAAGTTACTATTTGCTTAAGAATCCCAAGAGAACAGGAAAAAACCTATACTACCCTTAATAAAGAAGAATGTGTTTTTTGTTTTTTTTGGGTTCTTCTTAAGCAATTAGTAGTTTCTGAGCCCTCAGCTCCAGGAAGCAGGTCGCTGGCTCGACTTCCTCACTTTGCAGACGAAGCGCGGCGATGCAGGCCCCTGGCGTAAGCACAAGAATCCTGCGCGGATGCGTGTCATTCCAAACAGGATTCTGCAGCATTCTGAGTGTGGAATGCATTCCAGCGCATGCGCAAGTGTTGGGATCCATCGGGCCAGAATGACTGAGAATGATAGATTTTGATATGATGTTTACCTGGCCGGAGACAAGGTGTTCCTTGCCTAAAAGCTGCACGACTCGGGTGGACCCGCTCAGCTTTCACTCGTGTCGAACTGCCTATCTGACCCATCTTAATGGTGTGATAGACATCCAAGAGCCGTCAGGCCACGTGTCCCACTACGTGGGAGGATGGGGCCTACTCAGTGTCTCGGCATACCATGATTCATCCAGATGTCATAACGAAATCCCCGCTGCTGAGCCCTCAGGCTCGTGCTGGCGACGCCTCTTTTGTCCCGCGGCTTACTGGGTCATTGTGAACTTCATCGAGCGTGAGGGGTGTTACTTCATACCGGGGCCAGGCCTAGCTTGCAGGTGCATAAGAGACAAGTAGCCAGACTGATACTTGGGTTCGTTGTCTTTCAAGGCCGCTTTCTCAGTGTGCATGAAGGAAGCCACTTCTGCATGCCGTTGTTGTGAGCTTTTTTTGCATCGACAGCTTGCAGATAGTTGCGTTAGGTGGTCGCATGCTCTTCAAAAGGCTCTTTGCCCAAACGCTGCAACTGTAAGTAGCAGGAAGAGATTCTTCAGCCCCGCTCAAGGCGTCATTGAGAGAGGCAAAGAAGAAGATTCCAAGGACTGCTGGGTTGATGCTTGAAACTTGTCGGGTGCTTGTGTTTGCAGACTGTGTGTGCATGCGCTTGCTTGCGCAAGTGCATGTGGACGTGGGGGCTACAGCTTGTGGGCTACGGGCGTGGCATGGTTCAATGTGCACATGCAACTGTTAAGCACACAAGTCGGACTGGCACCTGCTGTTTCTACTTATGGCATGCCTCATCCGGGACCTGCTAGATGCAACGACTGCAGACCGGGCTCCGTAAGGTACCCATGACCTTCGAGGAACATACTGTTGCAAAGTTTTTGGGTACGTGTTTGTACATCGAAAACAAGTTGTTTCATTGCATGTGGCACATCTCCGATCGGCTTCGCCAGCATGTTGACAGCCGCAATCCACGGTGGTCCGAGCGTTTACTGCATCCTTTTCCTCAGAAGCCAGACCACAAAAACCAACGAATCCAAAGGCTTTGCTTTAAAGGAGGGGAATGTTTATTATCAATATATATAGATACCAGTTAATATTTTTCTTACACTGTACTTATTTTGCATATTTGTGTCTGTGCTATTCTGCTCTTTGCGAATAAAAAATGGAGGCCCCCGGCTCGAGCCGCCCGCGGCTCTTGGGCTTCTCGAGGCTGCGCGACTACGCGGAAGGCCGGGGGCCTGGTTTAGGGTTTAGGGTTTAGGGTTTAGGGCTTAGGGCTTAGGGCTTAGGGCTTATAGGGCTTAGGGTACTCAGATTTCAGTTTGGGGTGTACAGGGTTTTGGTGTTCATACGGGTTTAGGGTTTAGGGTTTGGGGTCTATAGGGTACAGGGTTTGCAGGGTTTTAGGGTTCATGCGGGTTCATTCAGGGTTTCGGGTTTAGGGTCTCAATGTGCTGGTAACCTTCACTGTGGGGTTTACACGGTTTTAGGGTTCATACGGTTTAAGGGTTTCAATGTGCTGGCCTCGTATCCACACGAGAGCGAGGGAACAAGAGCGAGGGAAGCCGAAAGAGAAGCGTGCATTGTTTGCCAGGTCTTGCGCCAGAAGCTACTTGGACTCTCGAGGCACGCGCAGGGTATCTCAAGTATGAGGAATGCACTCGGTACATGGAGTTGACCGTAGCTGTGCAGAGATTTTTGTCTTGCATTCGTTTTTTGTGTGAGTGCGGAGAAGCAATGCGTCTGTCGAATGGAGTATGTGATGTTCAGCAGTGTGGCGAACTTCAAAGAGCACTCAAGAGTTGAAGAAGCCCGCGCCCAGAAGCGCTCTATTCCCCGGTATTGATGTCATAGGGTGGCCCAAGATCAAAGGAGCGCTTCCTGAGACCAGAATACGAAGCTTGTTTCGATTCGTGTGTTCAGGGAAGTGGCCTGGCAGTTCCCCAAGCTTTTGCAGTCTGCCTGTGCTCTGGGTCGAAGAAGAAACAACATCTCTTGAGCACAAGGAGGGTATAGTCGGTATCCCAATCCCCAAACATAAGCTCCTGTGAGGATCAGATGTCGGCTTCAACGAACGGGAGAGCGAGAGAGAGAGAGAGAGAGAGAGAGTGAGTGAGCTGTTGGGGTGCAGTGCAGGTTGTTCTTCAACCAGGGCCCCCCTTATAGATGTCGTTCGTGATAGGCTTCCTAGGCCTTCCTGATAAAGGGACCCCAAACCCGACGTCCTTGCCTGCAGGACATGCGAGTTCATGCCTTCGATGCGGAGGGGAGCTCAGCTACTGCCAAAGGACGCCGCGGTGGTTTCTTTGATGTCGATGAGGTCAGTTCTCCAAATCATGGCCCCTCAGGGTTTCGAAAGGGTAAGCTTAAAGCCGGCGCCAGAAACCCTTTCAATCGTAGTCTCAAGCAATCTCTCTCTCTCTCTCGCTCTCTCTTTCTCTCTCTTCCCCAAGTCCGCCATTTGTCAAGCCTTCAGGCATCAAAACTGGTTAGTGGAAACTTAGAGAGCCGGGATGAGCCGGGTTCACAGGTGAGCGCAGCTTCGTGAGCTTGACATGTTGCACAGAAGCACGGCCCTGCTGCTTGCGTTGCATGTTCCCAGAGTCTTGCAGAGGACTCCTTCCGACGGCACCCATCGGGCTCGAGCTGGAATACCCGGTTGCTGGGCTGCTTTTTTCAGTGTTGAGAGAAAGGCTCACTGTCAGATCGTCAGATTGCTTGGTCTTGAGCAACCCCTCCGCAGCCCATTCTCCTCAACTTGCAGGATCTTGTAGATAGGGCGCCACCATGACAATGATGGGGCGTGCAGCACGGTCTGGGGACTTTAACTTTAGTCCGACGCTGCTGCTCTGTCCAGCTGTCTCACCTGCCATATCCGCAATATCCATGGCTGCGACCAACTCGGAGAATCCAAGATCTGGCGGTTCCGTGGCGAAAGACTCCAACGCTCGCCTATGTGCCGATGGGCAATCAATACGTGGTTCAAACGCGAGACCGCAGTCTCTCACACTCACGCTCAGCACAACAAAGTGCCTTGGCCAGGGTGCATATTTTGCTCATCGAATTTCAGCGGTATTCCATGCGCGTTCAGCTTCAGTGCAGTCTCCCCACTACTTTTAAGACTCCAGGCCTCCAAAGCAAGACAAGAAGAAGGACTTGACTCATGCAGCTTGGCCAGTACATGGCAGCATGATACGGCTTCCTGATGTTTCATGATGCTTCATGGTAGAGGTTTTGCAACTCTGTTTCTTTCATTGCGGTCCGTTTGCATGTTGCGGCGTCTTCTGATGCTTCAATCAGCATGCAAACTTGGATGTCTACGGCCGGGGCCTGGGCTTCAGCCTGGGGTCCCCAGGGACGAAAAAGCAACTTTTGGGGGTGATTGTGGCCCAGAAACGGACTGACTCTTGAGGCGGCAATTGCCGGGAACAGGTCAGCTGCGAGTCAAGACAGGAGGTTGCAGTGCGGTTGCTGCAAGCGGTTCCGGAGGTTCACGCAGGTTGACAGGATGTGGGATGTCACTACGTTTTAGGGTTTAGGGTTGAGGCTTCAGGGTGCGAGGCATCTGCGGTCACCCCCCGGCCCTTGGAGGTTTAGCCTCTGGCGCAGCAGCCAATCGGGACCCTTTGGGGAGTCTAAAACGCTCAAGAATCGGGGCCTAGGCGGCCCTGCTCACAAAGGCGGAGTGGGCTCCAATCTTGCTGATCGAACCGCACAACCATGGGGTGTTCACAGCGCTGCCATCTGTCCTGGGAGCCTCGAATCGGCAAAGCCCTATGAAAGTCGAGCCAAGGCCAAAGATTTGGCAACGTTCCTGGAGTGCATCTCCCGTGATCCAGCTCCTTGGTGCGTACAGGAGGCTCCTCGGAGCCTCGGAGCCCAAATGCCCAGAAACGACTGTTCTGCCGCCGACGCTGAGGAATTCTTTGAGGAAGCGATTGATGCCCGCAGGCAGGGTGAAGCACAAGCGCATCTTTATTTCTTTATGGTTATGACATTTTCGGATGCACAAGTACTCAAGTGGGCTCAGTTTTGTTTGAACTCGACTTCTGGTCTTGAGTGATTCCTGGTGATTGTCGCGGCCTTGCAGAACATCCCTTTCTGAGGTTCTATGCATGTAGTTGTACTTGTAGCAACAAGATGAGTTCTACGTGTGTGCGCTCGTCTGCCAGATTCACCACAAACACACCCTGAGCCTCAGCACGTCCCTCCGAACTTGCTGTCATCCGTTCGCGGAGTAGCACAGAGGAGACAGACGGAGGAGGCGCTTTCCAGCAAGTTCGTGCCAGAGCTGCATTCTGAAGAACCTGGCTCTTGCAAGTCAGCAGTTGCTCAGCAATGTGAAACTGTGTGCTTGGATTCCTTTGGCCCGCCCGATAGAATCCAGGCCCTTCACTCGGACGCGCCGAAGACACCGCCGGATGCCAGCCGGCTGCGCGGGCGTGTGATAGTACACCTCTGAAGTGCTGATGGATGCTGATGCTCATTTCATAATTCTTCAACCGGAAGCACCACCGCGCCGTGACGGAGTCACCAGCAGGGTGATGTACTCTGGTTACTCCAAGATGACAAGGGAGGAGACTGTTGCTTAGAGATTGACCACATGCACCTGAAAGCGATGCAAGCGAAGAAGGGTATGTCAGGAACACGATAGCACGCAAAGGCTCAGAGCGGTGTTTGGGAGCGATGAGAGCAAGAGCAAGAGTAGGTAAAGTAGGGGAGAGCGAGAGTAGTCGAGAGACGTTTTAGTAAGAACGGATGTCAAGCAGAGACAGCAGAGAGGGAGAGGGGGCAGACGAAGAGAAGGAGTAAAGGGCCCGTGGTTTCAGTTCCACGAGGCCACCAATGAGCGAGAGTTTTTGTTTTTAATATTTTTGTGCAACCTTGAACAGCGGGGCTTGGACAAACTGGACAGGACCGCTTGGCCATCGTGGCCGGATTCCTCCCTCGGGAGGGGCTGGCTGTCAAAGTGTGAAGCAGCAGAAGCAGAAGAAGAACAAGAAGAAGAAGAAGAAGAAGAAGAAGAAGAAGAAGAAGAAGAAGAGAAACAATAAGAAGAAAAAAGAAGAACAAGCAAAGGAGAGAAGAAGAAGCACAGAGCACAAAAACAAAAACAAAACAACGAGGGACAAGGCTGACCTAGGACCTCCGCATCGTCAAATGGGCACGTTAGCATCGAGAACCCAGTGACACGCACGGTTCAGAAATTTTGATTCAAGACCTATAACCATACAACCAAGAACTGCTTACGGGCTTTGTGGGCCAGCTCTTATACTGTAACAAGATTTTACTTCAGGACTTGGAGGTGCACGATTTCGGGCTTGTTCTGTTTTGTTCCGCGTGGCTCTGTACGAGTTGATGCCTTGGGTTTGGCGTTTCCGACGACTGCCGGGTCTTGGCTTCGCCCTATGGTTTATTATTATTATTGTTATTTTTAAAATGGTTATTATTATGATTATCAAAATAATAATAATAATTATTATTATTATAATTGTAAACGCTTGCGCACGCCGCCTCGGCGGCCGGGCCGCCAGAAAAAGACGGAGCCGCTGATTTAGGCGGTTCCCAGGGAGGGGGGGGGGGGGGGGGGGGGGGGGGTCGGGGGGGGTCGGGGGGTGACAAAGTTGTGGAAGGTTGGCTTCTCGGCAGGAAGCCGAGGCGAACTATTATTGTTTTTGTTTTTGTTTTAATTTTTTTATTATTCTTATTATTCCCGCGAGAACTACAACAATCCTACCCGCCGTGCAGCGTTGACCCTAGCTTTGTCGCCCTCGCTCTCGAGCCTACATGGCTTGCGAAGAACAGAAGAACAACAGGGAAACTCAGATGAGAGGAGCTCTTCCGACCAGATGTGCCATTTCAAAGATGAGTCAGCTCGAGCCAAGTAGTGGGTTGTTTCTTGCAGAACCTTGCGTCGCTTCAGTATTTATTTTCCAACATGTCCGCGAGCATCTTGAAATCAAGTTGTACAGCAGGCAGGCGTGGGATGATCCCCTGAGCCAAGGGTGCGTGAAGCCGCACGATGGGCTATGACAGGATGTTTGTTTGTAGATGTTGCCTTAGCTTCCAACTGGCTGATTTGAAGTGCTCAGCATGATGGTATCTAGCGATGTTAAATCCAACACAGCATCGCGAGATAATTCTTTGCGTGATATGAACACAGGTGTCTTGGACAAACGTGTCATGCAATAGATGCCAAACAGCAACGTGCGGCTGGGATCTTGAGCAACTAATGGCAATCGGCAGACTTTTTCCATCAGTAAGCTGTCTTCTAGGTTTTACCTTCATGGTGAGATATGCAGAGTTTTGATGGCATGTTAGCACACGCGCTTGCAAAGGCATGCTACCCTTTATCTGAACGTCAAGTTGGCTCTTGATGTTGATCTAGCGCCTTTTTCAAGCCCTCGGCGATATCCGTGCTGGCCGTGTGGCTTCACGCTCGAAGTAGAAAGGGGGAGCCCGTACGCGGCGAACGAACGTCACTCCCAGCCCATGCTTTTCGCTCCATGGAGACGGGGGAGACAAAATTTCTTAAGCTTTAGTGGAAAGGCGCAGTGTTTCATGTTGTGTGGCAATTCACTATAGCCTTCATGCCCTGATGCATGATGCTGCCGTGCAGTTGGGCATGTGTCAGGTACTGTATGATCTGCCTTTGGTTTCGCATTCCCAAAATATTTTCATCAGAGCGACCATTCAATACAGTTTATGCATTGATTCTCTGCTGACACGAAGGCCGAAATCAACAGAAATACATCATGCGAGCCTTTGCTTGTTCGGGCCCCGTGTGCCAGGGCAGCTGTCCAACAACATTCCCATACTACTGGTCCTGAAAGTCTGACAAACTGATTCTGCTAGCATCTGCTAGCTTCCTTGCACATCGTGTCCAACAGCTTGATTACCTTCCTACTGCTCCCCTTCACGGTATCCACGAAGCAATAACGGTTTTTATGTTACAAGTCAGCTCCCTGCGTGAACCGGCCCAGAGTCTTATTGCCAATTCGCCCTCGAGTGCTTCCGTGGAATCGCTTGCGGTGCGTTGCGGTCAAAGCTGTGCTGCGCGCCTTGCTCAGTGATATGATATTGATGAGAGGTTTTGCTGTTGGATGCTCCAGGCAGAGAGCGTTCACAGGGGTTCTCATTACACTTGTTACAGTCAGCTGTTGCTTGTTGCGAATGATTATGTGGACACGTAGCTCAGTGGTACGTTGCGGACGGATAAGGTCGGTGTGTGTGTGTGCCCAGCATACTGGAGTTGGACATGTGTCATTGTCGTTGGCTATAAATTCTTCATCATTAAAGTTTCCAGAGCGGTTGCCACGGATGGCAGAAGCCTTTAAATCCCTCAACGTCTTTCAGGCTACCCAGAGCAGAGTGCAACTGGCCTGCGATTCGGCTGAGCACTTGGATGCTTGGTTGGAGGCAGGGTGTCAGGAATCACCATCGTGAGAGTTGGAAGGGACATCAGGCAGTGGGGTGTCTGTGTGAGCTTTCGCGACACGCACATGTGTGAAGCAGCTGAAGCTAGCTGTCCAGATTTGCATCTCCAACCGAGATTGAAGGTCTGTCAAAAGTGCAGCCTGAATGCCGACTTTTTTGACCTGATCTGCTTGGCCTTCTCCTACACTGTACTTGGTGCTGGAATAAGTAGGAGGTAAACATATCATCAAGTTATGATCGCTTCCGAAATGTCCTGGAGCCAAAAAGTCTTTGAAGAGATTGCACTGCAAAGCCTTAAGTCACAATGAATTCTGTACCAAAAGAAGTCACTTTGCAAAACAGAAAACAGGCTAAACCCCAAAACCCCAAACCCTAAACCCTAAACCCTTCTGGGGGCATAAGCTCAGCCAGGTGCTCCGCAGTGTCCAAACAGGCGGCATGACTGCGCGCCGGGGGAGTCAAGGCACGCTGTCCCTCGGCCTCGGTGGCGCAACGGAGGGCTAATAAAAACTCTGGGCCCACTTTTGGGGGTTTCCGAAAATAGGGGTACCCTTTTTGGGGGCTCTTAGGGGGATTCTGATTTATTTGGGGTATAAAAGGGGTACCCCGATTTTGGGAATCACCCATTTGAGGATGCGATGAGAATACGGGGCGCATGATATTATAGGGCACACGTAAACCCCGAACCCCGAAAATATAGAAAACTGCCCATAGCTTAGAGACTCACCCCAAACCCCAAACCCTAAACCCTAAACTCCCACATGTGGTGCTGGGCTTGGCGTACGATTTCTCCAAAGCTCCGTGCATCCGAGGGTGGACGACGTCAAAGCCACCAACTTGGAAGACGGCTCCTTTGCAAGGTTTCAACCCTAAACCCTAAACCCTAAACCCTAAACCCTAAAGGGCCCAAATAGAGTAAGAGCAGCCCGGCTGCCCAAGGGCCCAAGCCCCTTCTCTCGCACTTCGACTCAGTTCTGCTTCGTCGGCAAAGTCCCCGGCAACATCTAGCACAGTTCTGCAGCAGCCATTGTGTCGAGCCGCAAAAATGACTCAAGAAATTGAAAAATAAACTTTTAGACGAGATGTGAATGCCGCATGCCCGTCCTATGACCCTCAACTCACACAAAACTGTAGCCTGACGGTCCAGTAGAAGTCTGCAGCATGCACGTCCGAGGAGTGGACCATACACGGCTCTTCGATCTCTTTGGTGACCAGTCAGGGACCCATTCGTTGCCCAAGAGGTGCTGGAAGTTTAGAGTGGGGTAGAGTGGCTGGTCACAGTAGTCATGGTGAACCTGCTTCGCACCTGTGTTTCTCAAGCAGCAAGCGGGCAGAAGGAGGCGAACAAAAGGCTTGGTGTTGACAACAAGCTGAACCTTGTTGGATGCTGGCAACGTGCTTCTTGACCCCAATGCCTCTGCCAGCTGGGCACAGTACTGTACGACAAAGAGGCGCAGCCATCAAACTGCAACGTAGAGCTCTTCGAGCGCAAAGTTGCCAATAAGGTCCAAGCGTCCCTTGCGTCACGCCCTTGCTCCGGAAACGTGGGCCGTAGCAAGGAGGTACAGATAGGCGAAGGAATGACATGGAATTACCATCCAGTCCCAAGTAATCAAAGCTTATAGCGGTCTGTCAACTTCACGAGTCTTGCGAAGCACGACATTCACAACAAGAAGGTGCGAAGTTTGCGTGACACAGGCTGGAAGCTCTCTTCATTCGCTCATGTAAAGATAGAAGCACACACACAAAAACTTTCTTCAGACCCCCTGACCCCTCTACCCCCAGTTGGGCGTTGTTTGGTATGTGTGTGTGTGCGTACCAGGTCACCCACTACCGAGTCGCAACTGGGTTGCACCATTCAGATTAGGACAACATGCTAGCAGCTAGCACCTCAGACACCCCAGCAGCCCGGAATGAGCGAGCGTCATGATTCTTCTGAGAATCCCAGCTTCAGAAGTCTCAAAGTGCCATGCAACATCCAGCCTGAAACCTGGGCGAACTCCAGGAAATCGCTTTCCTTCAGCGTGGTAGAGGCCGATGATGCGACGGCGAGCACAGCTCCGCGGCGCAATTTGAGTCGGTTTACTGGGGTTTACTGGAGGTAATGCCGGTGTTTTGGGCTTTTCAAGGCATTCGTAGAATCAGCCTGGGCAAGACAAGGTGGCGATAGGCCCCCTTTCCCTTGGACGAAGGATCGCCTCCGCCGGCTGATGTTCAGTGTGGGTGCAAATGGCATCCGAGCTGCACTTATTAGGGATGTACCGACTCGGCTTAGCTTCTGATTTGGTTTGCATTGTCGGATCTCTGTGTGCACGATGGACAGAGGAGTTTATTGAAGCTTCAGCCTCGGCACACGGTATTGGGCCTAGGGTTTACAAGGGTGAAGCTGCTTGGTCAGAGGCTCGTCCGACCAGGAGACCAAGCAGGCTGCATGGATTGAAGATGGAGTTGTTAAAATTCGGGGATCTTCTTTCTGTGATCTCAACTCCCAAGTTTGAGAAATTCTGCATTGCACGGTCCAGGTGTGATCTTAGCAATGGCATTGGCTATTTGTTGAGCTGCACGCCCTTGCTCCATTCACTGCCTGCAAACGCAGTGGTCTTCATCAGCTAGGCTGCGTTGCCAGCAGCAGCCGTCGAAGTCATCCAAATCGATTCTGATTGCGAGGACTTGCCCTTCTCTGGCATCGAAGATGGATGTGTTCGTAGTTTTCGGTAATACGGCTGTCGATTTCTACACATCCTGCACGCTGTTAGAGACGTGAGCGCCACAGTCGCAATAGCCAATGTCCTCAGTTTACGGTGTTCCTGCAGGAGGAGGGCTACGACGAGGCTTATGGCATGCCATGGGTTGGCAGCTTCTGCCAGCTTTCAGGCGAGCTCGGGAACATCGGCACATTGTGTCTGTGTAGGGTGGTAAGGCTATCGGGTTCGGTGCTTTCCATGGTCGTGGTTCCTTGCGCTGTGCGTGCATAGATACAGTAGCAAGTTCATCTACTCCCCCCAAGCCATGGCTCTGTATCGTGATGCGGCCCTGGTGATCCGGGATGCTAGCCACAAGGCTCGGAAAACCAGCTTGAAGAGGTTTTAGGGCCTGAAGCTTCTGGGCTCAGGCAAACCGAGCCCTTTACTTGCGAGGTGCTGAGAAATAAGAGGCGCGCTGCTTCTGGCAGAGCCGGCAGAGCAGACCCAGGTCGACGGCTTCGAAAGCAGCACAGCCCGAGCCACGTCCTGTGTGGGCAGAGCCGTCCAAGAAGAAGAACTGCAGACCAGGAGGATGCTGAGCTCTAGGGGCGAAAGCCGGCACCTGGGGCAACGGCTCGCGGGAGACTGCTCCCGCGGCGCCCTAAACCCTCGACACCTTTGCCAGACTAGCCAGGCTTAAGCCGAAAGCCTCTCCGATTGCGCTGCTCAAAGTTGTCTTCGGATTGGCCGCTCAGTCGGCCTTAGTTGGCGAAAAGCAAAGAGATTCACTGCGCTGTGCTCATTGCGGTGAACTTGGCAGCCACTGGGATCAGCGTATGTTCTGCAAACACGATATTCGTATCTTTTAAGTTGATTGATGAGCGTTGTGCCAATTGCTGTGCAAAATGTCATTGTCATGATTCCTTGGAACACGCCTTGTAAAGCCAATCAACGTACTGAGCCCCAACTCGTCCTTGCGCCGTATGGACCAGCCCGTCAATGCCTACAAGACCAGAAGCCGTAAACAATGTCCAGGCGCCACGGAAGCCTTGGACGCTCCGGATGCTCTTTCCCAACTGAAGCACTTGGAGGTACCGGGTACATGGGGCTCCTTATGAAGTGCGGGCATTGAAAGTCGCAGGCCAACTTTGCTGCAGTTCCTAAGCACTTTCTGACACACGTTCGGAAAGCTGGCAAGAACTAGTGACGTATCAAGCGTTGCATCTTAAGCAAAGGAAGCTGACTGCTATAGTCTACTCTTAAAATGTCGTTGCTGGCTTCCCTACTCACGCCAGACAGGAGCCATCCTACAGTACTGTAGCCATCACATGTGGAGGTTGAGATGACTGGAGTCGTGGAAAAGTGGTCGAGGACGTTGGCAGCGACAGAGGTCCGGATAGGTTTGTATTCGGCTTTGCGCGCGCTGTGGTAGTGCGGTCGCTTGTTCCCAGATTTGGGCAGATTTGGGCAGAACTAACGAATCATGATGAATCATGAATGATTCCCAATCCTTTGGTGCGGTGCCGATTTCAACCAGGGCAAGACACGGCCACGCAGCCCCCAAAAGACTTGAAAGAGTGGAGAGTGGAGGCAGATTGTCGCGGCTTGCTACGCTTCTTTGGTCTGGGCGCCTCTTCTGAATGTATGTGCAGGGTTCAAAGTTCAAGGTGTAGCGAAGCTTTGAGACCAAACGGTCCAAACCCAAAGGATCCCTTTTTTATTCTTCATCATCAAAACTCGTAACATGTATGTATGCCTAATTTGGTCCAAGGACTTAGGGACCATCCCTTTAGCTGCACAAGCAGGCCTGATCAGCTCAGATGAGCATAAAGCAGGATACCGGGTTGAAGTCAAAATGGGATCTGCGTCATGCTTGAGACGCTTCTTGGGATGAGTCAAGACGTCATGGCCATAAGCTTCAGCTGCTCAACCAGGAGCTCAGGGTTTAGGGTTTAGGGTTTAGGGTTTAGGGTTTAGGGTTCAGAATCCCTCAAGCCCAAAAACCTCAGGTGCCCCAGAGGAGAGTCAGCTCGCGGAGGCGGCAGCGCAGCTCCTTCGCGCGCTTAGCACCTTCCGCGGCCAGGTGGGCGACCTGAGCGGCAGTTCAGTGGATTCATAGGGTTTAGGGTTTAGGGTTTAGGGTTTAGGGTTTTTGTTCAGGCATGAACGTATGAAGGGAGCTGTTTGACCAAAGCTGCAAGATGTGTTTGGAAATGTGATGAGTAATGAGCCCGCCGAAGGGCGCGACTACGTTTTTTTCACTCGCTTGGCACTATCCGGTTCAGCATTGTCGAAGATCTGCAAGCATTCACGGGCCAGATCTTTGGATGTTACTCAGGTCTTGCAAAGGTTTGGTACTTCGTGAGGACCCAGCCCGACATCCTTAATCCTCAATCCAACCGGACATCACAGATATGCACCTCGGCACTTCGCAAGGTTCGTGGCAAAATCCTCAGCCACCGATCCCAATCTTAAAGGATCCCACCACCCTGTCTGCGCATGTCTATACACGCACATCCTACATAGCCCGTCTGAATGACCGATCTTCTTAGATGCCGTAAGGCGACGCTTGGGCCGAACTCGAGCAGCACGCGAGCGAGGAGGCGAGAAAGCGAGGCCCTGGAAGTTGGGTGGAGGGGAGGGGGACTTTTCACGCACGAGGAGTTGGCTTGAGACATGCAACCTCCACCAAACGTGTTGAACACATCAAGCGCAATTTTGTGAGCGAAACCTACGAAGCTTACAGTCGAGCATTTGGGATTCCGGCTGTTTACATTGTTTCCGGGTTGTTTATAAGTTTAGACCACCCCAGCCTTTTTTTCGAGACACTTCGGCATGTTTCCGCAATCGTAAACAAAAACATTAACAATCAATCTTGCCTACGTGATCTGCGTTTTTCGTTTTGGCCGCCTGGAACAGAATCTCGGGCTTTCACCATTTGTGCTTTTTCGTGGTTGCCAATCACGAAACGCCTCCTCGACCATCTTGTGCAGGCACCAAGAAGCCGGGCAAGCCCCTGCGCACTCGTGCCCGCACCCAAACTGCAGCCACCGACACTTCAGAGGCAGGATCTTGGGGAGGTATCAACTAACGATCTTCGCGTACGGATGTGGCGAATCGCGGTCACTGCCATGGCAAGACTGCAGTATTGCATCTTAGACTGCTTGAGACGCCGAAGAGGTGGTGCACAACTCACGTGTCCCTCTGAACTGGAGAGTTCGTTTTGTTCGCTTTAATTGGCCGAGACCAATCACGCTTCATAAGGGGGGCACTGTTCTCTTGCAGTTTAATGTCAGAGTTTCTCTCGGAAAATTGCTGTAGGCCCCGATGACAGCAACGCGATCCGAATCCAATGAGACGTTGGACACTCCTGCGCGGTTTCTCGGCCAGTTTGGTCCGATTACAGCTGGTGGTTTCAGAACGGTGCTTACTGTGAGTTGCTGACACAGTTTTGTAAGAGACGCCCTGCTGCGCCGAACACACAACCAGCTCGCAGCACAGGTCACGAACCCACTCGGCAGATGAAGCCGAGTCTTTTGTCAGTGTTCATAGCGCCGCCTCCTAGGACCGGCTAGAGAGGTCCTGAGAAGGATGCCTCGTGAATTTTCCATTTAAAGACACAGGTCTCCCAAGCCACGGATGCCTTGTACATTAGCTGCATTAGCTCCATCCTAGCAAGCACGAGGGAGATGGCAAGTTCAGGGCTTAAGGTGACTCGTGCCCACTCGGGGGCACGACACACCAGTGCTGCCCAAAGCAGAAATTGTACGGAGAGGGTACATGCCTCAAAATTCGCTTGCGCGACGAGGCTTGTCAAGTTCCAGAGTGTTCAAAAGGGATAGTGGTCCGCCATCGCCCTGGGGGGGGCCAAAGTTGCCTCCCGGTGCTTTGAGCTTCTGCTCGAGGACAGTGGCCGAGGGTGCTGGCGAGATGCCAGCTCCTCCGGCCTATTTTCAACAGGCAGGTTGCCAATTCGGCGGCGCCTGACTCACTCATAGCGCTGGCCTCCCTGATGGGAAAGGCCGAGTTGCTGAACATCCCTGTGCTGGCTGCTTGGGCGCATAGGATGCGCCTACAACAAAAAGATTTGTGCCTGCAATGCCTGCAGCTGCTGCTAAATGAAGATGATCAACCTTTGTTCACCAGTGCGTTGCGTGGGAACTCTTTTGTGGATGGCTTTAGTCATAGCCTTTATCAATTTATCGTAGCTTAAATTCTTAAGCATCCTGAACGCGTGGAAAGCTGAGACGTCAGTGGCTCTGAGCTCTTCGGTCGAGGTATTTTGGGCTTCACGCTTTCACTTCTAAAACCTGCCACGGCTCCTCATGAAGTCATTGCCTTGCAAGGCTGGGTTGGGCAAGGCACTGCATCGAGGTTCTGAGCTGTACAGCGTAAGATGATTCCATGGAGCAGCGGACTGTGTCACAGGATCAGGCGCATGGCCTAAATGGCTACATGCCACAGCAAGAAGTGACTAAGTCAGGGCAGAATCTGTTCTTCACATACCCAGACCCTCTCGATGCCGCTAAGCACAAGCAGGGATTACTTGCTTTCCCTTTCCGTCTCTGCTTCGTGCTGCATTTCACGCCCTTCCATGCCTGGCTTGGCTGTCGCCATGGCTGCCAGTACATGGCAGGCACAGAGCCCAGCAAGGGCCCACACGTGGACAACCTGCTGTATATAATGTTGGACCTGCTTTAGCTTGTGGGTTAGCCCCTCCCCCGCCCCCCGGAACAATCGAGACTGGTTCTTGGATGCGTTTACCACGTTTGCCCCGCATTTCCTTCTTTTGTGTGGGGTGGGGGGGGGGGTGGGGTGGAGTGGGGGGGGGGGGGTTGATTACGTGCTTTTGCAGAAGAAGCACACCCGGAAGGTTCTCTCATGTGCTCCTTTGGGTTTTCCAGGGTTTAGGGTTCAGTCTTTCGGACGCTTACAACCTTGCGTTTCGGGCTTCCTGTGCCTCATGTGTCAAGAAACAAAAGCACAAACACAGGTCTACCTGACGCTTCTAAACGTGTTTGGAGCCTGGCGAAGCCCAAAAAAAAGCATATATACATAAATACATATAGACATGTATACGTATATACATACATACATGTGTACGTATATACATATATACATATACATAGGCTTTGAAACCCTCTCTTCTTTGTTGCTTGTTGTTTGTTGCTTCTTGCTTGTTGTTTGTTGCTTCTTGCTTGTTGTTTCTTGCTTGTTGTTTGTTGTTTGTTGTTTGTTGTTTGTTGTTTCTTGTTTTTTGTCTGTTGTCTGTTGCTTGTTGTTTGTTGCTTGTTGTTTGCCTGTTTTTCGCTTGCTTCCATAGCTTTCGATGGTGAATGTTGCCTCTTGCATTGTGCCCCACAAAAGGTCAAACATACAGAAAAACACTGTAAATGACGATGTAAACGCCACTTTCGCTGCAAAAACCTCTCTCCACTCCTTCCACCTTACGCTTCCAAACGTGTTTCGAGCCTGCCGAAGCCCAAAAAACAGAAAATTGGCGCCCCGTTTCGCTCGAGACGTCTGCGTTCCGCGTGGTCCAAGTCCTAACTTGGAAGACGCAACGCTTGTCATCAATCTGCCACATCCAATCAAGAAGGATAGCACACAACGCTGTGTCTCTACAACATACACTTCTTCGCAAACACTCAAAATCACTGCGCCTGCCATGTTATTCCTAGCTCCGCCTGATGAACCAACGAAGCACAACCACACCCAAACAACCCCAACGTTCGGCTAACAACGCGCCCGCACGAACATTTGCGGGGCAAACGTGGTACACGCGTCCAGGTTCTTGCTCTCTTTAAACGTTCCAGGGTTTTATATGGTTTAAAGATGTTTAAAGGGAGTTTAGGAAAGGGAGGAGGCATGATTCTGTGATGCTTTGCGCGTACTGCTGTCTCATGCTGCAATGTCGATTTCTGCAAGAAATCCTCTGATAGTCTGGGCCGCAGGATGTATGTAAGCAGATTCCCCGGCTGAACAGCTGTCTCAGTGGTCTATGCTGCAAATGACTGCTTCATAAGCCGGACTGGTGATTGACTCCGTCTGCCTGAGCCAGGCAGACCTGACCAGGCGATGTTTCCCGGAGCGGCGTTGGTGCCAGTGCACATGTCACGCTTGTCAGCGAGAGAAGTCCTAAGACATCCTGAGACCCTTCAGACCGAGAAGTGTTTGAGAACTATAGCTCTCATTAGCTCTCCATCCCGAGAGCAGACCGTCGAAAATCTTCCCCCGCGCTGCCGCCCCCCCTCCCAGGATGCTGATTTTCTGGGGCCTTCGTGTTCAGGGTTTAGGGTTTAGGCTTGATTCTTGGGATGATCCTCGTCCAATCGCCGCCTTTGCCTTGCTGCCGCCACTGGCTCAGCGGGATGTGAGCTGCAGGACTTTCACAGCTCCGACCCTCGGCTTACTTGGGGAACGCCACTTTACCAACATGAACACCTCTTCTACAGGGGGGAGCGCTTCTGCAGTTAGACTGTGCTCTTATTTCTTGTTGTGGGGCCCACTGCTAGGCCCAGGTCCCCGAGCTTATACCCTTCTCTTTCTGGCGGCGTGATGCTCTGATGTGCATGGCAGAGTTCAGGACGGTCGCCAGCCTGCTTCTTCAAAGACGCTTGGGCTGGCTTCAGAGATACTCGGGGTGGATCCCGCTTTAGATGGTGCTGCTCGAACTGCTTAAGAAACCGGGGCTGCACCACGATAAGCCCAGCAAAAGCAACCCAAGCCAAAGGGAAAAAACCCAAGCCTCACAAGATCCCCCCCCAAAAAGCACTGGCTTTCCTGTCCCTGGATAGGTGATTTTTCAGGGCTGATGGTTCTTTTTTCGTATTTTTTCTGGTTTTTTTTTCGTATTATTTATGGTTTCAGGTGAACCCCAAACCCTAAACCCTAAACCCTAAACCCTAGACCCTAAACCCTAAACCCTAAACCCCAAACCCTAAACCCTACAAACCCTAAACCCTAAAAACCCTAAAAACCCTAAAAACCCTAAAAACCCTAAAAACCCTAAAAACCCTAACAACCCTAAAAACCCTAAAAACCCTAAAAACCCTAAACCCTAAAAACCCTAAACCCTAAACCCTAAACCCTAAACCCTAAACCCTAAACCCTAAACCCTAAACCCTAAACCCAAGACCATGAAAAATACGAAAAAAAAAACCAGAAAAAATACGAAAAAAAAACCTGGACCCATTTTTCAGCATGATCTCGATCTTGTAAGATGGCAATATATGCAGTGCACCGAGCTGATCCAACTTACAAGAATCCCAGCCGGTCCGATCGCAATTCCCATTCTTGCGAACTCCTACTACAACCCCGAGCTAGAAAATCCCAACCCCCATCCTACAAAATCCCAACATTTCCTGCGAAAGCCCCAAAATTTCCTTCGAAAACCCCAACAAATCTTACGAAATGCCGACAAATCCCCAAAACATCCCAACAATGTCCCACTTTACGAAAATGCCAGCCAACCCCTAGCATGCTCCGCTTGCTTTTTCTATAAGGGTGTTTGCGGGGGGAATGCCGCCCTTGTTTTCCAGGACGGTTTAAGGAGAGCCTTGGGTAACATCGACAGAACAAGACATCATAACATGTTAACCTAGTCCACATCGCAAACTTTCACGTTTATGGAAGGAAGGTTTTGGGAAATTCAGGCTTTCGCGGTTTCAGAGCATGAGTGAAGTAGGATTGTTTAAGACAGCATGCACCTACTTCTTCAGAATTGCTGCTGGCACTTTATCAGCCTTGTTTGGTTTTTCTGGTGTTCGGCATCTGGTGAGAAACTGGACAGCTTCCCTTGCTGCGGGCTCCCTTGTCGATGTCTTCCTGCCGAAAAGAACTTGTACTCAATGTCGCATCTAGCAGGGGCCTGGCGCAAACCTCAAGTCCCAAGTCTGGAATGTTAATTCATGCCCAGATGGGGATGAAGTACGTGGCAGCGTATCTCATGGCAGCAGCGCCCTCGGTCAAAGTGAGAGCTGTTCCAGCCGTCCGTTCACCATCTGGGGAATCAGGGTTGGAGGTCACAAGACCACAGGTATCCACAGGTTGAAGCGGGTGCGTGAGGTTTCGGGAGAACGGGCAAGGCCCCCCGGATGCCACTTGCGTACACATATGTAGGCCGTGATGGGAGAGCCCCTCTGAAGATCCATCCCTGAACCGATAAGCTCCCAACTGCCGCACAGCCCCGCGAGCATCCGAGAGAATGAGGCCCTGGCCGGCAAGGAGAGCCCCAGCGCCGACGACATCAAAGCCATCCTCGAGTCCGTGGAGTCCGAGTACGCGCTGGCCTTGGGGAGCTGCACGGAACAGGGCCCCCGCCGGGATCAAACTCCAAGCAAAATTGTAGGGACTGCATGACGAAACTCCATCCTCCAGGCTAGCTGAATCAAGTGATACATCTGAAGACGGCGACCAGAAGAATCAAAGCAGACCCCGACAGCACAATTTTCGCACAATCTTCCAGCACATCTGAGCTCACCCAAGATATCCCAAGCCTCTGGATGCGTCCTGCCCGTTTTGCATCCTTGCGGACGGTTGCTTGCACCCCTGACACTATTCTTGGCACAACTCGGCCGAAGAATGACGGAGCCTTCACTCGGCACTCAACGGCGTCACGCAAGCCTCTAGTTGAAACTTGCTACCCGTCCTTCTCGAACAGCGACTTAGTGCTGGAGTAGCAAGCGCAACGATGCTTGGGAGCCGCTTCAATTGCAAATTCCGTATGGTTTGGAGCGACCCAAACGAAAGTTGCTCATCAACGGGCGATCTCGTACACAACGGCATGTGTTGCAAAGTGCTTGGTCTTAAGAATCGTTACGGCCGGAGAAATCGGCACTGGTTTCCAACAGCCCCAGGACGAGAGCATTGCCAGCAAGCTGGTATCCGAGTCCTTCGGCGGCATCTGGAGTGGGCGAACCGAGTTTAGTTTGATTTGACTTTCCTATTTTCTGTCAACTGGCGGCCCAGGCTCGAGGGCAAGACGGTGCACGAGGCCTGGGGCTTCAACTCTTGAGCAAGCTCGCAAGCTCACCCTTAACCGGGACTCAAGATAGGATCCAGCCTGAGAATGGCACAGAAACATGACATGGCCTCAGGTCGTGGCTGCAGGAAAGGAGAAGCTGAAGGTCCTCAGTAGGGCTTTTCAGGGGTCTGAGTGGGCACAAAGGACCACGAAGGGCGGTGTTGTCAGGAGTTGCCATGGGGACCTTTGATTGTTACGTTACGTTGACCGTTGAGAAGGGCAGGGATCTCATCTTTGCAGTCCTCGGCAGCAATAAAATTTGCCAGGCAGTGCCGCGCAGCAGCCTTTGCGCGAGTTTCTGACATTGAAACGCTGGCTATTGGGCATTTCCTATTGTTGGCCCTGTGTGCAGGGCTTTGGCGGCGGCGGCGGCGGTGGCCCCGCCATTGGCGGCGGAGGCGGCGGTGGTGCCGCGCCGGCTGCAGAGGCGAAGAAGGACCCGAAGCTGAGTGGATGCAGGGGGTCTGCATCGATGGCGTACCGCGTAACGAAGCATGGAGGGTTTCATGGGTTGCATGGTATCTTTGTGTTGTTCATGTTTCGTTATATGTTTATGTGACGCTCACAGGCGGTTCACATGACTCAGAACGTAGTGCCAAAATGCGAAGCAGTCTCTACCTTGTCCTTTGCTTTGTCTCCCACCACATCTGGGCCCAGGAAGAGAAGAAGGCAGGATGATGGTTTTGGTTCTTTCTGTGCTCATCTTGGGGGTGAAGGCTTTGACCATTCAGCATGCGTGTTGCAGGAATGATGGCCATCGGAATGAAATTGATGGTCACAGCGTTATCTCCACAGCAGCTAGCAGCTAGTGAGGTACCCAATGCAAAACATCATTCAGTCATCTTCAGGAGTCGACACTGATCATGTACAGCGTCACCTTTGCGACAGACACATCTCCAAAACATTCCAAGCCCTCTAATTTCAACGCAGCCAGCGACAAGCCGGCGACGGCATGAGTGCCGAATTGTGCCGAATTGCTGTGGTGGAATAGTAGCGGGTGGGCGTGACGTGTGGTTCTTTTTCTATATTTGCTGGAACTTGCGAAGGTCGAGGAGGAGGAAGAAGAGGAGGAGATGGACTTCGACCTTTTCGGCTGAGCACCGACTGGCACCGACTGGCACCGAACACTTCCGATCAGTTCTGCAGAATCACGAGAAAAACCTGTCGCCTTCAAGTTGCCTTCAAGTGACCTCTAGCTTCAATTCCAAAACGTGGCGCCAGCACAAGCCAGGTCAACCCTTCGCAGCGTGCAGCTATCGAAGGCCTCAAGTACGCCTTGGAGAAGATCCAGGACATTTTGGGTTCGACTGGGGTTTACAGAGCTCAGGCCAAAAGCATCATGCCATGCAGCACGTTTCGACCACAGGCCCGTAAGGGGATTCGGTGAATCAGAAGCATTGCAGGGTAACTTTGTCGCTTAGTTGAACTTAGTTGTTGTAAAGCTGTTGCTAAGTTCAAAAGAGCAATGGTTCCCCTAAGTGCGGGCAGTGTGCAGGCCAACAACATGAGCCAACCAACATGTCTGCGCCAACTCCGCAATCACGTTGTGCAGCCCGCAGGCGATGATCCCCTGAGCCAAGGGGCTCGTGAAGCCGCATGGGGTTTACTGAAAATAGGGGGCCCCAAAATATAACCCCCCTTATTATCAGAAGGCTCAATAAGGTACCCCTAATATCGGAAACCCCACATGGGGCATTGGCAGGATGTTTGTTTGGCGATCTTGCCGTAGCTTCCATCCGTACTTGGCTGGTTTGAGGTGCTGAGCATGCTGGTATAGACAACAAGAATCTCAACCTCTTGAGGCCCACGCCTAATCATGTAAAATGGACCCCCAGTACGTGGTTTTGGCGAATTACAATTACCTCCCGGATTTGTTGTTTACGGTCGAGCCTCATCCTTACTTCCACACGGGCCTACTTCCACAACTTCCACAACTCTGCTATGGCCATACGGGTCAGAGCACCAAAAGTCGGACAGAGGAGGCATTTTTACAATAGCATGGGGTCATTGAAGCCTCGGAGAGATCCACTGCGCGCACCTGAAAGGAGTATAGAAAACCCGTGCATGCTTGGAGACAAGTTCAGACAGCCAGGCTTGTGTCACCAAAATGTTAAAAGGGATGATGCCAAAGCGGCCTCCCAATGCTTTGAGCTTCTGCTCAAGGACAGTGGCCGAGGGTGCTGGCGAGATGCTGCTCCTCCGGCCTATTTTCAACAGGCAGGTTGCCAATTCAGCGGCCTGACTGACTCATAGCGCTGGCCTCCCTGAAGGGAAAGGCTTTACCAGTGCGTTGCGTTGGAACTCATTGTGGGTGGCCTTATGAACTCCGCTTGGTGCGCAGTGTTGGCCACGTGAAGCGTGTGCACTTTCTTCATAGCTTAAACCGCCTGAATGCGTGGAAAGCTGAAACAGCCGTGGCGCTGAGCTCTTCGGTCGAGGCATTTCACGTTTTCATCTCTAACACCTGCCACGGCTCCTCATGAATCATGAAGTACCTTGCAACTGTGTTGGGCAAGGCACTGCGTAGAGGTGCTGAGCTGTACAGCGTAAGATGATTCCATGGAACAGCGGACTGTGTCAAAGGTAGTCGCATGATCAGGCGCATGGCCTAAATGGCTACATGCCACAGCAAGAAGTGACTAAGTCAGGGCAGAATCTGTTCTTCACATACCCAGACCCTCTCGATGCCGCTAACAGCCAGCACAAGCAGGTAGTTGCATTCCCTTTCGGTTTCTGCTGCGTGCTGATTTCACGCCCTTCCATGCCTGGCTTGGCTGTCGCCATGGCTGCCAGTAAATGGCAGGCACAGAGCAAGGGCCCACATGTGGGTAATCTGCTGTACCGGGAACGGAATGAAACACAATTCGACATCAAAATCGTCCCAGCGAGCCGCAGGCTCTGGAACTCCATCCTTGCAAGTACATCGCGCAGCCTAGAATGCCTAGAACATCGGGAGCCAGATGGCCTCGTGCATCCCCACTTTTGCTATTGCGGCTGACCCTCAGGCTGCCCGGGAGCAAGGGCGCCCGCGTTGGCAACGAAGCCAAGGCCCAGCAAGCAGCCCTTCACGGGGGGGTGTTCTGATACTGTTGATGGACGAAATCCTGCATCACTTTTATCACGCAGGTCATCCCTTCCAAACCCTGAATCTTAACATTGCTGTCCTTGCAACGCTTCGAAAGTGCATGTGTGAATGACCGAAATCCTGCATCACCCATATGCGCGCGCAACATTGAAATTCGAGGGGTGTGGGGAGCTCGATTACCAACCGTCGCACACGTGTAACGTAGGGGGTCATGCAAGATTTTGTCCATCCACAGTCTCGGACAAGATAATTGACTGACTTGTTGGCAAGAGCTGGTGCTGGAATGGCTTTTGGGAAGAATGTCGGAGAATGGCCTTTGGGAAGAATGTCGGAGATGTACCTTTTGCAGCTTCAAGCCTAAGCTCTCCTCTTTCTCGGTGTGGCCAAGCGGCAAAGAGCAGAAATGCCGTGTTTTTCAAGTTTCAAATTCGTTTCCGTAGTTTCAAATTAGTTTCAAAATAGTTTCAAAATCCAGTTGCAAAATCGCTGTTAAGGGGAAACTGCATTTTTCTACACGCGATTCAAAAAAATGAAGGAATCTCAGAGGTTCCTCGTTTTCAAAAAGCGCGGACAGAAATTGCAGTTCCCCCTTAACAGCGATTTTGCAACTGGATTTTGAAACTAATTTGAAACTGATTGGAAACTAATTTGAAACTATGGAAACAATTTGAAACTTGAAAATACCACATTCCGGACTTTCTGCCCCATCCTGGCCCCTCACATACGGCCCTCCGTTGACTTTGGTCAGCCGTGACTAGAGACCAGTTTTTCCGAAAACTTGCCAGTCTCCAGACTGTTGATGGACGAAATCCTGCATCACTTTTATCACGCAGGTCATCCCTTCCAAACCCTGAATCTTAACATTGCTGTCCTTGCAACGCTTCGAAAGTGCATGTGTGTGAATGACCGAAATCCTGCATCACCCATATGCGCACGCAACATTGAAATTCGAGGGGTGCGGGGAGCTCGATTACCAACCGTCGCACACGTGTAACGTAGGGGGTCATGCAAGATTTTGTCCATCCACAGTCTCGGACAAGATAATTGACTGACTTGTTGGCAAGAGTTGTTGCTGGAATGGCTTTTGGGAAGAATGTCGGAGAATGGCCTTTGGGAAGAATGTCGGAGATGTACTTTTTGCAGCTTCAAGCCTAAGCTCTCCTCTTTCTCGGGTGTGGCCAAGCACCAAAGAGCAGAAATGTCGCGTTTTTCAAGTTTCAAATTCGTTTCTGTAGTTTCAAATTAGTTTCAAAATAGTTTCAAAATCCAGTTGCAAAATCGCTGTTAAGGGGAAACTGGATTTTCCTACGTGCGATTCAAAAAATGAAGGAATCTCAGAGATTCCTGGTTTTCAAAAAGCGCGGACAGAAATTGCAGTTCCCCCTTAACAGCGATTTTGCAACTGGATTTTGAAACTAATTTGAAACTGACTGGAAACTAATTTGAAACTATGGAAACAATTTGAAACTTGAAAAATACCACATTCCGGACTTTCTGCCCCATCCTGGCCCCTCACATACGGCCCTCAGTTGACTTTGGTCAGCCGTGACTAGAGACCAGAGTTTCCGAAAACTTGCAAGTCTCCAGACTGTGGATGGACAAAATCTTGCATGACCCCCTGCGTTACACGTGTGCGACGGTTGGTAATCGAGCTCCCCGCACCCGTCGAATTTCAATGTTGCGTGCGCATATGGGTGATGCAGGATTTCGGTCATTCACACACATGCACTTTCGAAGCATTGCAAGGACAGCAATGTTAAGATTCAGGGTTTGGAAGGGATGACATGCGTATAAACGTGATGCAGGATTTCGTCCATCAACAGTCTGGAACTGGCAAGTTTTCGGAAACTCTGGCTCTAGTCACGGCTGACCAAAGTCAACGGAGGGCCGTATGTGAGGGGCCAGGATGGGGCAGAAAGTCCGGAATGTGGTATTTTTCAAGTTTCAAATTGTTTCCATAGTTTCAAATTAGTTTCCAATCAGTTTCAAATTAGTTTCAAAATCCAGTTGCAAAATCGCTGTTAAGGGGGAACTGCAATTTCTGTCCGCGCTTTTTGAAAACGAGGAACCTCTGAGATTCCTTCATTTTTTTGAATCGCGTGTAGAAAAATGCAGTTTCCCCTTAACAGCGATTTTGCAACTGGATTTTGAAACTATTTTGAAACTAATTTGAAACTACGGAAACGAATTTGAAACTTGAAAAACACGGCATTTCTGCTCTTTGCCGCTTGGCCACACCGAGAAAGAGGAGAGCTTAGGCTTGAAGCTGCAAAAGGTACATCTCCGACATTCTTCCCAAAGGCCATTCTCCGACATTCTTCCCAAAAGCCATTCCAGCACCAGCTCTTGCCAACAAGTCAGTCAATTATCTTGTCCGAGACTGTGGATGGACAAAATCTTGCATGACCCCCTACGTTACACGTGTGCGACGGTTGGTAATCGAGCTCCCCACACCCCTCGAATTTCAATGTTGCGCGCGCATATGGGTGATGCAGGATTTCGGTCATTCACACATGCACTTTCGAAGCGTTGCAAGGACAGCAATGTTAAGATTCAGGGTTTGGAAGGGATGACCTGCGTGATAAAAGTGATGCAGGATTTCGTCCATCAACAGTCTCGGACAAGATAATTGACTGACTTGTTGGCAAGAGCTGGTGCTGGAATGGCTTTTGGGAAGAATGTCGGAGAATGGCCTTTGGGAAGAATGTCGGAGATGTACCTTTTGCAGCTTCAAGCCTAAGCTCTCCTCTTTCTCGGTGTGGCCAAGCGGCAAAGAGCAGAAATGCCGTGTTTTTCAAGTTTCAAATTCGTTTCCGTAGTTTCAAATTAGTTTCAAAATAGTTTCAAAATCCAGTTGCAAAATCGCTGTTAAGGGGAAACTGCATTTTTCTACACGCGATTCAAAAAAATGAAGGAATCTCAGAGGTTCCTCGTTTTCAAAAAGCGCGGACAGAAATTGCAGTTCCCCCTTAACAGCGATTTTGCAACTGGATTTTGAAACTAATTTGAAACTGATTGGAAACTAATTTGAAACTATGGAAACAATTTGAAACTTGAAAATACCACATTCCGGACTTTCTGCCCCATCCTGGCCCCTCACATACGGCCCTCCGTTGACTTTGGTCAGCCGTGACTAGAGACCAGAGTTTCCGAAAACTTGCCAGTCTCCAGACTGTTGATGGACGAAATCCTGCATCACTTTTATCACGCAGGTCATCCCTTCCAAACCCTGAATCTTAACATTGCTGTCCTTGCAACGCTTCGAAAGTGCATGTGTGAATGACCGAAATCCTGCATCACCCATATGCGCGCGCAACATTGAAATTCGAGGGGTGTGGGGAGCTCGATTACCAACCGTCGCACACGTGTAACGTAGGGGGTCATGCAAGATTTTGTCCATCCACAGTATGTCCTGATATGTCCTGACTATCAGTAGCGCTCTAAGGAGGACACCAAGTGATGATGTCGGACATTGCTGTCCGGTGTTGATTTGTTTCACTAGTTGCGTTGACAACCGCCACCATGTAGCGCGCATGTCCTCGCAGCCCATCCCTTCAGAAAACGAAGCGTATCTAAGCGTCTCACATGTGAATTGTCAAATTGTGCTTCTTCATGACCTGCGAGTGCAACAAGACACCCCCATGCGCCCCGAATGCACAAGACTGTTGAAGCGATGTCTTTCGAAGTCCGCTCTGTCAAACACGTCCGGATCAAACCTTTGCATGACTGAGGCTCATGGACAAGTTGTCTCGAAGCCTGGGTAAGAAGTGAATCTGGGTTAAGTGGAGTGTGCTTGACTACTGTTCCGATGCCACACACGCACATGTTGAGAGCCCCTCACTTGTTTGCAGCGCGTTCCTGTCGCAGCTGTCGCAGGGCGGATGATGGCGGGTGGCCGCATGTCCCCTCGAGAAAGTATGCCACAGAGCTTCTGCGAAAGCTTGCCCAGGAAACGATGTGAAACTCATCATGTCGGGCAGGGAATGTTCAGTGCATAGGGCGGTTGCAATGTGTCAGCCCTCTATCTAGAGCCTGTGCCATCTAAGTCAAAGCCTGGCCAAAGCTCTAATTGCAAACGCTTGCGCGTGCCGCCTCTGCAGCTGGGCTGGGCCGGATCGAGTGCACCCTTCAAACCGGAAACCTGGAACCCACAGCGTACGTGAGCTTGGGGGACGCGTAGTCCTGCTGGAGGGCCCCTCACGTCCCTTTATTGCCTGGATTCACGGTAAGTTTGCAGTGCAAGTTTGCAGTGTCAGCCGGCTGTGCTCGAAATATTCGGAGGGGATCCACTTTGGCAGCTGGCACAGGGGAGGGGGTTGGACGCAGTGGGAGGGGGGAAAGGAGATGAAAGAAGGCCAGATGCTGACGAGCTGGTTCCAGCCAGCCAGGCCGAGCGAGCTTTAAGATGGATTTAAATACTGCTATCTATAGAAGATGAGCCAACAGCCACCTCAGTCTGGTTCCACGCCAAGGAGCATCGGCAGTATCGGCATACAGTTAAACGTGCGGAAAGAACCACAATTACCATCAAACGGAAAAGACAAGGCGCGTTGACATTGCTGAGTGTCTTGTTGCATCCACACTCGCACTCCGGCACCTGATCAGCACTTGGCTCCGGATGTATTGTACCTTCAGTACCTTTTGCACGTCTGAGCGCCTGCGGGCTTCCGTAAAATGCACAGCAGCATCAAGGTAATTCATCAGGCCCGAGCAGCAAACTGCATGCGCTTCGCCAGACGCGCTCCAGGAGGATCCTCTTGAGGCGGTCAAGCTTCTCCAGGTGCTTGGAGCTTCCAAAGTCGAGGCGGACGCAGGGGCTCTGGGCTGAGGTTCGGTGTGTTTAGGTAGGGGCTTGGGAGTCTTGGGCCCACCAGGCAGATTGTGGTGCTGCTTGTCTCTCGGTTCGGAGGCTTCCACCTTCCACTTCGGTGCAATCTTGGGCCCTTGCGAGAAGCTGCTCGCCTCAAGCTGTTTTTGCCGGCCAGTGCATTCACAACATCATATACCATGTCAGTGTCAGGGTTATATGTATCAGACCATGTAGCATAGTATATGCTCCCACCCACTCACCTTGCATAATTTTCCCGACACCCTTTTTGCTGAGGCAAAAGCATTCTCGTGCGGGGAGGCATTCTCGGAACATCTGCAGTAGATGCCTGCTGCACGTAGCAAAGCCCGTTCCCAATCCAGGAAGTCCTCCTGGGTCTTGGCGTCCTGGCTCCTCCTGGAGATTGCTTCGGCAGGTGTGGAGATGAACATGGCTCTTTGGCAAGGAATCAAATCAGCTATACCAGTAGTACAGGCGACGCAGGACAGATGAAGGCGTGTCGAGGGTTAGGGGTGTGGTGTGGATGTGAGGGATGAGTGTCCTGCCCTTGCCCGCAACCACTGAACCTTGCTGTCAAGCACGATGTCCGTCTGAAGTGGGCCCAATGCGATCAAATAGCACAGACAAATAGGGTCCGAGATTGTGAAGCTGCGATGGACAGCGTGCTGGACACGGTCCTGCCTCACATGACAACCTCAAGCAGCCACAGCTTGCTTTGGCTGGTGGAGGAGGGCCCGCTGCATGTCGTTGCACTTTCAGCACACCTTGAGACCCTCCTACTAGCAAACAGCAGAATCCCAACACACTATGCTTTTGATCCCAATGTGGCAGGGTCAGGAGGCCAGTCTCGCCGTGTTGCAGAAGAACACATTCGTGGAAGTGGTGCATACACAGCCCGATGCAGACGAAGCAGGCGCTGCTTTGTTCGCTCCGCTTTGGTACTTTCTGTGGGTGAAGACTGGCTGCAGGGCACAGGCTCACTTTGCAAAGTTGCACTTCAAGCTTAGCGCAGTGCCGGGCAGGAGCTTGATGTGAGGAGTAGTTTGTCACAGGTAAATCCATTGACGTCGCTCGATGTTACACGGCGCGCCGACAGCAAACTCCTTGCTTCTGATCTTCTTGCAGGTACGACTATGCGCCGCCACCAGTCAGCTCCAAGCCTGAGGCCGGCGGCTACAGGGCACATCGTTTGATTCATTGGCCCATTTGCCTGCGGATGCGTGCTTCCCTGGTGAGGGTCTCATGAGTTCCTTATGCGCTATAGACAACACAAGTAGGATCCCAGATAAGAAGGTGGCTGTTGCAGAATGAGCACCTTCCGCACATGTTCCCAAGGAGCATAGTGTCTTTCCAACCCAAGACCACCCCAAGACTCCAAAGGTCGTTCTCTGCGGCTTGGATCGAAGGAGCTGTGCCGCAGGAGCAACCAGGCTTCGAGAACCAAGAACAAGACCAGCAAGGCCGTGGAACGGAGCTGGGGCAAAAATTGCCTTGGAAGGCCCACGCCATGGGCGCTTGCACGCCATGCTTTTTCTTCACACGCAAAGCAGATGGATGCCGTCAGGGTGATTCTTGCCGGTATTGCCACCTCTGCTCGGATGTTGAAGCAAGGCGTAAGAGGAACCACGTGACGTGGCAGAAGAAAAAACTGAGAAGGCAAGCAACCTATTTAGCAGTCTGATGACTCTTTCAATAGCTGGTGCACCAACATGGCATGCTTACCAGACTAATAGAAATTGTTTCACCCCAGCGCTAGATCCTTGCTGGATGCTTCGATCTCCATGCAGTGTGAGTACCCGTAGAACCCGACTGGTGTCGGGTTCCCTTACAGAGCTTTGCTTAGTAAGACAAGCATTGGATGATATTAGTTGTTCGATGCGTGGAAGTGAAGCGCGGAGACACCTTCGTGGTTTTGAAGCTTGAGTTTAAGAATGACTGCGGGTACAGCAATTCTACCACTGCTGGCCTTCTGTCGGGCCCGTCTCAGTGGTTCAGATAGTTCGTCACTGACAGACGTATGAGAAAGAGGATCAAAAAAGAAGGTTGGCTGCATGACTGCATACTTTTGCTGCGTTTGGGATTTGGGTTTACCAAAGTTGGCTCTCGACTAGCCTCTTGCATGAACCTGAGAAGACATGCCCCTCGACACTGGCCGGCATCCGGTTCAAGATACCAAGGTCATGTCGAATGCTATCCAGAGTTCTCTGGCCAAGCGATCGCGGTGGTTGTCTGCACTGAGGCGTCCGAACCACCACATTCAGGAAACTGAATCTTTCCGTGTCAACTCTTATGAACACGGCTCGGGCTTGGGTTTGCAAGGTACTTTGGCTGCGGCGTTGAGTTTCGGATTCCGGGGCCAGGGGCCACATGCACAGGACATGGTGGTTCTTACGGAGCGAACGACACATCAGGGGTTTGGGGCTCCAGTTTCCCGTCGAAATGGTACGTAGGCCTCGACAAGGGCCTTAATGAAGAACATACATCCCTTCAATGAACCACATAGCTAGGACAGCACGCTTCGCAGCCTGTGGAAGGCTGTGCTGAAGCCCCTGAAGCGTTTTTTTCATTTTTTTTTTTTTTTTTGGAGGGGGGGGGGGGGGTTTGTCTTACCATCTTTGAAGGATGCTCGAGATCGCTGAATCCCACTCACAGCAGCCGGACACTGCGAGGGTGGTTGCACCGGTCTACGATGGGTAGGGCTTACAGTAGAGTAGTCTTCTGCATATCTATCTCACCCATGATAAGATGGGTTGGCTGTTGAGGATGTTTGGGTTTCTTGTAGGCGCTGCAGCTCGGTGATCCTCGGTGCAGAGGTGCCCATGTGCGAAACAGACATAGCATGACAGCTCAATGCTCGAAGTCTCGAAGGACTCGATTTCCTTCGACACGGCTCTGTCCTCCTGCAGATCGCGGCAGCGCTGGAAGCAGGCACAGCAACGCTGGTGGCACGTTGCGGAGATCATTTCGCTGACATCTTTACAGCTCGCAGACTGACGTAAAATAGCGCACGTTAAAGTCACACACCCACCAAACGTGCCGTGACACAAACGAGTTCAGAAAGGTCCATCGCCCTCGCAGTTACGTACTTCTCAACGCTCTTTCCTGTCCTGAACACTTCGGTCAGCCAAGGGCTGCAACGCATGCCCTGAATATCTGAATCAGGCCACCCATGCAATCGAAGGTGGTGCCGGCGAATGATTTATGTCTCGTGTTCGTGTACAATCAATGCCGTGCACGCTTGCACATGCACACACACACACACACGTCTGGTAAGCCTAAAGGACACAGGCTCTCCGACACTTTCCAGACGCAGGCTTTCAAGCTTCAAGCCCATAACTTCAGGCTCGACATCGAGAAAATTTCTCAGTTAAAGCTTGCAAACCGACGTGCCCCGTCCAGGCGCTGGCGGTGATTTGCTCAATCAATGCACGGTCAGCAGCTTGCCTGTGAGATCACCATTGCATTCCTTGCAGCTGCCTGGGCATGATGAAGTTCAGGAACATGAAGCTAGTCCCTTTTGGCCGGGTGTTTCAACTTCACGCCGCATCAATGTGCCTGGACAGTGCGCCAGAAGCAGAGTCGGGTCGGTGACTTCTAATACAAGTGAGATCAAGTGAGGGTAGGTGCTGTCCGCCGTCCAACTAAATTTTATTCAAGGCTTCGGCAGGCAGATTCGGCGACAGGACTCTTCACACAGCCTGCGAGAATCTGCGAGAAGGCGCCCAGTGCTAGAAGCAGAAGCACCCGCCCCCCCCGGCTCGATTTCCTTCTTCTGGGCACGCCTTGCCAAGAATCTTCTTAAACCCTAAACTCTAAACCCTAAACCCTAAATCCTGTGCACCCGAGGCCTCCGTCTCCGACTTTGGCCACAACTTTGCCATGGCGGCGTCGGGGGTCGGGTTGCAGTGGCAGCGCGCCCTGGAGGCGAGGCCAAATATTCCTGAGACGAGTTGGTTTGGGGTTTTGGGTTTAGGGTTTAGTTTGGGGGACTTGGGTTTAGGGTTGTTGGGTTTAGGGTAGCAGATTGAAAGTATAGTTGAGCCAGGACTCGTGCATGATTGCTAAGTACAGGTAGCAGCGAGATGCACGGAGTAGCATCAGAATCAGAACATCATTTTCTCTTCCAGCTTACGGCGGCCTTCACAGGTTCATCTCCCACCAGGGCCCCTATGCTAATCATTGAGCGGTTGAGAGCATCAAAGCTGGGGCACGTCGACTCCAGATCTTTCAACCAGCACGGCAATTGTAGTTTGAAGCGGAGCTTTTCTATGCAATACCCGCAGAGAGGCAGAAGACGCAGGTGAGAGCTGCTAGCGGGTACCATACGAATTCATGATTCTGCATGTTACTGCAATTTAAAGCAAAATTCGTCTTCTTGCCATCAGGTGCTTTGGGCAATGGGTGGAGCTCGACTTGAAACAGGACCACAGCCTTCATGAACCAAAGCTGCTAGCAGTCTGGGCACAGCACGTGTACGACATGCACCCTCAGCCCAAATTTCCCTACAAATCGTCTCTTGGAATGGCCATGCCCCTTGAGTGGCAGCTTCAGAGATGCTGCGTAGCTGAGTTCCATTCGTACATAGCCCGAGGATGCCCGAGGTAAACATGTGTGAATCCGAGAGCAGGAGTGTACAGCCTCAATGAGGCGATTAACGTGTGCGGGTCCCAGATATCGTGGCACTTCCAGTGCTCGAGTCCAAGGACATTCACTGAGTGAATCGGCCACCTTCCAGCCCAGTCTTGGTAGTGGTCCCGCAATTCAAATCCCCTCACTCAGCTCAGGTGCAAGTGTGCTGCTCGCTGGGACTTGGCCTGCACCCTCCTCACAGCAATCGAAGGCGGACGCAATATCTAAATACAATCTTCAAGAAATGCGCTGCCTGGCCAGGCACCCTGCCGGACCTCATCAGCTTCGGATCAGTGCTGTCAGCCTGTGCGCGAGCAGCGGCCTGGCAAGAGGCACTTGCACTCTTGGAAGGCCTTCAGGCGCAGGCCTGGTGGATTCCAGAGCTTTCAGTATCAGATCGAGAGTAGATGCTTCTGTGCTCATGACACTGGTGCAAGACACTGTTGAAGACCGTTGTCGGGCGAACTATTCATGAAAGTCGTTGAACAGCTGTGGGCACATGGATTGCGAGCGAGTGGCCGGAGATTTGTCATCTGCAGGCGGTACAGCCAAACCACATCTGCTACAATGCAGCTCTGTCAGCCCTTCAAGTGGGCGCACAATGGAAGCTTGCATTCAGCATGCTTCAGCGCATGACCAAGGCCCAACGATGCTTTCTGGGGTCTTTATTGTTAGGTAGAGGTGCATGGTGTCATAGCAGCAGGGACGAACTTGGTGGCTTGGCGGGTGCCCATGTTCCATCTTCACCGCAACGTCCCGAGAGCCCGATCAAAATACTAATCGCACTAATAAAGATATTACTTATATGCATGTTTTATATGTATATATGCATATATGTACATGTGTATATATGTACATGTGTATATATGTATGTATGTAAGAATATGTATATGCATGTCGTCTTTTTAACTGTCATATATTTTGTAAGAACTGTCATATGTATGTATATATATATACATACATATATAACATCTTCTATTACAGAATGTTTCGCGAGTCTACTGAAGCAGGCGTCGCTTGCCAATATCGTGACATTCAATACAGCCCTCGGCGCCCTGGGCGCTGCGAGATGCTGGGCCGAGGCTTTGGAGGACCCCCCCCCCATGAGGGCTTGGGATGTTGGTTTTGGCTTATAGGGTTTTGAGGGTTTCGGGCTAAGGGTTGGAGGCTTGAGGCTTAAGGGTTTTCTTTCGTCCTCGGTTTTTTTGATGCGTGGCTGAAAGACCCTGTTCCTCAGATACACTTATGCGGGCTCTTTGTGAAGTAGGCACACATGCGGGCCTTGCCGGAAGTGCAAGAGGGATCTATAGCAGTAAAGCGAAAAAGCTTCTGAGAGTGTTCTAGCTTCTGCTTTTTGCCAGGTGCTGTCCCAGATGGCATCGTGCAACTCGCTCTGAATTCTTACCTTGGGAGCCGCCAGTCTTCAGCAGCCAAGGTCGATTCCATCCTTCTGACATCGGCCTGAGCGCCAGCCTCAACGCATGCGCAGCCGGCCAGTGGCAGGCATCACAATGAGCCTCTTACTGTAGTAACTTGGGCTCGGGCAACGGCTCGCGGCTGACCTACCCCACAGCTCAACGCCTCGCCGGAATTCCCACAGAACCCATGAACAAAGGAACACTTCTCTTAACTCCTCATGGGCTTCGGTCATGAGTCCTGCAGTGCCCTGCCAGGGACTTGCAAGACTCACGCTCCGCTCCTCCAATCACCATTTGAGAGCCCCCAAAATGGACTCTTGAGCCATGCTGAGCCAGCTTGAGCTATTTGAACGCAGGTGGCCGTGGCGTTGGCCGCCGGTCCCTCAGGCGACTCACACCTCAGCTGCTGGGCTTGGAACCTCCTCGGGTTGAGAACTCGAGTTTCGAACTTTCGGGGGGGCGGAGTATGGATGGCTTAGGGTCCCTAAGCCCTCAACTCCCCCCCCCCCGCCCCCCCCAAAAAAAAAGAACCCAAACCCTAAATTAGGGCGGCGTCACGTCACTCGCCTTAGGCTCCACGTCGCTGCGGGCCACCCTGCGCCGGTGCGGGCGCTGGCGCTCGGCGCTGGAAGGCGAGCCCAAGGCCCATCTGCATCCGTGGACAAATACATTCAATCATACGCTGTACATAATTTATATATATATATATCTCTCTCTCTGTGCGTATGCATGTGCAGAAGAGGCTCCAAGACTTTGCCAGCTGCTGAGTTTGACATGGCCTCAAATTTCACCGTATACAAGCATTGACGTGCGGAGGAGAGTCAAAGTGTGAAACCCTCCACTTACGTCCCATCGCACTTCGCCCACAAGAGGATGTTGTCGATGCGTCTGTCGCCCTCGGCGCGCTGGGAGATGCAGGGCACTGGGCTGAGGCCGGGGCACCATTTGCTAAAGCCTCGCCGTCCAGAAGGATGCAAAACCTTGTCTTGCTTCAACAGCAGGCTGGAACGCCTCGGAAGCAACCACCCGAAGTGTTCAGGAGATAGGGATGCGGACCTCACTAGCTGAAAAGCGGGACAGCGCACTGGCGCAGTTTGTCACATCCCCATCCCCCTATCGGATACCAGTAGGTACGAAAGTGTCGCCGCCAGCCTCGTGTGTGGTGGTGCATCTCATCCTGGAGATATCGCCCCAAAGTCTTCGAAGCTCCTTCACGCTTTGTACCCTACTGTACCATCTTGAGGCGATGAGGCGTGCAGTGGAGGCAGGATCAGAGGAAGACCTGCATGAGCCTTTATCACTGGTAACACTCCAGCAATCGATCCGGCACGAGCTACATTGCTAAGACGGATCTGGCGCATGAGTGAGAGCCTCCAGGTTTCGCTGCAACAGTTGCGAACGGCTATCCAGGCAAGCGAGAGTATCTCAATCTTCGGGTCAGGGTCTGCAAAGGTCACTGTGGAACCTTTCAGGGTGCCAGGTTGGGATTCGGGCCCCCGCTGCCAAATCAACAGCCTGGAGTGATTCAAGCCACCCTAAGCCATTCCCCCTAATCATAAACCGGCCCCCCCCCCCCCCCCCAATAGAAACTCGAAAAGTGTTTACAATGTTATGGGGATGTTTTTATCCAAATGTCATGTTTGGGGTCCAAAGGGTTTAGGGTCTAGGCTGGGAAGGGAGGGAAGGGGAGCTTCAGGATGTTGGTTGGCTTGAGGGTTTGGGGAGCCCTGAACCGCCTCGCAATAGGGTTGAAAAGGAGGGGGTCGGTTTCGGTAGGGATTTTCTGGAAGGTGTTTTTAAAAATTAGGGGTACGTTCAATAAAAGGGGGAAGGGATTCATTCAGCCCTAAACCCGAAACCCACCCGTTGCAGCACAACATCCCGGAACAATAACATAGCTCATGCAGGTCGGAGATAATTCACGACAACCTTCCAACTTCTTGGCCTCAGGGTGTATAGAACCTGTCTGTATAAGATGATAGTCGACAGGAGTCCCAGACATCAAGTCAATTTCATTGGCGTATGCTACCATATGCTACCACACGTAGGTTCTAAATCACGGCACGTTCGTTGTTCTGTTTGCGTAGGGCTGGGGTGGGGGAGGGCACTGTTTTACAAAGGAATCCCTTTATAAGCGTGACTCAAGGGAAATCTAGTTTTCAACAAATTCCCAGAACCAGACCAGGCCTCATCTCTCCTGTCGACCACTGCGGCCGCCCTTGGCGCCCGCCACACGGCCTGGCAGCAGCTGGGAGGGCACTGGCTTGGAATCTGAGGGCTTCATGGGCAGGTGCTCTTGGCCGGCGAAGTATTCGCAGTCCTGGCTCCTGGAAATGAGTCCTAGAAATGATAGAAACCGAAGAAGACCCAAAATATGCCACAGCTGGTTTCCTCAGTTTCGACCCCCCAAAGGCAGTCCCTGGCCTTGCAAGCAGCAGCCTGGGTGCCATGGCCATATATAGTTGACACTTTAGTTGAAAGCATGGGACCATAGTTGACACTTTAGTTGAATGAATGAGAAGAAGTTAAGAAGTTCAGAATTTGGGGGGGGGGAGAGAGGTTCAGGGTGTAGGGTTACGAAGTTATGCAGGGCTTAGGGAGTCAAACGCAAGGGTCGCGAAAGACGAAGTCCCTGCCCTCACTCTTCTATTGCACCCGTACATCTTATTTGAAGTCGCATATTGCTTTCAGAGGCCCCTGCGAGGCCCCGCACCTTACTCGTCGATCGTGGGGCTCCAGCTGGCCTCCATGGATTCTGCCCTGTAGCACTTGGTACGCTGGGACTTTTATGCTCTGTTAGGCCGCTGTTGCCCGCTGGGCCCCCCTGATGCCTTCTTTGCATGCGGCATGGTTACAAGAACGAACAGATGTCATTGCCTGCGTGATGAATGAACGGGCTGAGTCCCTGAAAATCTACAATGTGCTGAATTTAGAGTCGTACAAGGAAGTTGCTGCTGTAAGAACTGTATGAATGTTCCCATGCATTGTTCTGGTATTTCTATGCCAGAAAGCTTTTCTTCCATAGTCTCTCGCATCCGGTTCAACTTGGAAATTTAGAGAGTCCAAGGCAACTTTGGAGCTTAAATCTGGTGCAACATCTTTAAATCCACACAGAGAGTTTCTTCAATTGCCAGTTTAACTAAAACCTAAGGGTTTTGCATATAAACTTCAAAAAGCCAGGGGTGTGCCCAGGCTGCTGGAAGTCATTTGCTCAGGGTGCTGGGTTGAATGTTAACAAGGCTGTGGGATGCAAAATGCAAGGAACTTCCCTACAAACCTGGGAATCCAGAAGTGAACAACTTGAACAGTTAAAGGACACCAAGATGAGCTTCAGACAATCTCAGGACATTCTGAACCTGCCCGTTTCGGAAGTAGCAAGTTGAAATATCTCAGGCAAGATATTTCAAAAGGTTCATACCGCCAGCTCCGGGAACTGAGCAGGTGTCGGCCAAAGAATTGGCAAATCTCGTGCAAGTATGGACGTTCTGGAAATCCGCCCAAAAGGGACCCCAGATGTTCGGAAATCTAAACCCTAAGCCCTAAACCCTAAACCCTAAATCCTATGACCTCAGGGCCGGCCGGGGCCTCAAGCTCGGGAATCCTAAGGCGCCTGGAATAGAAACGTCCCTGGCTTTGGTTCCACTCCAGGGCCTCAATGATCCCTCGTTGCGTGTATGCAGTTCTCTGTTGGGTCTGGTTTTGCTAAGGAATTTAGGTGGTTGGTCTGAGAGGCCTTGATGCCATATCAGTGTGGAACCCGGTTTAGAAACCCTTTTCTCCAACTGTCAATGACCGAGCCTCCTGCTGCCAAAGGCGCATGCGGTGCAGCCAACACTGGAAGCAGACCGGGCGGTGCTGGCAGCGGCGAGTTGGACGACGCTGAGAACGCAAAACGGCCGTCGCGGACTTCAGACGGAAAGGGTTTAGGGTTTAGGGTTTAGGGTTTAAGGGTTTAAGGGTTTAAGGGTTTAAGGGTTTAGGGTTTAGGGTTTAGGGAAGACTCCTTGGTGAACTTAGGGCAGCGTGCAACGCCTTGGAGAAGGTGCAAGAGACACGCATCCTGGTCGAATGATTCATGATGTTGGGCTACATGTCTAGTTTTTCTGTTCGCGACCCGGGTTCTGGAGAATGTACGAAACCAGATTTATATAGTTCAAGAATACAGATAGAAGAGAACAGTTTACAACCTGGCAGGAGTTTGTCCTGTTTTGGTTGCATCCTGGTACCGGCGGCTTCTGAGTTTCTCTGGGTTTCCCGATTTCCCGATTTCCCTGTTAGTTGCTTTGCCAGGACCTCAGTTAGGGACCCCACAGCGCACAAGATGCCACTGTCAGAGATGTGTCACTGTGGTCTACCAATCTACGTGCCTCCGGATGCAGTTCCAAATTTGTTTAGCAAGCAGTTTAGCTATCCAAATCCTTTCCAGTATTAGGCTACCGGGCTTGCTGCGATCCACTGCATCCAAGCAGCAGAGAGCAGCAGGGTACCTGATTTAGGTGATGGGCCTTCCCTGAGCGCCATCATCACCTCCTGCGGGCCATTTAGATGGCAGCTGGGCATTTCCCTTCTGAGCGCCTCGGCCGCCACACACTCTGGCTTAGGGTGCTCCGAGGAGCTTTGGGGGAGCCTCGGAGGTCGAATCGGTTCATCATATGATGGGTTCGAGTCTAGAGTGGTTGTCACGGAGCAGCACCGTCGTGATAGAAGTTGCAGTTTACTTTGCGTACGGGAGCCCAAGGGTTCTCTGGTTCCCCTTTTTTGCACGCAAAGGTGCCTAAGAAAAAGCAAACAGCGCGCCCTTACTCTAAAAAGGTTAGTGGCTTGGCAACCAACTAGTGAAGGAAGGTAGTCCTGACAGAAGTTTAAGACACTTATGCAGTTCATGTTGACCTCCGCTTACTATCCCCCCCCCCCCCCCCCAATCCCCAGGCCCCAGGCCCTTGGGTCGGCTTTCCCTTTGTTGTGAATCGTCCCTGTAAAGCCTTACAGTCTCTAGCCGCGGGGGTTCTCAATTGAGGGTGACGGTGAGCTCATATTTGAGTTCCGGGCCTGAGGGATCTTCATTGAAGAGGGGTTTGACATGCTAAGTACATCGCACTCGACGCATTTTTAGCTCGACGTTCGGAAGGCGGCGGTTGCGCACTGCAAATACGAGTCAGGCACGAGGCATAACGGGCACAACCTATATGGGCGGCGTGGCAAGCTTCGAAGAAACATGAGCCATTTTAGAGCCGCAAACTTGAGCATTCAAGCACGTGCCGGCTCGCAACATGTCACTTTGTACACGCAAGTAACCGCAAGTACTACGAATAAATCTGAAGTGGACATTAGGGTCCATTCAAAGCCTTGACCATCAAAGTTCCTGAATCAATACCTGGTACATCTATTCTTAGCAGGAGGCCTGCGAGCACCTCGTACAGGGACCGCCAGCCCAGGTGCGCTTCTTGACATGCACACGGCGGCCGACTGCGTCGCCTTCGGTGCTGCCTTGGGCGCTTGCGCGAAGACACAGGAACACTTGTTAGGGTTTAAGCTTAGGGTTTAGGGTTTAGGGTTTAGGGTTTAGGGTTTAGGGTTTAGGGATGTTTAGGGTTTAAACCCTAAACCCTAAAACCCTGATTGCAGAACAACTGTCTGGGTCTATGCCGGAATCAAAAAAGTTGAACTCATGACGGATGCGCACGCATCATCGAAGCCTGCATCTTGCACGTACCATGACATACCAGTCGCGAACCCGAAGCAATATTACAGTGTCCTCAAGGGTGTGGTTGAAGACCATGGCCGCTGACATTGGAATGGACCAGGGCACTTGCCATCTGTGTTGCGATGTTCACTGGTGGCACTTAGCATGGAGAATTCTCATCCGCAAGTTAAGCTCAGTTCCCATTTGCAAGCTAAACTCATATCAATATCTGATGAAAGGAGTATCAGTAATTGCAGCCCTCTAGATTTCACAAGAAATCCTAGCCTCCAATTTTTCCGGCGACAGGCCCCAATGCTTGATACGTGCTCGGAAGGAATGGGAGCAGTGCCTTGCCCTACTCCGGTCCATGAGCTGCCAGAGGCCAGGCGTGCGCACGTACGCAAAAGGATGATTTGCAACGAACGCCGTCAGACCCAAGTGAAAGACTTGTTCACTTTGTTTTAATGTCGTGCATACGAAACAGTGTATGCCTTGAATTTGTCTGAGATGGGACAAGTTGTGAGCTAGGACGAGGAGTTATTTTTGCGTTAGGGTTTCTGTTTACCATCGCCCGGCATGCCCTGCTGAATCCTTCACAATTTTTGCTGCGAGGGGACCTTTGGGCTTCTGTCGAGAGACAGCGGGCACTTTAGTCGGGTCCAACAGTGAACAACTGGGAGAGGCAAAAGGGCAAGGCTCAGAAGGCTCGGAAGCTGGACGGGGTGCGAGACCAACAAAAAAACTCAGCTTACAGTGCTTTGAGACGTTCAGCGCAGCACAAGCAAGCCTTTAAAAGTAAGGCGCGTGATGCACATGCAGCCACACTGCCAAATCCTCACAATTCGACGGACCCCCGATCACCACTCCAGGTTGTCGGCCGCCACCCACAAAGAGTTTGTGACAGCTTTTGTGTAAGTGGCCATGAAATGGCGATGTGTGGCTGATATGGATAGCTGTCAGGTTTCTTCTCTACAGTTACAGCCCCTGCAGCAAGCCCTGAACCAACACCCTCTGATCTTTGCGATGTCCTTTCAACAGGATTGCCCCCGACGGAGTTGCCTACAACGCCGTGCTGATGGCGGCCTCACGGGCCGAATCATCGGCTTGTTTCAGTTTGGGGTATTTGGGGGGGGGGGGGCATTTTGGGGGTATTTTTTGGGGAGGTGTAGGGTTCAGGTATGTTGAGGTTTGAAGGCTGCTGCTTCAACTTACGAAAGAGTCAGCAGCGACTAAAAGAAGAAGGATGACCATGAGACGTTCGCGTGTTCTGGAAAGGGCAGCATGCCCTGAGGCCTGCACTCATTCACGATCACTAAGTTCAGTTCACCATCACTGAGATTCACGACCAAGCTCCTGTAGCTTCTGCAGCTGAGGAGCAGTGGTCCGTCCTGCTGACGCTGTTGCAGGCCATGACAGATGCGACCGTGATTCCTGATCCTGGAGCCAGACATATAACAACCTAAGTCTTGGTTTTGTTCGAGATTCATTGAGTAAATTATAGGCAAACCTGGGGATCGACTCGGCATGAGTGGCTTGTTGCAGTCCACAAAGGGTCGCCCAGGATGCAACCTCGCACAGCTGCGCTGCCGAAGCCCTGGAACGTGCGGGCCGTCCACTCGATGCGCAGCGCCCTGGCATACCCCGGCCTCGCAGCAAAAATTGACTGGTCAGAGTTTGAAGGGTCATCAGTGTTTCCCCGAAACCCTGAACCTTAAACCCTATAAACCAGCTGGATGCAGCGAGAAGAGCAGACAAATCTGACCTTGAAATCGCAAGCTGGCCAGATCGAGGCGGTCCGTCGTGGCAATGAGCCAGACCATCAGCGCCCTTGCGCCTGGGACTTTTGTCATATGGGGGTGTCCGAAATTAGGGGTACCTCATTATGGGTTAAAAGGGGATCCTACTACCTGGGGTCTAAATTGGGGGTGCCTTATTTTCGTAAACCCCCATATTCACTTGGTACACACTGCTTTGGAGATTTCTGGGGATGCTCGTGGAGTTCGATTTTCCATCCGTCCACATAAGCCAGGCACAACTTGTCCTTGACATGCTGCAAAGGCACAGCAGGCACGCACATTCTTGGGCTTGAAGCGACAGCATTACCCGCAAGCCAGATGACCGAAAACGATCCACCCTGTGAAACGCAGCCAAGGAGAGCCTGACGTGAACCAGGTTTTGGGGAACATGGGGAGCATGGGCAGCTCTGGAGGTGCTCTACTGTGTGGAGCAGGCGCTGTGGGATGATGAAAGGAATTGAGACAAAGCTGAAGGGGGGGAGTCGATCGTTGGAAGAAAGCCATCCTGCGATCCACCTGGTGACACGCATCGACCGGCAGCGCGTCAGGCAAGACCGGCAAGACCCGTGCTTTGACATCGTGAGCATGAACCAGAGGATGGGAAGCTGAACATGATCCGCAAGGACGCTTTGAAGGACGTGGGTGAATGCCCCGATTCGTGCTGCGAAGCAGTGCGACGAGGCCTCGGTCCATGGAAATGTGCGAGTCAGTTTTTAGAAGGACTCTCGCCAAGCCCAGAAAAGCCCAGCGTCCCTTGCCCCCCTCCGCCTTGATCGCTGGTGCAGTACCATGATATTCCATCATCGGAAGAGCTCAGTGCCAATCAGCGGACCGAAAGAACCTGAACAACTTACAAAGCCACCTTAGGTGCATCCTCCTGGGCTGCCCCCAGAATCGTGCAGCCCTCAATGACTCAATGCTTCCACGTTGGCATCAGCCAACACCTATCTGGCAATCGGGGTGTCAGGCTGGCATTCTGTGTATGTGCCATTGTGGGCGAGGCCGGTAGCCCTCCCCCTCTCCCAGACGACCCCGTGGCGCCTGGGCCCCAGTCTCTTTTCTCGTCGAGCCCGGGTCTTCAATAGTTAAACCTAGCAAAACTAAGATAAACCAATTGCAAAACAAGAATCGAATTTTGGATGTGGCCATGTCGAGGCCTTTCCTCCATCCGGCTGCGCGACCGCTACTGAAGGCTGTGCTGAGGGTGTGGAATGACTTTTGGCCCTCTGTGTACCAACGCCAGAGTGTTCCCACGGCCAGAGCAAGAGGGCTTCAATTGCCGGAGGCGTGCGGGGCGCGCGCGCGAGCGCGCCTAGGACACTGGCTTTCGATCGCGGCCCACCCGAATCTTGGACCAAAATCGCGCTCTCGCCTAGGCGGGGGCACACGGGGCATCTGCATGCAGCCTTGGGGGCGGGGGCCTTGCTGCTCTTGACTTTCTTGGTCATCTTGGAGTGCGTTGCATTGGGCATAAGTATTGATAGAGAGCATCTGGCATTGGAGCAGCACTAGACTAAGCGGGCATGGAGCTTCCCATCAGTTCGCATCACCAGGGCCTCAGAAATGGGAATGAAACGCGGCGGGCCTTTGTTGGTCCTGACTACTTCTGATCTTGGCTTCGGTTGCGATGTGCTTGATTGCGACGTCAGCCTTGCCAACAGGTCCCCCTGGAGTTCACTTCGCTCAGACACTGGCGTTGAGCTTGGCTGCGTCCAAGAGGGGTGTGGGAAGACTGCTTCCAGCCCAACACCACAGTCTTGAACCCAAGGTGTGAGGTCATTGGCAACAATATCCTTGCAGAGTTCTGGTGCATGTTCAAAGAGGCCACTGCCGATCGATGTAGATGGCTTGTGAGGGGCCACTGCCTCCCATTCTGGAAAGACTGTTCGGGATCCCCCCCAACCGAATCATTGCCTTATGCTGATGCCCATGCCATGGATTCCTCAGGCCTCAGGATTGGTTACCTTGGTTTGTGAAAACCTCTCAGGCGCGGTCCAACTTCTCCGGCTTCGGGGGTGCCGCCGGGGACGCGTTGATCGTGGATAACGTGTCGAGCCCAAGACTGGCGATGCAAGTACCGTGCAGCTGCTGCTTGTCGTGCTTGTTCCAGCTTGGCCAAGCCATAATGCCACAAATATCGACGAACTCTCAGTTGTTCAGGATCATTATCCTCCCCTTGGGGCCTGCTATGTAGACTACGGCACGTATCGTCGCAGTGCAGTGATGCCCGTGCTTGAAGGCCTATTCCTTTGTCGGACATTGACATTTCACAGTAAAACAGTGCCGAAATTCCGTAAATTCCCAGATATCCGGGCATGTCACAGCATGTCACTTTGCACCAAGGCCCCGCCTGAGGGCCTCAGCCAATGTTTGCTCCTGCCGCAGTCTTGGGTGTCAGTGCGCAGTCTGGCTCCCCCATGCTAATTGATTTTAAGCTTGGTTTTTGCGGAGCCGCACGGTGTACAACACATCACAATCTCCATGGCTTTCCCGCATTCCATAGCCAGAGCAGCGGCCGCGTTGGAGCACTGCGCCGAACCTGCAGGCCCGAAGCTCCTGCATAAACTCGGAGCGCGATGTTGACGAAGGCTAGACCGGCAGCCTCGCATCGTCTCCTCACAGACGGCGAGGCACTCAGTGACAAAGGTTGAGCCTGCTGCAATGCCAACCCTGAATGGTAGAACCCGGCTGCTCTCATTAGCAGGTGCCTAAAACCTATGCATTCAGCCCATCTCGAGGTTTTGGGACCTGGAAAGTTCGCTCTCAAACTGCGCGGAGGAAGCGTGCGATCTGGCCAGGTGCGAATAGTTTGTTTTTTTGCCGAAATGGCTGCGGGACTGCCAGTGTCAACTGCTTAGGTGTAGGTTTTTTCAACTGCGCGGGCAAAGTGCACGTCGCCATCATGATCGATTTAAAGTTGATTCGTGCAGGTGAGGAGTGTTCCCGGCTCGATTGCTTGCCTAGAGGATCAGCTGTCCGGATGCGGCCCAAGCAAGCCGGCGGCGACTGTCACATGCAAGTCGATGCATCCCACCGGTTCTTTTGCTTTGAGAGCCCGATCCGGTTCGCCCCATTCAGAACCGCCCAAACACTTTTCCAATTGCCTTTCTATTCACAGGCACAGCATGAAGCGAGAGCCGTGTGGTGAGAGCTGTGGAAGAATTGGCAACCACAGCCAGGCCTGGGCTACATTGGCAGCTTCCTCGCGGAGTATTCGGCTGCTCTGGAGGTCCCAAGCACACGTTTTCGTGTGGTTGACTTGCCGATGTTGAGGCTCAGTGTCGGCGCTTGCTTGCAGGATGGCGATGCCACGTCGCCCCCCCCCCCCTCTCTCCCCCCCAAAAAGATGCCAAGTCGGACCATCAGCTGCAGATCCTTAGGCCCTTCAATAGAGACCCATAATTATGATTAAGTCATGATATACAAGTCATTGGTCGAAATATCACACGCTGCATGCACCTGTGCAGCTCCAGCGCTGCAAGCCCACGGACGTGACGAACCCCATGAAGGCCATACTGGAGCCCAAGGCCGCGACTCATCGTAGGGGTGTTCTTTTGATCAGGCCCAACTCAATCAACGCTTCCGCAGATCTTCAGCTGGTTTCTTTAGCTCCTCTTTCAAAAGCTGCCAGAGGCCAGCAACCGGTATCCAAATGTAGATAGAAAGCCGTGCCTGGCGTCGGGACTAATCAGGAAGAGAGGGGTAGGATTCTGTGATGCGTTCTTCACTTTGTGCTTAGCATATTGTCCCATGCCGGAATTGTAAAGCGTCTGAACCACAAGATGTATCTACGCAAATTCTCCAGTCTAGCAGCTGTATTGGGGGTGCACTTTGCCAAGTTTCTGCTGCAGAAGGTGAAAGCTTAGTTGACTCCTCGTCTCTGCCTGAGCCAGGTAGACCTGCCAGGCGATTTTGCCCGGAGGCCAGTGAATGCGGCGTTGGTGCCAGTGCACCTGGCATGCTTATCAGCAACAAGGCCTGTACCTCCCCCGAAAAATGCTGCTTTTCTGGGGTCCGAGTGAGATTCTAGCCCTAGAATTCAAAATGATGCATGGGACGATCCTCGCTCAATCCTTGCCTTGCTGCTGCCACCGGCTCAGCGGGATGTGAGCTGCAGGACCTTCACAGCTCCGACCCTCGGCTTACTTGGGGAGCCCCATCAGCTCCCAACAGTGAAAGTAAGACCTCTTCCAGTACAGGGAGTGTTTCTGCAGTTGTTCGAGCCCTGTTCGAAGATTCTTACGCCGGGGCTTTGCCACTAGATGGAGCAGGATTCTGCTGAGAGGCTTTGCTAGTAGATTGTGTTCATATTTCTTGCAGGGGGAGGGAGGCCTAGGCCTAGGGTCTACCTTCACAGGATCTAGAGCCCCTTTCTGCAGGGCCTTGTACCCCTAGCCCAGGGCCCCGAGCTTGTCTACCCAGTTCGGCATGATGTCCTGATAGTTCAGGAGCCGCCGAGCAGCCTGCTTCAAAGACGCTTGGACTGGTTGCTGCTGACACTTGATAAAGCCTTGTTTGGTTTGTGTTTCTGTTCGGCATCTGGTGAGAATTGGACAGCTTCCCATGCTTCCGGGCGCTGCAGATTAAACACAGGAGTGATCTCGATATCTGGTGTAGCGAAATTTTTCCTCGCATGTCCCTTGGGCTGCCCTATAGCCGTAGCCATGGCCCATGGCAAAGGCAATATGTCAGACAGGGCCTTCTACGCAGGTCTCGTGTGACTCAGGAATATGCCAATCTATGCGAAGTCCCCCGCTTCCCTTGTCGATGCCTTCCTGCCCAAAAGAAGTTGTACTCAACAACAAAGGCCTGGCGCAAACCTCAAGTCCCAAGTCTGGAATGGTAATTCATGTCCAGATGGGGATGAAGTACGTGGCAGCGTATCTCATGGCAGCAGCGCCCTCGGTCAAAGTGAGAGCTGTTCCAGCCAGAAGACCACAGGTTCAAACGGGTGAGAAGCTACAAGAGAACGAGCCAGAACAGCGTTCCCAAGAAAGACTGTAGATCCTCAAGGGTCACGGGATGCCACGGGCAACCTATGTACACAGGGATACACATGCCAAGACATGTGGTGATAGCCCCTGTGAAGATCCATCTCTGAACCGACAAGCTCCCAACTGCCGCACAGCCCCGCGGGCATCCGAGAGAATGAGGCCCTGGCCGGCAAGGAGAGCCCCAGCGCCGACGACATCAAAGCCATCCTCGAGTCCGTGGAGTCCGAGTACGCGCCGGCCTTGGGGAGCTGCACGGAACAGGGCCCCCGCCGGGATCAAACTCCAAGCAGTGAAACGAAGGAGTCATCTGCATGTGGTCTGCCGCGTGTTTTTGGTGCAAGAGAGGGGTCGGTTGTAGCTACAGCATCATAATGTGCACAGAGACGACTTTCTGAAAGCAGGGTACTATGCGCCATACACAGTAGAACTGTAGAAAGTGCATGACTAGACTCCCCATCCTCAAGAAGGAGGATTTTCAAAGCAGACCCCGACAGCACAGTTTTCCAGCAACTGGAGCTCTCAAGATCCCAAGCTTCTGGATGTGGCCCTTTCGCATCCTTGCCGATGGCTTGCGTCGGTTCTACAACGGTGCTGCTAACATGGCAGCCCCGAGCTGGAGGCTGTGCAACCGCTGCAAGTCCCCGAAAATCGGTCAAACCTCTTTGCAACAACTTGCAGTCTTCGTCACGGCAGGGCGCTCTCCGGCGGAGGAAGACATTTTGGAAGGAGACATGGTGACAGGCGCATATGCCGAGCCACAGTAAGTAAGACCGCCAAAGCACCGCCAGCGGCTCTAAAGTGTATTTTGTGCAGTCGTTGAACTCCGGGGGGGAGATAGAGGGCTGATACTTTTGTTGGCCTTTGACTGTGCTGAGAGGGCTTATAGCCGCCCATGCGGTTTACTTGTGGTTTACTTGTTCTTAATCTGAGACGCATTATTACCTAAGAAGCACCGAAGCCCCGAAGAGAGCCAAAGTAAACCTTGACACTGGACCTCGGATACTATGGCTTTCGAAGTAGCCGTAGATTGATAAGCATATGCAGGCAACTTTTCGTCTGAGTAGCCGGTTATCGACTCAAACAGACCGTTTCTTCTCGATACTGTACTGCTTACAGCGGCATTTGCAACGTAGACAGATATAAATCCTTCATCCTCCCGTGAAGAGCGCGTGATCTGCGGCGCAGGAACCAGCACAGAGCCATACTGTCGGGAAGACTATTATTAATATGAGTATGAATACTTTGTATTAACATTAATATATTCGTATTCGTATTATATTTATAATTATACTAAATTGTAACAATAAGCTTTCGCGCGATACGTGCTGGCCAGGTGCCATCATCTCGCGGAAGCAGCCAAGCTCAAGCTCTCCGCTTGACCTTATCAGGTGGCGCCAGCTGGAGTCACAAATTATTTAAAAAGTCCATCTTCGCAGGATCTTTGCTAGAGTCTCTTGGGCCACGTCCCCTTTATGTATCCTAATCAAGATATTGCCATGCACCGAAAGACCCAAGCAGCCCTTTAGCTGCTGCGCAAGTTGTGCTACTGCTACACGGCTACACTGCAACACTGCTACGCTGCTATGCATTCTGCACAACCAGTATCACCCCAGCTAGCGCGAGCACGCAAACACCTGTCTGAAGAGTTGCATATGGTATGTTTTCTGGGGATCGGAGATCCGCCTTAATCTTAGACGTGGCCCGGACCACTACTAGTAGAATGACAAATCTGATTTCCCCGCCTCAGAGTGATCTTCTCGTAACTCCTTGAGACGTGAGAGACGTTGAGAGACCATCCCACAGGCTCCCCAGAGCTGTGAGCTTTGCCCAGCGACCGCGACACCCGACGGTGCCTTGGGGCTAAACCCTAAACCCTAAACCCTAAACCCTAAACCCTAAACCCTGGGATGATGTGGGGTGTCTGGTGGTGTCCTTGAAGTTAGAAGTTGAAACGTGCCGTTGACTCGGGTCATGGCCCTAGGTTCAGGCAAGGCGCGATGACGGAGTCTCTCACATCAGGGCTTCGGGGCTCTGGTGAAGAGATTTGTGATGGGCGTGGACAGGGGCACGCAGAACAAGTCCCTAAGTTGCCGTCAGTTCCAGCACCAAGCGGCTTATCACAGAAGTGGCTCAGTCCTGGCAGGACAAAAACCTGGTGGGTCAGCCATTGGAACCACGGCTGCCATCTCTCTCTTGGTTTCCATGGGCACGTTTTGGCCAAGACCAGATTAGAGTCGTAAAGTCTTCGTTGGCCCGAACGGTTCTTCTGCGAAGCTGTCAGCATGAGCGCTTGGCAAACCTTTGAGAAGTCACAAGGGGTGCTTCAGATGTGGAAGCATGGCGGAATTTTTGCCTTCTTGTAACGTGCACCGACTCCATGTTCCACGCATGTGTGTGAGTGTTGGCATGCCAGCACAGGAGCTCTGCCGCAGCATCGCATCTGCAGCTATGTTTGGTGCTTGTAGACCTGCAGAGAGTGTGTCGAGATTTGGAGGGCTTTGGCGTATCGTTCTGATGCCGTACCGCTGCTGAGTCACATGTCCTATCGGCAACGGCTCTATCGCTGCGCAAGTAGAGTCAGAGAGGGCGTCAGCCACACACGCGGTCTCCTGAACTGATCTTTGCTTTACGACTTTTCGCAAATGTTTTCAAGATCACAGGCAGACTCGATGCGGACATGGGATGGGACGGCAGCGGCTTCTGCAGCTACAGCCCACGAGATGTGCATCAGCAGGCTGGTGACTGACTGAAAATTGAAAACCGTAGCTTCTAGAGGCAGAGGCAGGTGGGATGACTCTACGATAAGGGACGATATAGGGCTATGTTACTTGCGACACGGTGCCTCGTACTAGCAGTACCTCTGCGGTCTAGGTGCATGCCTGACATCTGAGATATCGGGTAAGGCGCCTCATCGTCGAATCCCCAATGGAAGAACATACAGACGGAGCAACACCACAGGTAGATCCGAACTATATTTTGATATAGTCCCCTTCCCCCTCACAATCCTCACAGTAAAAGGAGTGCTCCACCCTTTTTCCTGGCTTTCAAAGTTTAGCATTGCCTCAGGGCCGCATGCGGGAAAGCTTGGGGAAACGGAGTAAGTAGGCTGCCAGGGCCTGTCTAGGGCTATCAGTATCTCAAGTTGGAAGTTGGGGGTATCCTCTGCAAAGCGTGTTTCTTTGACAAGTCAAGGCAGCTGTTTCGGCTTAGATTTTTTTTGCCTACAAGTCCCTTGGGAGCCATGATTGGATCCAGTTGCCTTTTTGCTCTCGCAAAACTCCCCGAGCCGTGTAAGCCAGAGAGCTTTGGTATGGACCTGCTACACACTGTGTCGGCCACACAGCCCGACGAACTCTTCGAGTCGGATGAGGCTCCATGTTTTCCAGACACCGTGTGCCGTGGCAACCTTACACCGGATGATAAACATGCAGATCTCGGAGTAGCATCTTGCTCTACCACAGACACACGAAGGGAGCTGTATGACCATGGGGACCTGTCGGACGGCGAGGATGATTTCATCAGCCGGAAGAATTCCTTCTACTCACACGGCACAGCCGAAGACTGGGATCACACTCTTCCGCCAAATCGATTGCTGCATGACCACCACAATGCCAAGCTCAGGGCTTTCCTCCACGCCACTTGGCAGCGCAAAGGCTAGATATATTGCATCAAGAGCAGCGTAGTCATCCCCACCCTCCCTGTAGTGCATCTTCTCATCAATCATTGTTTGGGGGTGGGCGGGGGGGGGGGGGGGGGGGGGTGGGCGGTTCAGTGGCCAGGGCTTTGTGCCTGTCATTCGAAGATGGCCTGTTGTGCGCCTTCCAAGCTCGAACGTAGTCTGTACTGTTGAAAGGATCTTTCAAGTTCGAGAATGTGTGTCTTGAGACCAAGCCAATACCAAGAAGTTCTTCATCTCGTTAAGCAGTACATTCTTATTATGTTTAATTGTTCTT